AGTTTAAAAAATGAGTCCGATGACCCCGGTTGTCAACCAAGATGGCCGGCATGGCTAAAAATAGAACATAGAGGTAAAGTGCAAGTCACGCTTATTATTACGAAAACCGCTATAAATAAAGAAAATGTGACGGGGCAAAAATGTTTAGAATGTTGAGCTCTACTATTGTCTATTTAATTCCAAACTGTTAGACCACTTCTTACAGGAGTTATAGCCCTTAAATGACGAATTTTACCATTTTTAAAAATGTTTTCCTATTTTTCGAAAATTTTACTAGATAGATAGAATTTTTAAAAAGAAAAAAATTATCAGCATGACAAGATCTATAAATAAATCAAAATGACCAAAATCGTGCGACGACTCCTTAATAGAGTTTTTGCCATTTAATGACGATTTTTACAATTTTTTGGCATTAGTATAATAAAGAGAGAATCTTTAAAAAGCAAAAATTATCAGCATGACAAGATCTACAAATAAGTTAACATGGCCGAATTATAAATTACTATAAATTTTCACTTCGTACTATGAACATCAAAATTATTTATTTTGTAAAAATATTTCCATTCTCTATTGGAACTGTACACGTATACCTAACAACAAAATTATTTTCATTTACCTGTGTTTAAAGTTATTGCAAATGGCTGATATTTTTGTTCGAGCATATTGTTTTTCTTTAATTGTTTAACATTTCATACCGATATAACATGTTACTTTTATTATTCTTCCCTTAGTTTATTTATTTTGTATTGACATTGTATCATAGGTCAAATTTATTTGTTCAGTGTATGTTCAATGGTGTTAATATGTCCTTTGATTGAGTTAAGCTATTTTAGTTGATATTTTATAGTGTGTCTTTCTATGTTGTGATGTTACACTATTATTTCAGAAAAAGGGTGAAGGTTTGGTACCATTAAAACGTTTAAACCCGCTGCATTTGTTTGAACCTGTCCTAAGTCAGGAATCTGATGTTCAGTAGTTGTCGTTTGTTGATGTGGTTCATAAGTGTTTCTCGTTTCTCATTTTTAATATAGATTAGACCGTTGGTTTTCCCATTTGAATGGTTTTACACTAGTAATTTTTGGGGCCCTTTATAGCTTACTGTTCGGTGTGAGCCAAGGCTCAGTGTTGAAGACCGTACTGTGACCTATAATGGTTTACTTTTATAAATTTTGACTTGGATGGAGAGTTGTCTCATTGGCACTCATACCACATCTTCTTATATCTAAATATAATTCTTTTAATATGCATATAGCCTTTTTAAATAGCTCAAAATGGGCAGACTTCCTTAAAAAGATCATTTAATAGCTTATAGAGCAGTTATAATGATCACCGTTTCATCCTGTCTAGGGCCAGATCATATCATCCTTGAGAGCATTTACAAAACTATTAGTTTTGAGAAGTGTACATATGAATTTGTCAAAAAAATTATGTATTTACTAGTATATGATTACAGTAAGTAACACAATTACAAACATTAACTATATATTCAAAGGAACTTGGGCCTTTGATAGCTTTTTATACGGCATGGGTTTTGTTCATTGTTTAAAGTCGTAGTGACCTATAGTTGCTTACATCTACGTCATCTAAATGCATAGTTATTTTGTACTTCAAATTCACCGACATCATTCATCGTTGTAGATTTATATCAACTTCTAGATTTGTGATATCAAGTCTCTGCCTTATTAACTTAAACCCCAGGCCACTTCTCCTTTTCTTTATGTACTCGATAATTTGCTAGTGTTCTCAATGCCATCTTAAGTGTAACTGAGGAAAGACGGTAAACATAAACGCTTTTCTGGTAATACCTTCATCAGGAACGCTCAAAGCAGAATATTTAAAAGCCAAGGATGTGTAAGAACCAAACAGTTGAAGAGCTATACGATAAAAAAGGACCTTAAATCAATAGCCATATTTATCTAAGGTCAACTTTGCCGGAGGGAGTTGAAACCTTAATTTCTTAATAATTCATAAATTTATAAACGATGTATATAATAAAATTGAGAATGGAAATGGGGAATGTGTCAAAGAGACAACAACCCGACCATAGAGCAGGCAAGTATATAAGTGATGTCTTTTTAATAAATAATGCATTTTACTTCAAAACTATGGACAAACATATAGGTTTTTGTGCCAGTTTTTGGGATATAATGGTTTAAAATAATGGGGAAAGGATATCATTTGTTTCATATGAATTTAATCTTGTGCAAGTGTGTTAAAAAGAAAACGAAAAAAAAAATATAAGAAATTGGAAGTATTTTGTCATTAGTGTAATTGAGATGGGGTTTTTTAGCAATAAAGAGAAGATCAAGGTTTCTTGGGAAAAAATTCAATGCATTACTAATGAAAAATCCAGTTAAAATATCTGTCATCTTGGAATTTTCAGTTATTTTGGCTTTTAACATTTTTCGTATAGACTTGGACTAATTCTAATACTTTTAGTGTCATAAAATTAGGGAAATTGGTTTATCTAGTGACAAGTTCAAGTTGAGTTAATTACATGTAATCTAATTATTTAGACCTTCAACACGTACGAAAACAAAGCCAAAATTTTCAGTCCACAATAAGAGTTAGTGCCCTTGAATGATGATTTTTTTTTACTCAATTTTGTGTGTTTTGCAAAAACTATAGCAGATAGAGAGAAACTAAACAGGAAAATGATCAGCAATGCAAGATTAACATATAGAGGTTTAAGATATAAATTATATTCTAGTCTACATTGAGTGTGGTCATTGTTGAAAATGCACATAGATCTAAGTGAGCGACACAGCTTCTTTAGATCCTTTAATTCAATTGGTCCCTTGAACTGTCTTGTAAATTGTCTTATTTTGCTGAACAGTTTTGTTAAAACAATGTCTATTGATCTAATATTGTTTTTGCCAAAAACATATAAAAGGGGTAAAAAAGTCTTTCAAGGGCAATAACTTCTATAAGGAGTCAAGTGACGATTTTGTCAATGTTGCCTAATTTGAAGATCTTATTTTGCTGAACATTTTTACTATTGAAAGATTCTCTCTATCTACTATAGTTTCCGCAAAAAATAGGTAAAAAAAAATCCTTCAAAGGCAAGAACTCCTGAAAGGGTTCAATTGACAATTTCTGTCAAGTTGACATATTTGAAGATCTGAATTAAAATTTTGAAACTGTCAAAATTACAAGAACATTCAGATCTTCAAATATGTCAACTTGACAGAAATTGTCAATTGAACCCTTTCAGGAGTTCTTGCCTTTGAAGGATTTTTTTTACCTATTTTTTGCGGAAACTATATCTAGAAAGGCAAGAACTCCTGAAAGGGTTCAATTGACAATTTCTGTCAAGTTGACATATTTGAAGATCTGAATGTTCTGGTAATTTTGACGGTTTCAAAATTCTCCCTATCTGTTACAGTTTTCAATATAATTACCAAACATGTTCTATTTTTAGCCATGGAAGCAGTGGCCGTGTTTGTTGGTGGCTCAAATCCCTGCATACAATTTAAAAAAAAAGCAAAAAAAGAGTTTTAATTAAATTTAACAATTGCTTTTATTATTATTTTTTCAATACATATGCATTAAAGTGTCCCTCATTTTAAACAAGTACAAGATTAGAAGCAAACCTTTAAATCACAAAATAATTTGTACAAAATCACGCCAGTAAAACAATAAACACTTTCTATTATATATCCATTCATAACTTATTAATCAAGTTGAAACTTCCTGATTCTATTTATGGTCTTGACTGGAGTAACGTGGTCAATCCATGAGGAATAAGCAATTTTTGATAATTAAAATCATTTCAATTTAATTTTATTCACTAAAACAGGTATGATATTTCACATTTCTTTTCTTTGATTACTTAACAAACAAATGTGTATTAAGTCAGTCATTTTGGAGGGAATGAAAAATCACCAACATATATTTAAATCAATTTAAGTATCAGGGTAATTGATTTTTTCATTCAAATAATATTTATTTCAATATCAAATAAAAAGAAAGACATATTTTATCTTGAAAAGACTATAGAATTTAATAGCAATGAAAAAGAACCAACTTGCTCACTAAAATTTTCAAGGGTCCGGAAGAAACAATATTCATACATTTACTGACAGTATTAACTCCTACAGTTAACTAACTGTCATACCTGTGAAGAGCAGATTGTCAACGGGCTTAAGTATTTGTTATTTTAATTATCAACATTCTGGCAAAGAAAGTTACTTGGCAAATGTTTTCAAAATACCTGATGTTGACTTGACAGTGATATAGCTCCGAACAGAGACAGAATACATCAAATCGGTGGAAGAAGTATATATTTCTGTCAAACACCCAAAACATTGAAACTTTTCATGTTCCTTCAAATAAAAATTTGAGAGAAACACACAATAAGTTATGCAACTAATTTTTTTCTTTGAAACACCTTTGAATGCATATTTACATATCGCACATTCTGCACGCATACACAGGTACTTCGGCAAACAACGTAGTTCTGTTAATTATTCGCTCAAAAACCTTTTGAATTTAACTAGTTTTAATCATATTTTGACAAACTTAATCATTTATTGCTAAAATTAATAAGTTACAAACTATTCAAACACGAAAGAGAACTTCAAAAAGACCAATCGATTTTCAGTACTTGTTTACCTGGCAGGTTTACAGGATGATCAAAACTGCCAATTAACACTTGCTTGTAACTGTTTTGATTACAAAGTATCTAATTAAAGCTTATTTTTACAATTATTACTCTTTGTCATTTTTATGACCGACAAAGCACGACTGTGTAAGGGAAAATTGTCGAGCAAAAAATGGTGGTCTAAACCTCAGATTTTTTGTCTTAAGTACATGACATATTCTGCAGTTTCATTTCAGTGATACTATATCTGGATATTTATTGAAAGAAACAAATTTGTCAGGCAAATATGACTGTTTTGGAATCCCTGTTGTTGACCCTGGTCAGTGACCAATAAGAGGCCTATGCCATGGAATAAAGACAGAAACTGTCTTTTAAAACAAAATTAGAACTTCATAGGTGTAGATTATCATTTAATTGTAAACAAAAAATATTGCACATTTTTCATTTGACAGATATGTTATGCTAAGGCATACTTCTGTTAGTACACTGTAAGATATTTCTCTGGAAAAAGAAGAGAGATCAACTCTGATCTGTCTATTATCCAAGAACTGTTTTTGATACAAATGAATCTAGCATGATGTAAATCATTTCTCTGAAAGAAGAGTGGTAACTCTTATCTTTCCATCCATGGCTCCAGTCAAGCACATCTGAGTATCAATATTAGGGGACCAGTCTACTGTAGTTACAGAAGATGTGTGTCCCTTTACTTCCATCACTCTATTAAAGACTGCATTTTCTCCAGTTTTTATCTGAAATATAACAAAAATTGTTAAACTGTATGTTTGGGTTAATTGCTTTTTAAATAAGTATTGAAGTCTATGACTGAATGATGTGTAGAATAATTGGTACTACTACTACTGGGATGTTTAACCACCTACCCATGAGGAACTTGAATAGTTCATCCTGGCTTACACCTTCTATGACATTTAATACAATTTACTTTTACCTTACCATATGGTTAAGAAACAAAAATGTAGAAATATTTTGAAGAAATGAAAACCAAATAAAATGCTCCGCTGGGCGCAGCTTGATACTACCGCAGAGGTCGAACCCTGAACAGTTGGGGCAAGTATGGACACAACATTCAAGCTTGATACAGCTCTGAATTTGGATTGTGATTAAATATTTGACACCGCATAGGTTTCTGACACAGAATGAATGTGGTCTAAGAACTTAAAAAATTTTAATTTACCTATTATGGTCCAATATCCAAATTCTAAATACATGGTTAGATTCAGCATATCAAAGAATCCAAAGATTTCAATTTTTGATGAAATCAAACAAAGTTTAATATTGGACCCTTTTGACCTCAATGTGGACCAATTTGATAACGGGGCCCAAAAAATCAAAATTCATGGTTAGATTCAGCATATCAAAGAACCCCATATATTCAATTTTTGTTGAAATCAAACAAAGTTTAATTTTGGACCCAAACTTGGACCAACTTGAAAACTGGGCCCATAATCAAAAATCTAAACACATGTTTAGATTCAGCATATCAAAGAACCCCAAGAATTCAATTTTTGTTAAAATCAAACTAAATTTAATTTTGGACCCTTCGGACCTTAATGTAGACCAATTTAAAAAACGGGACCCAAAATTAAAAATCTAAATACACGGTTGGATTTGGCATATCAAAGAACCCCAATAATTCAATTTATGATGAAATCAAACAAAGTTTAATTTTGGACCCTTTTGACCTCAATATGAACCAATTTGATAGCGGGGCCAACAAATAAAAAATCTAAATACATGGTTAGATTCAGCATATCAAAGAACCCCATTTATTCAATTTTTGTTGAAATCAAACAAAGTTTAATTTTGGACCCCAATTTGGACCAACTTGAAAACTGGGCCCAAAATCAAAAATCTAAATACATGTTTAGATTCAGCATATCAAAGAACCCCAAGAATTCAATTTTTGTTAAAATCAAACTAAGTTTAATTTTGGACCCTTTGGACCTTAATGTAGACCAATTTGAAAACTGGACCCAAAATTAAAATCTAAATACATGGCTAGATTCGACATAACAAAGAAATAAATGTGGTCAAAGATTTTACAAATCTAATGCACCATACTGTGCAATTAAAGATTACTTCTTGAAATTTTTCAATATTTGAAATTTGAAAAAAAAATAATATTTGAAGAATAATTCTTTTTTATTTCTGAAATCTGAAATGAGAAAAAATTGACCCCCCCCCCCCCTTTTTCCCCCAAAAAATTCTTTCCCTCAAGATATGGTCATTATCTCAATTCAAATTTCCAATGGAGTTTGCAACCATAATTACCCATTTAAATTTACCATAAATCTATTTTATAATAGAATTTAAAATATGGTGTCAAATCTTTCATATGGATTTTTTTGTAAAAAAAAAAAGATGCAACATTTGCAGATATTTTTACTGGTCTTCCTTTATAAATATGCATTTCTTTAAACATAATTTAAAAGCAGTGTAAGGGTAGTAATCAAAACGTTGTATTTGGATTACCTCCCTTACACTGCTTTTAAATTGTCTTAATCGTTCATTAACCATTACTTTATACATTATTTAAAAGCAGTGTAAGGGAGGTAATTCAAATGATGTATTTGATTTATCTCCCTTACACTGCTTTAAATTATGTTTTGTACTAAAGTATTTGTCCATTAACCAGGACAACCTTGTTTTTCCCCCTTTTTTGCCCCTAATTCCTAAACGGTTTGAGCCATAACCACCCCTTTGTGGTATGGAAACTTGTGGTATAATTTCAGAGAGATCCATACACCGTTCCACAAGTTATTGTCTGGAAACTAGAAAATGCTTATTTTTGGCCCCTCATTCCTTAACTGTTGGTACCATAACCCCCAAAATCAATCCCAACCTTCCTTTTGTGGTATTTAACCTTATGGTAAAATTTCATAGGGATCCATTCACTTAAACTAAAGTTATAGTGCGAAAACCAATGTGTCTTCGGACGACGACGACAACGCCAACGTCATACCAATATACGACCGCAAAAATTTTTTGCGGTCGTATAAAAATTGAAAAAAATGCTTGAATTAAAAAAATATCAATAATATTGATTTTGAAACACAAGGGATAAAATGAAAAAAAAAATGACAAGTTAACAAAATTAATAAGACATATATTCTTGAACTTTAAACTTCAGTCATCTTACCTGATTAAATTTGTATTATCAAATAATTTGGTGTAACATGTGAAGCAGGATATCTTATCCCTTTTATACCACCTGTTTTCATTCACTGCTTTCAAGGGACTTTAATTTCTGTGTTTGCTCTTCATAAATATCTGTGTTTGGCAGTAAATTCATCTGTCTTGTAGCTTCAGATTTGTCTTGTTTGTATACCATGTATACTGCCCTCAACCTTTACATTTTCTGAATTCTCCTTTAACATATTTGTTTTGGTATCTCTACATGTTTTTTATACAATCCAAATTTTGAATTTACAGTATTTTATTGAATGAACAGAAGTTATTCCTTTTTTCGCTACTTGTATGTGCCTACATGGTTTATAATGAAGTTTAATATCTAAGTATCTGATTGATGAATACATTTCACTATACTTACAGCAACTTTCATACAAGTGGGAGGTAAAGCTAGCTATAAAACCAGGTTTAACCCACCATTTTCTTCGGAAAGTGCCTGCATCAAGTCAGGAATATGGCAGTTGTTTTTCACTTATTCTGTTATTGATATCCTTTGATTTTGTCAGTTTTTATGGACTTCCCCTTTTTGAATTTGCCTTGTAGTTTAATATTTTTGTTAAATATTGTGAACTAGAGGCTCTAAAGAGCCTGTGTCGCTCACCTTGGTCTATGTGCATATTAAACAAAGGACACAGATGGATTCATGACAAAATTGTGTTTTGGTGATGGTGATGTGTTTGTAGATCTTGCTTTACTGAACATTCTTGCTGCTTACAATTATCTCTATCTATAATGAACTTGGCCCAGTAGTTACAGTAGAAAATATTTTGTAAAAATTTACAAAATTTATGAAAATTGTAAAAAATTGACTATAAAGGGCAATAACACCTTAAGGGGTCAATTGATAATTTTGGTCATGTTGACTTATTAATAGATCTTATTTTGCTGTACATTATTGCTGTTTAGTTTATCTCTATCTATAATAATATTCAAGATAATAACCAAATGCTGCAAAATTTTCTTAAAATTACCAATTCAGGGGCAGCAACCCAACAACGTGTTGCCTGATTGGTCTGAAAATTTCAGGGCAGATAGATCTTGACCTAATGAACAATTTTATCCTGTCAGATTTGCTCTAAAGGCTTTGGTTTCAGAGATATGAGCCAAAAAAAAGCCTTTTTCCCTATGTACAATTTTTTAGCCATGTCGGCCATCTTGTTTCGTGGGCGGGGTCATCGGACACATTTTTTAAACTAGATACCCTAATGATGATTGTGGACAAGTTTGGTTAAATTTGTCTTAGTAGTTTCAGAGGAGAAGATTTTGTAAAAGATTACAAAAATTTATGAAAAATGGTTAAAAATAGACTATAAAGGGCAATAACTCCTTAAGGGGTCAACTGACCATTTTGGTCAAGTTGACTTATTTGTAGATCTTACTTTGCTGAACATTATTGCTGTTTACAGTTTATCTCTATCTATAATAATATTCAAGATAATAACCAATAAAATGCTTCGCTAGGGCGCAGCTTGATACGACCGCAGAGGTCGAACCCTGAACAGTTGGGGTAAGTATGGACACAACATTCAAGCTTGATACAGCTCTGAATTTGGATTGTTATTAAATATTTGACTCAGCATAGGTTTCTGACACAGAAAGAATGTGGTCTAAGAACTTGAATTTTTTTAATTTACCTATTATGGTCCAATGTCCAAAATCAAAATACATGGTTAGATTCAGCATATCAAAGAACCCCATATATTCAATTTTTGTTGAAATCAAACAAAGTTTAATTTTGGACCCCAACTTGGACCAACTTGAAAACTGGGCCCATAATCAAAAATCTAAACACATGTTTAGATTCAGCATATCAAAGAACCCCAAGAATTAAATTTTTGCTAAAATCAAACTAAGTTTAATTTTGGACCCTTTGGACCTTAATGTAGACCAATTTAAAAAACGGGACTTAAAATTAAAAATCTAGAATATACAGTTAGATTTGGAATATCAAAGAACCCTAATAATTCAATTTTTGATGAAATCAAAGAAAGTTTAATTTTGGACCCTTTTGACCTCAATATGAACCAATTTGATAGCGGGGCCCACAAATAAAAAATCTAAATTCATGGTTAGATTCAGCATATCAAAGAACCCCACCAGTGTGTATTAGGACGACGACGCCGGACGACGACGACGCCAACGTCATACCAATATACGACCACAAAATTTTTTTGCGGTCGTTTAAAAACGGCTAAATTTCCTTAAAATTACCAATTCAGGGGCAGCAACCCAACAACGGGTTGTCAGATTCATCTGAAAATTTCAGGGCAGATAGATCTTGACCTGATAAACAATTTTACCCCCATGTCAGATTTGCTCTAAATGCTTTGGTTTCAGAGATATAAGCCAAAATCTACATTTTACCCCTATGTTCTATTTTTAGCCATGGCGGCCATCTTGGTTGGTTGGCCGAGTCACCGGACACATTTTTTAAACTAGATACCCCAATAATGATTGTGGCCAAGTTTGGTTTAATTTAGCCAAGTAGTTTCAGAGGAGAAGATTTTTGTAAAAGTTAACGACGACGACGACGGACGACGGATGCCGGACGCCAAGTGATGAGAAAAGCTCACTTGGCCCTTTGGGCCAGGTGAGCTCAAATGCTATCATGAGTAATATGTGTCACAAATGCAGTTCATTTTCTCTTTCCTAACTAAAGGAAAATCATTCATGCAGCAATCTCTTTACTATAGCATGGGAACAATGGGAAAACACAGAAATCTTTATTTTTTATTATCAATCAACTCTAAATGTGAAGCTTTGAAACATTTGTATCATGAATGTTTTTAGTCTGAAGTCGGATTTTGCTATTTTTTCTCTCAAACTTCTCATATTTTATAGCAAGAATGTATCATTTTACCTCCAGTAAAATCATAAAATTATGATATTCATACCATGTCATATTCTGGAAAAAATATACTCCATGAAATCTACCTTGTAAAGAGATCCAGCCATTTTATCACATGAAATCAAATACTGCCCCTCTGGGTCAAAAGCAAACAATCTCCCTTTAGGTATCTCTTTACTAGCTGTTAACCCACTTGACAGGAATGGTAGAGCAGCACCAGAGTGGAGTGGAAGTTCTCTAGACTTGTCTGGTTTGTGAATGTTCCACTGATAAAACTGAAAAACAAAATCAGTAGCTGTTAGTTCCCTTACAGCTTAACATACTGTGACTTGACTGTAAGAGTTGCTCTCCATCTATTGTAGTTCATTCAAAATTCTTACCCTATTGCAATTTGTTTTATGAAAACAAACTGTTCAACTGGTCATAAATTTTAACCAACTGCTGTAGAAAACCACAGTCAAGTCATCCAAGTGCAAGGTGATAAAATAAAGCATACAATCCTATAAGACTTTATCTCCACTTCATTGCTAAATGTTTAACCCTGCCACATTTTGCGCCTGTTCCAAGTCAGGAACCTCTATCCTTTGTTAGTCTTGTGAGTTTTTTAAATTTTGGTTCATTTGTATTTTTTCGGTGTTTAGTATGGCGTCCATTTCGCTGGACTAACTGCTAGTAGTCCTTTGTTAATTTATGTATCATTGTCATTTTGCTTAGTTTCTTTACTTACCTATTCTAACATCAGACTCGGACTTCTTTTAAACTGAGTTTTACTGTGCTTATTGCTATGTGTTTCTTTGTTCTACATTGGCTAGAGGTATAGGGGGAGGGTTGAGATCTCACAAAACATGATTAACCCCGCCACATTTTTGCGCCTGTCCCAAGTCAGGAGCCTCTGGCCTTTGTTAGTCTTGTATGTTTTTTTAATTTTAGTTCCTTTATATGTTTTGGAGTTAAGTGTGACGTCCATTTACACTGAACCAGTACACAATTTTATTAAGGGGCCAGCTGATGACCACCTCCGGGTGCAGGATTTTCTCGCTGCGTTGAAGACCCATTGGTGGCCTTCAGCTGTTATCTGCTCTTTGGTCGGGTTGTTGTCTCTTTGACATATTTCCCATTTCCATTCTCAATTTTAGTATACATTATTGTTTAGGGGCCAGCTGAAGCCCACCTCCAGGTGTGGGATTTTTCTCCCTGAATTGAAGACCTATTGGTGGCCTTGGGCTGTTTTCTGCTCTTTGATCGGGTTGTTGTCTATTTGACACATTCCCCATTTCCATTCTCTATTCTATGAAAATGTAGCTTAAAATTTCTAGACATATTGTTATTGTAAAGGTTCATTGGAATGCTGATAAAAATTGACATTGACCATGCAGACAGACATTCTGACCTTGTTTGAACATACAATGTCTGGTGGTTGGCGACATTAACTTCAAGCATCATTATTAACCTTTAAGGCATTTAAAATTCCGATCTGACTTTGTATATTTCAACGATGTTTGACAGCTTGACTTTGAAGACATACATTCCAGTCTTAATTCTTGACACAATCTCTGGCAGTGGCAATAATAATATCCACAGACGCTTGGGTATATGATACAGATATTTTTTTGATTTTTTTTTTTTTTTTTTTATCAAAATATTCAATTTTCTATATTTATACTACATATCTATCACTACTGCTGGGTCAATATCCCTAATGCGCCTCAAATTGAGGAACACAAAAGTTGTGCGTAAACAAAAAATCTCTGTGTAGTGATATTGGACATGTTTCTATTTTTAACAAATGACAGAGCTTAACCATTTGTGTTGATTTGAAAAGTAGAGGACCATAGAATAAATGCGTAAAAACTATGCAGTTATTAAATGTATGCAAAGTATTAAATTTTCAAAGAACTTATTGTGTGAAAAAAAGGATTTTTTACCACCAGGAGCCGCATCACGAAAGGATTTTCGGGGTGTGCTAATTTACGGAAAAATGAATAACACTTCGTACCCCGAAAATTTAACCACATATATGAAAATGTCTCAGCTTCGAAATGAGCCATCATGCATATCCAAATTTACAATATGGACTGTGCTACAGAGGAAAACGTTATCATTACCGCCTATGTAAAATCAATTACACATATTGCCCCACGTCTCACCTAGTTTCGAGTGAGTTTACCAACTCTGAGACAACCCCCATTTTACTATCCACACTAAGAAACAAAAAGGCAACTAACTCGGCGCCATCTTGCGTGCTATAAATAAATAATAAAATTGACCTACCTGGATTCCCCATCGATTTTTATGGAAAACGTGACTTTCTCGCATTCCGATCGCAGACGTCGTTTCTTTTTATCAAATTGGTATTGTTCGTTACATTTTTAGTCCATCTCAAGCATATAATAAAAAGATTTTGACTATTTTCACTACTTTCACATTTACGAGCCCGGAAGTTTACTGTTAATATTCAGGGGAAGTTACTTTTTCCCGAACTTTTGTTAAAGGGAAGTAATTTTTTCCCAGACTTTTTCGGAACATCTCTGCAAGTACACATGAAACAAATAAAGTGATACGATGATTTCCGAACTATTATCAAAAAGGTGCAACTTTTTCATTGCTGAAAAAAGAAAAGATCTGTTTTAGAAATAATGGCAAGTCAACCAAAGGAAGAAATTACGAAGGAAAACATAGTTTCATGGTAATTTATGAATATACAAATGCTCACACAAAATTGTCTCATGAAAAGAATTTAAAAAATTAAGTCATGGACCATTTGATTTGATAATTTTTTTTATTATTTTTTTTGGGGGGGGGGGGGGGTTTGCATTATGACTACTTATAATCAAATTAAAGGCTTGATCTTGTTCTTCGTCCATCATATCTGTTTGTTTATTTCAGTAATAGTTCGGAAATCATCGTATCACTTTATTTGTTTCATGTGTACTTGCAGAGATGTTCCGAAAAAGTCCGTAGGTATGTAGTATAAATATAGAAAATTGAATATTTTAATCCAAAAAAAAAAAAAAATCAAAAAAAAATATCTGTATCATATACCCAAGCGCCTGTGATAATATATATCAAGTATCATTAATATCTTTGAAGGCATTTAGTGTCCCGAAATCAGAATTTTTTAGTATAAATCTTTGAACATGCTAATTTGGTAAAGGTGGAAAGTCTAATGGCCTCAAAATCTATTTACATAAAATGCAAGATATAACTGTACTTTCCTTATCAGAATTTTTCAAAGATGGCGACAGTATGTTTACAGAAAAATAAAACAATAAATGGAAAATGTGTCCCCATGGACACAGATGATGCCCCCGCTTGCATACAACATTATAAAGGGACATAACTCAAAAACAATAAAAGTGACGCTACCCAAATTTGTACTAGATCTGAGTTTTGTGGTAATAAGTATTGTGTATAGGTTTCAAAATGTTTGGTTGGGGCAAACTCAAGTTACAGAATGGAAACTAAAAATTTTGCAATTTTTTTATTTATAAAGGGGCATAACTCGATAATGGTTAAAGTGACGCCACAAAAATTCAACTTGATCTGTGTTTTGTTGTAATGAGCATTGTGTATAAGTTTCATAACATTTGGTTGAGGCAACTTAAGTTAGAGAACGGAAACTAAAAATTTTGTAATTTTTTCATTTATAAAGGGGCATAACTCCAGAACAGTTAGAGTGACTGTTTGGGTTTAGTTGGTTGGTACTTCGCTTGTGTAAATAGAATACGTGTGAACAATTCTAATTGCTTTTAATGACTCTACTTGCTTGTATGACTACAATAACGTAATAAACGTGCTGACATTACAAAGGTAACGTTAGTTACAGTCCGTGAAAGAATAGCGGCAAAATACTTAACACTGGGGCGCCGAGAAGTAAAAATGATAAAAATTCCTAGTAAATACATAGATATCACAAATATGCACAGTTTAACTTAAAAGTCAATGTATGTAGAAAATAAAAATCATTTGAAAAATTAAAGTCTGTATAAGTATTCAATTAAGACATCAATTGGCGAATCTTTTCCCTGGCGTCCTTCTTCGATTTACGTTCTTTGGTGTCAGATGTTGATTGAAACAAATCGCAAGAAACCTCTATCAGATATAACTTTGAAATTGGACGATTTGAATGTCCATTGTTTGTACGCAAATTTACTGCTCTAACGAGTCCATCCTTGCCAACCAATAATTCATCTACAATGGCTAGCTTCCAATTAATTCTAGGCGAATCTTCATGTATTTGAACCACATCACCAAGGGTCCAGAAACAGTCATATATGCCAGACATGACCGATTTGGAAACTGAAAAGACCGAAATGATTTATTGGGATTTTGGTCTTTTTTTTTTTTTTACAGAAATAATTTTGGTCATTTCATTGAGATCAGGGTTTTATCGGTCGCCATTTTGAACTTATTTTTGTTTTCAGGTCATCAAGAAAAATAGATTTGTTTGAGACAAAATAAAAATTTTATTGATTTGTGTTAGTAATTTAATAATATTTATCATTAGTCTGTTGTTTATTCTATAATGTAAGTGAAAACAATGTACAGGACTCTGTCGAGTCACAGCGTGGGGTAAGTCTGGGTTGAAGCCACTAGGTTTGTTTACATAGTAATTATCACCACGTGAGGATAGTAATCAATGTCCAGGAAGTTTGAATTCGGCTTGGGTGTCGTTATTGTCTTGATTAAAGCCATAAAGGCCATGTACACAAATCTCACCTGTAAACACCTGTTAAGCAATAAAAACAATATGGCGATTTGCTGTGCATCAAATTTAACGTTTTAACCATTCTGACCTAGATTTTCCCAAACAGATATTATTTTATTCATTAAAGAAGACAAATAACACTGTTGACTAGAGAATCTGTCAATTTTTATCCAAATAAAACATATAATCCATTTATAATCGATCAGCTGATTTGGTCAACGTTTGTTAAATATAGATTTATGTTTACTGAGTTTGCGCATGGAAAATGGGGATCAACATGGGTTAATTGATAATCTTATTTAACTTTTCGGTAGGAAATGGCAGATAAAGATATTAATAGATTTGCAAAAGTGGTAAAGCCTATAATTTATAGGAATGCAGAATTAAAAAAAAATGTTTAAAAAAGGAATTAAAACTAAATAACGTAATTTAGATTTGAAGCCATACAGCTTATTTAAGAAATATACTCAGCGAATGAACAACCTCGATTTTTTTTTGTTTTTTTTGCACTTCCGATTTTTTGAAACCATCTTACTCACAGAATGTAATGGGCGTTATCCTTTCTTTTGTTTTCCTGGCTATACTTCCGATTTTTACCCAAGTGAAGCCATACATTCTCTCTGTAAAGACCAACAGAATTCATGGGCGTTTTTCTTTAATTGTTTCAAGGTTATTTTTGCTGGTATAAAAGCTTTGAATATTAAATATAAATTCATAATAAGTTCCAACAATGAATAAGCGTAAAAGAGAGTCGTCAGATGAAAACCAGAAACCTGCCAAAAATGCCAGATCTTTCAATGCCAAATGGTTGCAGTTGTTCGCATGGCTTACCTTTGACAGTATACGTAATGCCATGTTCTGCACCATCTGCCAGAAACACAAAAAGAAAAACAATTTTGTATATCCCGGGGCCTGCAACTTCAGAAAGTCCACCTTAGTAGACCATGCAAGTTCCAATGATCATGTTCAATCCTTAAAGTCTGATGAAGCAGCCAAAGACAACAAACTTAAGACGATGGTAGAGAAGGTGTATGAAAAAACAGATGATGCCATGACAACACTGTTTAGAAATGCTTACTACATTGCCAAAGAAAATTTACCTATCGACAAGTACCAGTCCCTGAATGAGCTGTCCAAGATGAATGGAGCACCTATAACATCGACAATGTACCAAGAAGGTACAGCTTGCTCAGAATTCATCAAAATTATTTCCTCCCAGATTGTGCAGACCGTTTTGCAAGATGTAAAAGACAGTCCAGCGTTCTCTATAATGATTGACGAGTCCACCGACCTATCTACACAGAAACACTTGATATTGTACCTCAGCTATTTGAAAGATGCCAAACTTAAGATCACCTACTCCAAATTGATAAACCTGACTGCCTGCGACAGTGTTGCCATAACCAGCCAACTTATAGCCTACCTGCAAGCAAATGATGTTGACCTTTCCAAGCTGTACGGTATGGGATCCGATGGTGCAGCTGTCATGATCGGTAAACACACTGGTGTATCCCAGCTCCTAAAAGAGAACAGTCCATATCTGATAGAGATGCACTGTGTTGCTCATCGTCTAGCCCTAGCATGTGTTGACCTATCCAAAGAGATTCCAGAAATCAAATTTATAGAGAGCATCATCAAAACAGTCTACACATATTTCAAGAGGTCACCATCCAACCTGTCAGAGCTCCGTACATGGCAAACAATCCTAGACGATCCACAGCTGAATCCACTAGATGTCCACAAAGTCCGATGGTTCTCTAGGGGCCATGCATTAGACAACTTAAGAAGATCCCTAGTTTCGATAGTCCATATGGTATCAGACCAAGGTGACAGTGATATAGTAGCAAGTTCCATGGTGCATCACATGACATCCTACAAGTTCCTCTTCCTGCTCCACTTCCTGAGTGATATCTTCAGCAAGATCAACATCCTTAGTAAGGCACTGCAACAGAGAGAGCTATCTTACAGCACCGTCCGACTACAAGTTGATGGGTTCCTGACTGCCTTATCAGCCGAGTACCTAACTGACCAACCATCTTTTGGGCCACTTCTGTCTCAGTTCATCCTAGCAACAACTGAACAAGAGAACTTCAAAGGTATCGACTTCAGCCGCTCACCAAGAGATGCCCACCTTCCTGACAAAGTTGTTCATCTGGTATCAACTCTTACTGACAACATAAAAGACAGATTTCCAGACTCAAAGATATTTGAGGCCTTCACTATATTCGAACCAGCCTCCTTTCCAGTCAACATTTCCGACTTACCCCACTACGGAACCAGTCAACTGTCCACACTGACCAGTCATTACACCAGCTTTGACAAAGACACCACCTTACAAGAATGGAGTACAATCAAGTATATAATTTTCAACAACTTTAGACATCTGAGCCCTGCTGAGCTACTTACAGAAGTGACACCAATGAAAGACCAATTTGTTAACATTGTAAGCTTAATTGAGATCGCCAGTGTCCTACCAGTTTCTAGTGTAGAGTGTGAGCGTGGGTTTTCTAGGCAAAACCTTATAAAGACAAAGCTCCGATGCAAGACCAGCACCGACACTTTGGATCAGCTGATGCGCATAGGATTAGTTGGTGTTTCTGTCAAAGACTTTGACCCAAAACCGGCACTCCGTCAGTGGCAGTCTAACCGTCAAAGACAAGTGTACCAAAACAACAAACAGAATGCTTTCTCTAAGCTTATGAACATTAGATAGACTTATATTGACTCTGTGTATTTGTGTTACCATTGATAGACTGCTATGTGTATTGAATATTTATAGACTGTCATTCCTAGAGTATTAAAATGTGACATCACCAACTTTGATAGTCTGATTATTGTGTCATAAAGTCGTGTGGTATTCCCTTAATGATGTAATTTGTAATGTTGTAGCTAAATTTTCTGAAATGAAAGATTTCTGTGAGCCTTCGTCTAGCAGTATATTTGTGGATACGGTCTGGTTTCCTGTCCAAACTGGTGAAATTGCTGTTTTCAGTAGTACATCAGTTCTAGATTGCATGGGCAATGTTGAAGAAGTGTAAAATATAGATGTGTTACTATTTCCCTCTTCAATATCAACTGTATTTACAGATGCGGTTGTCTGCTCATCGTGTAATTTTGTCTTGTCTTTATTCATAGGCTTGTGTGATGTTTGTTATTACATTTACGGCATTTAAATTTAGAACGGCATTCTGAAACTTTATGATTTCCGAGACAATTGAAACAAAGGTTTTTCTGTTTAACTATGGTAAAGCTTTTTTCGTGGTCTACAATGTTTGTACAATCTACTGACGAATGCGACTGTTTGCAATATACACATGGTTTAGTTGTCAAGCGTGTATTCATGGTCTTGATCTGATTTCCCCTAAATTGTTGTTTATTTGTGCTTGTCTTAGGAACGGCTCCTGTGTGAAAAGACGCAGTTGATGTCATATTATCGGACATACATGTATTAACATTACCAGCCTCTTGTACATACATCTCCTTTGCTAAAGCTTCACGCAGCGATATTATATCCCAGCTATTTTTTCTGTGTTCCCGTGTTAAGTTTTTCCTCATTTCTGCGGGTAGTTTCCCGAAAATTATGGGTACAAGAAGGGATCCATATGTATCTTGCGTCTGACCTAGGGGTTCAAGTCCCCTGATGTTCGCTTCCAATCTGTCATAAAATGACTTAATACTACTGAGGGTAAATGAAGGACTTGGTAAATCAAGAAGATTTTGCATGTGTGCGTTGATAATTTTCTGTTGTTGACCGTAACGCTCCTTCAGTAAATTAATTGCTTGATTATAGTTTGCGTTGGTTAGGGCTAACCCTGTAATACACTGTGCTGCTTCGTAATGGAGTTGTGAATTTAAATAACTAAACTTTTGTATGTTTGTAAGAGCAGGGTTCTGGTGTACGGTTGATTCAAACGAATCCCAAAATGTCTGCCAGTGTAAAATACCTCCCAAAAATGAAGGCAAGTCTAACTTTGGTAGTCTATGATAGAAATTCAGAGAAGGGTTATAAGTTGCGTTTGCTTCGTGATTTACAAAAGTGCTTTGAATAGCATCCTGCGTCTGATTTGTGTTGTGATTAATATTGCTTGTTGTTGGAAGTGTTGAAATATGTGCTGCTGGACCTTGATTTAAAAAATCACTCACCGTAGGTTTTAGAACGCTAGCTCCTGAGTTTGATGTAATGTCCTTGAATTTGTGAATTGACACTTCCAAATGTAAATTGAATTCATCACTATCCAAAATTTCCTGTTCCATATCTCCGACATCTGTTCCATCTAGAATCTGTGTGTCCAAAGTTTCGAGTAAGTTCCTCTTCTTCATCAGAGTGTCTGTGGCTGCCGAAAGTTCTTGATTCTCGATTTCATTTTCTGAAATTTTCTGGTTAGTTCTATTGATTAGTCTTGTGACGGCGCTTCTGTGTCCACCACGAATTGCTTTCAGCTTCTCCATGAGTCACGGCACCAATGTTTGGGTTTAGTTGGTTAGTACTTCGCTTGTGTAAATAGAATACTTGTGAACAGTTCTAATTGCTTTTAATGACTCTACTTGCTTGTATGACTACAATAACGTAATAAACGTGTTGACGTTACAAAGGTAACGTTAGTTACAGTCCGTGAAAGAATAGCGGCAAAATACTTGACAGTGACGCCACCAAAATTCAAACTTGATCTGTATTATGTGGTAATAAGCATTGTGTATAAGTTTCATAACATTTGATTGAGGCAAACTTTAGTTAGAGAACGGAAACTAAAAATTTTGGAATTTTTCCATTAATAAAGGACATAACTCTAGAACAGTTAAAGTGACGCCACCAAAATTCAAACTTGATCTGTATTTTGTGGTAATAAGCATTGTGTATAAGTTTCTTAACATTTGGTTTAGGCAAACTCAAGTTAGAGAACGGAAACCAATTTTGGGACGTACGGATGTATGCTATGGCGGAGGCATAAAAATAATGTTTACCTTTTCATCTGTGCCTAAACTGTAGCACATGTTTTCATCAGAACTAAATTGTAATGATAAAACTTCTCCATTGTGAGCCTCCCATTGTGAAATACAGTTGTTCTGCTGCATATCTGCAAAAAGGCTCAAAGTAAAATAAAATAAATTACCAGCTGCAATTAATTGATTATAAATTAATTTTAAACCCAACTCATCCATGCCTGCCTGATATAATACCTTCAAGTCCTTTGTCACTTTGCACTTCATCAAATTTTGACAATTCCAATAATTTATTTTACATGATAGCAGTTGGAAAATATAAATATTATTTTCATTTGAAAATATACACATTCAATTATTTCTACTTTAGTAGATTTATGAAAGCAACAAACCGAATAGCCTGATCCTTCCATCAGCAGCACCAGCCAATAATAACTGTCCATTATGATTGTAGGAACAACAGTTGATAGCAACAGGACCAGGATCTAAATTTAACTGTTGCTGAAATAAAAAGGAAATATGATTTGTTGTACTTATAGAAAGCAAAGGTTAATTTTCAAGTCATCTGCATTAAAATGCTTTGCTTCTAATTCCTAAAATGATTAATGAACATTGGATAAGTACCACATTTTATAGGATAAAATCCACTGATGTATAGCATGAAACTGTTTGTTTTACAAAGTACTTATTTTTCTTCATAAAAAAGTTTGCTTTTTCAAGTGTACCCTTATCATATCTTAGTGTCATAGTATACATTTCTTTGATTTCAAGCAAGAAAGTGTAATCCATATAACAGGATCTGTGTGAACTATAGCTACATTGGGTAAAAAATTTCATTTTTTTCTTCATCAAAGAAATTATCATCATTCATCGCATTGAGCTATTTCCATAGGCCAAATGGTCAACACATTATATGAGGCCTCACATGAAATTTTTAAATTCTTACATTAATTTCACTTGTGATACACCTTTTTGAATTGCCTTGGAGTTTGGGATTTTTGTTACACTTTTTATTCCCCGAATTGTGAAAAAACTATCGTGAGTAATATGTATTTATACATTCAACTACTTGACTGTAAATTAACTGTTAAGAATAATATCTTAATATCTTAAAATTGACCAATTTACAGCATAAAATACATCAATCATTTTATAGTGCTGATGTCTTACAATCATTTTCATTGTTCTAAGGTCCCAGTAAGACAGCTTTCCTACTTTGCCAGTATAACCCTGTAACTCTGAACTTCCTGAAGCTGATCTTGATCTATGTACACTCGCAGAACACACAAATGATCCTCCAGCTGGATTGGAACATAAAGATATAATTCTGAAATGTATAAGGAAACAAAATAATGACACAAACAAGCAATCATAAAGCTGGATTGGAACATGAAGAGATTATTCTGAAATAGAAATGGAACAAATTGTGGACAATAAATGATCTTCAATTATGGCATAATTCTGGAAGGGATCAGGACAAAATTACAAACAAACAGACAATCATTATGCTTAATAGGAAAAAATATCATATTATCCTAAAACTGAGATCTTTATTGAACTCTATTAAATAGTTTACGAGATTGAAGATGCTGAAGATTGATTTTTTGACATGGAGACATTCCCTCTTACTATATGACTCTGCTATCACTAGGAGAATAATAATGGGTAAAACAGGTTTTTTCCAATTAAATAAGAAAACTTCCTATACAAGGCATACAGCTTAATCTTTTCATAACTATTACATGATAAGAAATAGTTTTTGACATTACCTAGGATAACTAGCATCTGCAGATGCTTCATAAAATGACTTCATCTCCTTCACATCAAATAATCGTATATTTCCAGATCTGTTTCCTAGCAACAACTGAAAACATATAATCAAAAGGTTAGAGCAAAAAAATTGACACACTGTAAAATTGTTCTCATTGTAAATCTGACTTTAATATACAGTGGTGTCAAACCCTGAGTTCTATGTTTCCTAGACAAAAATGAGGTTGAAATCCAGACAATTTTGTTAATACTCCCCCAAAATATCTATTTATGGCCTATTTGAGGTGCAAAGCTAGACTTAAATATTTCTATTTCACTTTCTTACATCTCTATTCATCAACTTGTAACACTTTTTATCTTGAATTCTAATATGACGACCTATATATCCTTAACCAGTATAATCACTGTATATCTACTTTTAGCGTAGACGCATAGATACACAAAATTGGCTGTTCAGTGTTACTCCCATCTTACTTATACGACCAGGTGAACTAAATTTTTTACAGTAAATCCCACGTTTTACGTAGGCCAAACTTCTAATACAATACGGTTATCTCTATTCTGATGCAAAATAAACAAATCAGCCAATTTCAGTTATTATATCAATGTAAAATGTCATAAAACGAAAATTCCAGGAAATGATGTTATCTTCTTTGGCAACTAAACAAGGTGATGTCATATGTATGCTTCCCGCGTCAAATGTTAACACCCGGTGTTTTAAGGCTTCTTGTATGCCTCACAATGTAATAAAATAACACAAAAAAAAAACAAATTTAGGTGAAGAATGTTTTTTTTTCATTTATTATTGAATTATATTATATCATTGGGGTAAAATGGAACAGCCAAAACAGAATTGTGTGAATAGGGCTTTCACAGTTGACAAAATTACAGAATTTGTCCCATTAGAATCCAAATAATTCATGGCAGTCGTAGATTTGTTTTCATTTAACCATGGGTTGGGCATTTATATTCATATTTCACCATTCGCTATCGCTCGGGATAAAATAATCGAATATAAATGTCCAACCCATGGTTAAATGAAAGCAAATCTACAGCTGCCATGAATTTTTTCTTAAACAATCAACATATATCCAGGGCCAAATAGGGCCCTTAACGAACATACTCCTTTTGATGTTTTCCAAATTAGATAGTAATGTCCAATTTACCATCTACTTTAATGTGAAACAAGAACATTTCAATCATTAAAATACAAGATTTTATATCTCTGACAAAACTTGTATCAGTACTGTAACAGTATAGGATTATTTTCAAGATTTTCATGTCTTGCACTTTCAACAGTGCTTTTCTTACCATTCTGAGTGTTAAGATTGATTGATTGGTTTGTTGGTGTTTAACACCCCTTTCAGCACTAATTGCTATTACGTGGCGACCAGTTTATATTGGTAGAGCAAGCCAGAGTGCCCAGAGAGAACCATCAACTGGCAATCCTAATCAATTAAGATTGGAGTCGAACGCCCCTGTTACCTGCGTAATTCAAAAGTCAATACCTCAGAGTTGACAGGATAGTGATACAGTAGTACTACTTAGACCACTAAAACCACCAAGGCCCCTGAGTGTTAAGCTAACAATAAATCAATAATTTTTTCTTACCAATTAAAAAAAAAAAAACATGTATTGATTATTCTGTTAGGCTTTTCTCTTAGAAATATCATAATCAAATGAATGTACAATACAAATATTGTCTTTTCTAATATTTTAGTAATAGATTACAGAATATTAAAAGTAAAATAACACAAATACAAACTCCAAGGAAAATTCAAAACGGAAAGTCCTTATCAAATGGTAAAATCATAATCTCAAACCATATCAAACAAATGGAAAACAGCTGTCATATTCCTGGTTTGGGACAGGCATTTCCTTTTGTAGAAAATAGTGCATTAAACCTGGTTTTATAGATAGCTAAACCTAGAGAAACTATATAAAATTAAAACTGATTATTTTTTCAAAACATCATATAAATTTTTGTTCAATCAAAAAGTTGTACAGTTTGTCTTTTTTATTAGTTATATAAATTGTTAAATAGACCCTAATCAGTTCTTTTCATTGTTTTGCAGCCATGATAGGTGCCTTTTGACAAAGCAGACATAAGATTCACATGTTATTAAATAAACTTTGTTTAAGAGATTTTTTTTATATAAGGTGAACTGACTTTTTACCTTGTGGGTCTCTGACTACTGCTAAAAGTCATAAATTGACCTTTTGATAATTATTTCCTTAACTCTTTTTTATATGTGTTGCTGTCTCATTGACAATTAATCACATCTGTTAATTTTGTGTGACAAAGAAATTCTATACGGGTTATTGCAGGAATATATGTATTTGCAGAGGGGTTAGACATCACTTTTTTTATCCCATGGCCCATTTCTATTTCCATTTGTAACAGAATTGTATATGCTTTCAAACCTAGTACCCACAGAAAAATTCATGTGGTGTATGTCCAACCCTCCCATACCTTTTTTGCTGGAATAGCCATTATTGATATGTACACAATTGTTGACATGTTTATACAAGAACTTACCCATCTATCAGACTTCGTTGTCCACTCAACAGAGAGGAATGCTGACTTTGACATAACAGTGGCAGCTGTAGTAGGCTGAGGACTCCAACTCCATACTCTACAAAAACACGGTACAGAAAAATATTTAAAATTAATGCATGGGAAATAGTTTAATCAAGACTAACATGTAAATGGTTAAGCATAACAAAAAGGGCATAACCCTGGGAATAAACTCTAGAGAGTATGGTCATTTTGGTTCATTCAATCATATATGTACAAATTTTAAAGAATCATCAAAATACAATCGTTACTTTACTGGTATTTCCAGAGTTTCATTCAAATGTATCTCAAATTGTACACCATCCAGACTTTGTGAGATAAAATCAACTAAAAACAACATTTTGATAAGTTTAGTGTGATTGTGAATGGTACATACTTAACTACCCCATCGACATCTACACTGGCAATATACTGCCCTGTATTACTGAACTTGCTGTAGGATATGGCTGCTCTGTGTTCAATATAATCCTCCTATAAAATTAAATTAAATAGTGTTATACTGGGTCAGTACTGGGAAAATGTATTTATATCTTCCATATTGTTTTTAAATTACAATACATGTACGAAAGTTAATTTAAGCAGTAATCTTAAAGTAACTGTTTTTAAAGTTTTGAATATTTTTTTTAAATCAATTCATTAAGGTCTTAAAATGCTAGATGTAGCTGGTGACTTACACCAAAACTCAGTCTAGTGTTTTATTAGTCATTCTAATTTGAATTTTACCTAGATCTATTTAAATATTTGTTAGGTACTGAAACCACTAGCAAAAAACATTGTGGTTATAAACTTGATTAGGAGTGCCTGGATAAAAACAATTTGTTGACCTTCTAATTAATGCAGAATGACTACCAGTCAGTACCACACAAGGGACTAATAAATATGTCCAAGATCAGAACTCTAGAAATTATATTTCTTCACTTTAAACGAGCAAGAAAATAATTAAATACGTTAAAAACAATGTTTATTCATGTCACGTATCTGTATGTTGTGATAGATGATGTAAAAGTTATAAATGATCATATATTACACCCCTTATATTATATTTATACATAGATGTTATCATACAGCACATTTTAGAGCTAATAACTGTGCTTACCAAAAAGGATAAATAAAAAATTCAACTTTTGGTAAATATTCAAACTAACCTGGCTTAACAGTAGAAATGGACATTTATCTGTTTCATCTGGAAAAAAAACAACAACATATTTTTCGGTCTTTCACTTCAAATGCACGTACAGTAGCTAGCTAGATATTATAGAGTTACTTAAATCGGTCCTTAAAACTTAAAAAGAACATGTTTGAGCCTAGATGTATCAGTATGGTATCTATTTATCCAAGGTGATTCAGTATTCAAAACTAATTTATCAGTAAATCATGAAAATAGCATAGGAGTCAAGTCAAAAACTTTCTGTAACCCAATAAAATTTGTTAGCCATAATGAATACTTAAAAATCCCATGTTTTCATAATTACATCAATAACAGCTCTGTTACACTTTGAACTTGCACAGCACACAGTAAAACTTTATCTTTACACTGATTTTACCTGAACATTTAACGTCTTTAATGGGTGGTGTTTCAGGAGCGGGTTGACTTTGTGACCTTTGTGTAACTTCATGTGTAATCTCTTCTGTTTGAGCTGATGAAGATGATGGAGTATCTCCAACACTAATAGGCTAAAGTATTCATTAGATATTAGTAACAAAGAAAAAATGTTTCATTGTTCATATTCAAAATGATTGATAAAATGTAGTCAAACAACAACTAAAGAATGTATGTATAAAACTTTAACTAAATGCATTAGTACCACACAAATCCATTTATCAGTAAAATACCATAAAACACCAAAAAATCAATCTTTTTCTTCAAATGCTATTTCTTGTTTAAGAAACTTCTTTCCAAGTCTCATAACATTCCATGAAGGTTTTACAGTTATAGATATATCTAAACTAGGGGTTATAAAGAGCCTGTGTTGCTCACCTAGGACTATGTGCATCTTTTACAATGGACACACTCCAATATTGTAGACTAGAATAGAATAACAAAAATTTCTTTATTGTTGATCTTTTTATTGCTGATCTTTTTTTCTGTGTAGTTTTGCTCTTAGCGTTCATCATTTAAGGGCAATCATTCCTATAGAGAGTTTACTAACAATTTTGAAAAAAATTTGACTTTTTTGTAGATCGTCATTAAAGGGCAATAACTCCAATAAGGAGTAGTCGGACGATTTCCTCTATATTGTCTAAATGGTAGATCTTGTCGACCATGCAGACTTATTTGTAGAACTTGTTTTGCTGATCATTTTTGCATTTTAAAGTTTCTCCCTATCTATTATAGTTTTAAAGATAATAGGCAAAAATGAAAAAATAAATGGAGAATGTGTCCAAGGGACACAGAAGATGCCCCTGCTTGCATTTAACGTAATAAAGGGACATAACTCAAGAACAGTAAAAGGGACGCCACCCAAATCAGAATTTGATCTGTGTTTGGTGGTAATAAGCAGTGTGTATAAGTTTCATAACATTTGGTTGAGGCAAACTAAAGTTAGAGTGCAGAAATGACAAATTTAGCAGTTTTCCATTTATAAAGGGACATAACTTGATAACAGCAAAAGTGACTCCATCAAAATCCCAATTTGATTTGTGTTTGGTTGGAATAAGCATTGTGTATAAGTTTCATAACATTTAGATGAGGCAAACTGAGATTAGAGTGTGGAAACGACTTTTTCCATTTATAAAGAGCCATTACTCGAGAACATTGAAAGTGACACCTCCCAAATTCAAACTTGATCTGAGTTTGGTGGTAATAAGCATTGTGTGTAAGTTTCATAATATTTAGTTGAGTCAAAATAATGTTAGAGAACGGAAACTAATTTGGACGTGACTACCGATGAATAGGGGTAAAACTTAATACCCCCTCCACTGCAGGGGGGCATAACAATAAAAGAAAAATGAATATGTTATACAGCAACAAAAAACAACTACTGAATTACAGGTTCCTGACTTTGTTCAGGCATACGCAGGTAATGGCTGGGTTAAAAATGTTTGCAGGCGCCCTTTGCTCAGTTAACCTGGGATAGGGGTGTAACAGCATAACATATAAAAAAACAATAAAAATCAGTTGAAAAGGGCTAAACTGATCAAATATACATGTATACTAATCACAAAAACAACTAACAATCAAAGCCTTAAAGGCTGTTAATGAAATTGCTGCCTAATTAATGTTTTGTGACTTTTATTACTCATCCACATGTAAAGGAATTAAACCTGACAGGAGTCTTATCTACTGAGAAGTAAGGATGTTTTAACTTTATATCAATGAAAGACTTATTCAGCAGAAAGTCATTTTACTATGTTTTACATTTCCCAGGGGGACTTATGCCAAAAACAACAGTTTTACCTCCACCACCAGTATGTTATATTTTTAGAAACACAGGCCATGTTTATTGATTTATTCTAGAGGACAATATGCTTCCAGTATGTATACCAGTTGTTATTTAAGGTAATTGGATACATATTTAAAGCTTTTTAAAAAAGAGTTTTGTGATTGTTGTTTGTAAACATACATGTCTTTTGAAAACACTTACTAAAGCTGGAGTTAAAATGGGAATTTCAAAATTTACAGTGATAACTTAACATGCATACAATGTGTATAATACATTTAATACTGTATATATAATGGTACATACTCCAGTCAAATATCAATATTATATCTTGAATGGACTTCTCTTAACCCCTTCGCCCCCAATCCCGCCTGTAGTCGTGATTGCAACCACCATTCTTTGATGGCCGGTATGACCCTCCATACTTTTTTTAGAACTGCCCCACCTGAACTGTCTTGACAGCAGGGAGTTCAATCATGTAATTCATGGTCCATAAACTCTTCCCAGATGTGTGTTTATGAAAATATGACAACTGTAATGGCCTTTTTAGAGTTCAAAATCGGAAAAATGTGAAAAGTAGCCAAAATCAGGTGGGGGTGGGAGTCTTATTATGGCCACTATGTTACTGGTATTGGCTGTAGGTATGAACTATTATCATAAATACATGCATAGGTAGTACAGGAACACAAGAAGGTATAATATGGCCAAAAGAAATCTGTCTGTAAAATCTGAATCACTGTTTTGTCAGAAATCTTTAAAAACGGACATTTAGGCAGACCTGGCTTGCCAATAGTAATTCCCCAGCAAGGACATAAGTCACATTTCCTTCTAGTCAGCATGGATGGACTGCTGTAACTATAAGGTAATAATTGAATGACAAAGAAACACAGTTTGGTCAATGTTCACCTCTCAAGGTCGTATCAAATGGAAAAATAGACTGAAAATGGCCATTTTTCAGTAGGGGTGGGTTCAAACCCACCAGAAAATATACCACCTCCCACCCCACCCCTCATCCATGCCATCTGCCCCCAAATCTCAATACATAGTTTAAAAAATCAGCATCAGTTACAGCATCAAGAGTCAACTAATTTGTATATAATTTGCTTGTGTTTGCAAATTTTCGAAAATGCCTGATTTTCCAGAAATCTCTTGGGGTCGAATGAGTTAAACTAAAAATATTTTTTTTTTCGATTTTCAACCTTTAAGGAGTGTTTTGGTCAGTTTTACACCTCAAAACGCCCCTAAAACCCAACAGAAGTCAAATTTGACAATTATGATAAAATACGTATAACCCCTTCGCCCCCAATCCCGCCTGTAGTCGTGATAGCAACCACCATTCTTTGATGGCCCGTATGACCCTCCATACTTTTTTAGAACTGCCCAAGCTGAACTGTCTTGACAGCAGGGACTTCAAGCATGCAATTCATGGTCCAAAAACTCTTCCCAGATGTGTGTTCATGAAAATATGACAATTGTAACGGCCTTTTTAGAGTTCAAAATTGTAAAACATGAAAAGTAGCCAAAGTCAGGTGGGGGTGGGTGTCTTTTTATGGCCACTAAGTTACTGGTATGGACTGTAGGTATTAACTATTATTATACATGCATAGAATCAACTCTACAGTAGTTATACCCTGTGAAAAAACATACCTTTTTGTCTACAGTAGTTATACCCTGTGAAAAAACATACCATTTTGATTTCATTATATCTTATTATGCATTTTTTGACCTACTCAAGTGTTTGCAAACCTCTTAAAATTCTTATTTATCCTCTAACCTTTTGTTCTCGTTTCTTTTGTTTCCCAGAATCCCCTAGAAGTTCCTGTCTTTCTTTAACAAAGTCTTTTTGTTTCATCTGAATCTTTTGATGAACAGGAGTCACTTCAGCACTATTCTGATTATCTGCTGCTGGTGTTCTTTCAACCTGATCCAAAATCAAAGACATCTCTTGACCTTGATTTAAGTCTTTTGGTGACTTTGATGCTCCAGTTTCTAATTTAGAATTTGCTCTATTTGGTGGGTGTTTGTTTTGATTGTTACTTATCAACTGTTTCAATCCTCGCTGACGAGACAATGGTGAAGAACTCATTGGTTGTTGTTCAATGGCGGGTTCTGTTTTCTTGATGACTTTGGTTGCTGGTTTCTTACTTACCAATGGTGTAGCCGGCATTTTGAAAAATTTTCTTCCAGTTTTCTGTTGTTTTTCTTGTTCAACTGTATCACTGTAAAAACAAACTTACTTTAAAACCCTGGACATTCAAAAGGAAAATGAATACTCTTCCTCACAAATTTTAATCTATACAAAAATAGTTCTTTTAAAATGCATATATTTTGTTGAAAATAGTTCAAGTTGGGCAGGCTCCATTAGAAAGAAACTTTATAGCTTATAGCTGGAGCAGTTTTATTGATCACTTTTTATACTGTCATTAACCAAATCATATCATCCTTGATATCACTTTCAGAATTATGAATTCTGAGCAGTGTATATATGAATTTGTAAACCAAACTATGTATTGATATAAATAAAGATTACAGTAAGTAACACAATTATAACTTATAATCATAGAATCAAAGTAGCTTGAATGGACAAATGAAAATAATCATTTGACGATGAAGAACAATTTAAAAAAAGCTTATGCTTTTTACCAATTTGCAAGAAACATGGTAACTAATTAACTTCAAGCACAAAAACAGGCAAAATAGAAATGGCAAATATGTTACACAAAAATAACCTTCCTCCACCCACCACAATAATAAGTGGGTTGAGTTTTGGTATGTCTTTGGGTTACTGCCATATTGATTTTTAACCCATATCTCTTAAGTTAACAAATTGATTAATGGGTAAGTTACCCTGTTGAAACACAAAAGGTTCAAAAGGATCGGCATAGTGTGTACCAATGCCATTGAAACAACTGAAAGTCCTAATAGTATTCAAATACTGCAGTAAATTTTCAAATGCATTGTATTTTTTTCTTTCGAATTCACCTTAATCATCTATACTTGTTTGTTGAAAGTTGTATATTGACCTCTAAATTTGTTAAAAATTTCTGCCTCATTGACATTAAACCCCACATCTTATTCTCTTTAATTTCTCAAAAATTTTCCAGTGTTCTTAGTACCATCTTAAATGTGACTGAGTGAAGATTTAAAATAAATGGGGAATGTGTCCATGGGACACAGATGATGCCCCCGCTTGCATACAACGTTATAAAGGGTATTATAACTCAAGAACTGTAAAAGTGACACTACCCAAATTTGTACTTGATCTGAGTTTTGTGGTAATAAGCATTGTGCACAAGTTTCATAACATTTGGTTGAGGCAAAACTAAAGTTAGAGAACAGAAACAAATATTTCAGGAATTTTTCCATTTGTAAAGGGGCATAACTCTAGAACGGTGAAAGTGACGCCACCAAAATTCACACTTGGTCTGTGTTTTGTGGTGATAAGCATTATGTATAAGTTTCATAACATTTGGTTGAGGCAAACTGAAGTTAAAGAACGGAAACGAAAAATTCAGCAATTTTTCCATTTGTAAAGGGGCATAACTCCACAATGGTAAAAGTGACGTCAACAAAATTGATTGATTGATTGATTGATTGTTGGTGTTTTAACGCCACTTTTAAGCGCCACTTTTGGGCTATTTCGTGGCGGCCAGTTTTTATTGGTGGAGGAAGCCGGAGTGCCCGGAGAAAACCACCGACCTTCGATAGGAAAACTGACAATCCTAGTCAATTAAGATTGGAGTCGAGTGCACCCGCACGAGCGGGCACCAAAATTGAAACTTGATCTGTGTTTTGTGGTAATAAGCATTATGTATAAGTTTTATAACATTTGGTTGAGTCAAACTAAAATTAGAGAACAGAAACGAAAAATTCAGCAATTTTTCCATTTGTAAAGGGGCATAACTCTAGAACGGTAAAAGGGATGCCACCAAAATTCAAATTTTTGATCTGTGTTTTGTGGTAATAAGCATTGTGTATAAGTTTCATAACATTTGGTTGAGGCAAACTAAAGTTAGAGAACGGAAACCAATTTTGGGACGTACAGACGGATGTACAGATGGACAAGGGTAAAACTTAATGCCCCCTGCGATACGGCGGAGGCATAAAAAGACTATTGTAAAAGACAATTATAGATACTGATCGAAATGAACTAATTGAAATTTGGTGTTGCTTTAAGGAAACTTTATTGTTTTGAACATTCTGATGGGTCCAGATGTCACTTACCCAATCTAATTAAACTTAAAGAATATGATTTTAATTAGATTGTCATTTACTAGAAATTTAAGACTGCCCAACATAGTTACAAGATGGGAAATTGAATTTTTGAATTCATCAACTATGTAAAATCAGATTCTAAACCCATTCTATCATCAGATTCAAGTTTGATGTACAGTTTACATAAATAAAATGAAATTCATAGGACAACTGAAGTGGTAATACAAAATCAAATGAAACTGCTTTTAAAACTTGATGTAAGGGTCATTAAAACATGGTGTAAGGTGCTATTTTTTAAGATAATCACTGATGACTCTTTCTTTGGGATGCAATTAGGAATTATGGACACCACCAATACTTACTCTTCAAATCCAGAAAAATCATACACCAATTCCAGTGAATTAGCTGATCTGTTTAAACCTTCTGATGATGCAGAATCATATCTCCTTGGTATTGCACTAACAGGCTGGTTGTTAAACCTTAACTGCAACAGAATATATTTTTTTTTCATTTTCAAATACAGACCAAATTAAGCTATTTGAGGATTTTAGGAACTTACTTGATTTTCATTACAACCTGTGATTACATTTTGAACTATGTAGCCAATAAATAAAGATTCTAACTGTTAAATTTATCGGACACTTTTCATCAAGGATATGTGAATATCAAGTTTTAACAATAAAGCTAATAAATGAAAATATTAAATCTGAAAGTAAGATCTCCCAAGATCTTGAAGTTTAATTCTACTAATTCTAAATATGTTTTCTTACTTGTTGTTTCAGCTTCTCATTTTCTTCTTGCAAATCTTTCATCCTTTTGTGTTCAATGTCAAAGTTCAATAAAACTGGCGATGGTATTAAATGTTAAGGTCAACAAAATCTGAGAAAGTCTGAGAACCATTTTGAAAAAAAAACATAACCTTTGTAAATAGCATCAGAAATTTGTCTGATGAATTAATCATGATGATCTATCAAGTATGAAAATGTACTGTCCATCTTTCAATTGTGAATACATGTATTGTACATCATTCAAGTATAATTACATAAACTGTACATCTTTCAAGTATGAAAACATGTATTGTACATTGTCTCAAGTATGAATACCTGTACTGTACATTTTTCAAGTATGAATAATGTACATAACTTCTTTCAAGAATGATAACATGTACAGAACTTCTTTAAAGTATGAATATATGTACTGTACATCTTTCAAGTTTATTTTCACTTTAGTTGTCAACATTTTGTTGTTTGAATTTTAAAGGCCAATAATGCTAGCCCATCATTCCAGTACACAAAATGAAACTCCCATGATATTGCTTTGAGAAGCATGCATAAAATATCATGCCTGTTTATTTTATATGAATATTGAAAAAAATATGTGAATCAAAATTATCCAAATATTCAGCATATCACTAATTATTCATATTGAGTTTGGTTGTGTTGTAGGGTTGTGATTTTTGGTTGTGTTGTTTGGTTGTGTAGTTTGGTTGTGTTGTTTGGTTGTGTTGTAGGCTTGTGTTGTTTGGTTGTGTTGAAGGGTTGTGTAGTTTGGTTGTGTTGTTTGGTTGTGATGTTTGGTTGTGTTGTTTGGTTGTGTTATAGGGGTGTGTAGTTTGGTTGTGTTGTTTGGTTGTGTTGTAGGGTTGTGTTGTTTGGTTGTGTTGTAGGGTTGTGTAGTTTTGTTGTGGTGTTTGGTTGTGTTGTAGGGTTGTGTTGTTTGGTTGTGTTGTTTGGTTGTGTTGTAGGGTTGTGTAGTTTGGTTGTGTTGTGTTGTAGGGTTGTGTTGTAAGGTTGTGATGTTTGGTTTTGTTGTAGGATTGTGGTGTTTGGTTGTGTTGTGTTGTTTGATTGTGTTGTGTTGTTTGGTTGTGTTGTTTGGTTGTGTTGTAGGGTTGTGTTTTTTGGTCGTGTTGTTTGTTTGTGTTGTAGGGTTGTGTTTTCATTGACACTCATAATCTCTTTTAATTCATATTAAAATTGACATGTTATCTAATTATTTTATTCATATAAAGAGAGTTGTCTCATTGGCAATTATATCACATTTTCTTATTTTCATATAGATAATATACATTGTAATATGGTTTTATCATTAGGGACAATTTTCATAATATAATGATTTCCTCAAACTGTTTAATTGCTGAATAACAAAATTGCACATGTATATTAAATGTATGATCTCTTTCCCTCCTTCTCATATTTTTTTCACTAAACAGTAAAATCTTGCATCAATTGATTTCAAGCAGGACATTATATAAACACATGAAACTCATAGCCATTTAAGTTCCTATTCATGTGATTTTTATTGAAAATTTATAACAGGTATTTCATTGTATCATGTCAAAATGATTAATTCCATGACATAATTATTTCTAGGGAAACAAATTTCACTGATATCAATAAAGTTAATTTGTCTCACAATTATGTCATGGTTTTACTTAAAATTTTTGGTAATTCAGATACTGTATATATAAATTGGGGCATTCATTTCTTTTTGGTAACCCCATATTATATACTTGAATTGCATTCACAGTACTTGTAAGTGCTTTTAATTTATAATAAGAAAATCTACTATCATGATTTAAGAATTCAAAACTAACTGGGTTAAATTTTGCTTAATCATTATCTACAAACAATATAAATCATCTTTTTTGTCTGAGTCTGAACCTTAATATTCAATATTATGCAAATAAACCAGTAAGTGATAAATGTGATATTTTGTACAACACAAAGGATATGCATAGTCTGTATGATAACACTTAGAAAGTTGTACAGTGATAGGAAGAATGTATCTTGCCATTGTTTGGTGAAATACATAGAGAAATTACTGTGTTCTTCTGGATTCTTCATGAAGGCAAAGGCTGAAAAATAAAAAAAATAAATGATTATATTTTCATATGGCTACATTAATCATTTTTATGGTTTAATACTAAATATATAAAAATAAGGAGATGAGGTATGATTGCCAATGAGACAACTATCCACCAAATTCAAATAAAGTGGATGTAAGCAATTATAGGCAACTGATGGCCTTCAACAATGAGAAAAACCCATACCGTATAGTCGACTATAAAAGGCCCAGACAAGAAAAAGATGAAACAATTCAGTAGAGAAAACTAACAGTCTAAATTAAAACAAAACAATTGATGAAAAACAAATACGACAGACATATATATATACCTATGTAGCATATCATTCTGATTAAAAACAAGATCACTTACTGTGATCCATTATTAAGAATGTTGTGTTCGTGTTGCTCAGTCTTTAATTTTCTATGTTGTGTTCTGTGTACTGTTGTTTGTCTGTTGTCTTTTTTTTTCTTTCTTAGCAATGGCAATAGTCAGTTTATTTTTCGACTTATGAGTTTGAATGTCACTTTGGTATCTTTTGCCTCTCTTTTGTGAAGTTGGACTCTCATAGGCGAAACATACAAGTTTAGAAAAAATCTTTTTAATATTTTTATATCAGATTGGTTATATTTCTGTTGCACATACATTTGTAAAATTATCCTGAATTTTTTTAAAATATCCCAACAGGTCCCTCTATAGTATGAAGAATGTGTAAGTAACAGTAATCAGGTAATGTCTCTCGGTTTATCCATCTTTGTAATCATAAATGTTGTCCGACCACAAAAAATTTGTAACACATTTGGATTTCCCTGCTTCATAATAAAGTATTTACACACATGCTATAAGTACTAAAACATATCATGAAACATTACAAAGTTGTTGCAAATTGAAAAAGAAAACATACCAAACCAGTCTTTAAATTCTGCTTGATTCTGTAATTCTGGTGTCATCTTTTCAAAGAAATCAGTAACTCTGTCATGTCTGTTAAGTTGTTGAGCATTGACCAGATAAAACTTTAACAATCCTACTTCTAATTTTCGTACACTGCTTAAATACCTTGTTTCTAGGCGACTAAACAGTCTTTGATTCAAGTAACTCCAATATTCTCGTAAATTAGAAAGATCATAGTTTACTACATATGTCTGCAATTGTTCTAGAATACGATCAGCCTATAAAAAAACAAATGTTTAGTAAAAATCTGTAGAAATGAAGAAAAAAAAAAGAACAAACATCAATTTATTGAAGGAAAATGTATAATTTATGCTGAAATTCATCAGTAAAGTATATGAATATTATAAAACAATGTGCATGTTTAAACTATATAGTGTTGTCAATGATTAACCGTCAGAAGGACTAAATATCGAATACCAAAAACGCTAACCGGTTAACCGGACCCTTTTTTCAATTTTAATAGATTTGATATAAATGTATATTGAAATCATTCATACTTTTTGTTCAATTTAGAAATGATCCTTGTGGTAATTAATTTGACAGATCAATTGTCAAGTATATTGATTGCTATTGTTAATCCCAAAAACATTAAATTAATTAGAACAAAGACAACTTGTCTATCCAGCTCGGGGCAAGATCTTAAGTAAACATAATTAGCATAAATGTATTTTGAACAGTAACTGTTGTAACACGATTAAATTTTACGATTTACATCAGTATTTCATTTTTGATTTAATATTGCGTAGACCTTCATCTCAAAACTGCCACCTACATCATCCAAGGCTTTGTCATACTTTAAACGAAATGCCGACTCAAAAATAGTGAAATGCAAATCAACGTGAATGGAATTATTGTATAGTGGATGGTACGAGTAGCACGCTTAATCATTTCAAATTGAAACACTCCATATTATTTTCTAGGACATCAGAGAAAATGAAACTATCACTGTTTTCAGACATTTTCAATTTGACGAGATCAAGAAGCTTTTCATCTTCTCAAACTGAAGTTATTACAAACATCATAGTAGATACGGTAGTATATATGGATAATGAAAAGTAAAACTTCACCAGGAATGCTCACAACCAAGCCTTATAATGCCCAAGAATAAACTTCAATTGATCGTATCCTTAAAACGTACATTTGTAGGGTACTATAGATAAGATTTATACACATCAACTTAACCTCCGGTTAACCGGTTAATTGGTCGAAAGGTTATCCAACTAACCGGTTTAGGCAAAACTGTTCGATTTGACAACACTAGTTTAAACAAATATTCAAACAAATATGTGAAGAAGTTGATTAATTTAGTTTGAATCTATAAAGTTCTATAAAGGAATTAAAAAGGACAAAAATGTGTCTTTCAAATCTTCTCCCTGACTTAACAAACTTAGTGAAAAGCCATTAACTGTGTTGTTAATTCTTCACAATGCATCTGGTATTTGGGGGAATAGACATCATTTCCCAGTAATTTGAACTAAATTCTAATTTGAAGCGATATTTAAATGTTTCTTTTTTTATAAGGATTCAATTGATGATTTTTCCATGTAATCTTATTTGTAGATCTTATTTTGTAGGAAATTTTGGCTTTAACAATTTCACATCAGCAAAAAATGCAAAAATTGGGTAAAAACGGTCTCTCAAGGGCAATAGCTACTGTAAAGGGTCAACTGATGATTTCGAATTTTGTTGATGGATCAAATCCCAGGATACAATTTTTAAACTAGATACCCTGAAGATTGATTGATTTTTGGTGTTTTTAACGCCACTTTTAAGCACCGCTTTTGGGCTATTTCGTGGCGACCAGTTTTTATTGGTGGAGGAAGCCGGAGTGCCCGGAGAAAACCACCGACCTTCGATAGGAAAACTGACAATCCTAGACAATTAAGATTGGAGTCGAGTGCACCTGCACGAGCGGGGTTCGAACTCACAACCTCAGTGTTGACTGGCTAGTGATCACAGTAGTAACTACTTAGACCACTCGGCCACCGAGGCCCCTGATACCCTGAAGAACATTCAGATTAAATTTGGTAGCATTTGGCGCAGTACTTCAGAGAAGAGCCTGTGTCGCTCACCTGCATCTCAACAATAGCCATTTTTAGCCATTTTTAAGTAAAAATCATCATGACAGGGCAAAAACTCTATAAAGAATTAACTGACAATTTCAGTCATGTTGACATATTTGTAGATCTTGTCTTTGCTGATCATTTTTACTCTATAAAGTTTCTATCTATCTATTTATATAGTTTTCAAAATAATAGGCAAAAATGCAAAAAATTTGAAAATCTTCATTAAAGGGCAATAACATCACTAAGGAGTCAACTGACAATTTTGGTTGTTTTGACTTATTTGTCAATCTTGACTTGTTCATTTTGGCTTTATAAAGTTTCTTTTCTAATACAGTTTTTTAAAAGATTCAAGACAAAAACGCAAGAAATTGGTAAAAATCATCCATATTCATGAGCAATAACTCCAATACGGAGTCATCTGATGATTTCAGCCATGTTTGACTTATATGTAGATCTTTTCTTGCTTATCATTTATCCCAATAAAAAATTCTCTGTATCTATTATAGTTTTAAAATAATAGACCAAATTGAAAAAAATTGATAGAATTTGACATTTATAGGGCTATAACTCCTATAAAAAGTCAGTTTTGATGTTAATGGACAGCAGGTAGATCTCCACATTTTCAACATTTCTGCCCCTGTCAGATTTTCTCTATTCATAGTGGTTTTCAAGATAATAGACAAAACTTGCATTTTTCCCCTATGTTCTATTTTTAGCCATGTCAGCCATCTTGGTTGACAGGCAGGGTCATCAGACACATTTTTTAAACTAGATACCCCAATAATGATTGTGGCCAAGTTTGGTTAAATATGGCCGAGTAGTTTCAGAGGCGAAGACTTATGTGAAAGATAACAGACGATGACTAGGACGATAGAAGTCAAGTGATGAGAAAAGCTCACTTGGCCTATCGGCCAGGTGACCTCAAAAAGGAAGTTAAAGGGAGGATGTTTAGAGGCAGTTGGTGGAGTTTTCAGTGTCAAGAAACAGGTCCCAGTTTCTCTGCGAGGGAAATAACTCCTCACAAAAGGGCATATGTTTTACAGTGCTAGATGAATAAATCTGCAGCAACATTCAGTCAAATGGGGACTTAAGACCAGATGCCTCTTGTCGGCAAAGGTCTGCATGTTAAAGAAAATTTGCAATTACTCTTTGAGAGGTATCCAAACTGCCTTCATTTCCCAACTCGTATATATGTCACTTTATTCATACAGATCAATCCAATTTGCAGAGTCTACCTAATATATTTATTGTTTATTTGTTCTTTTTATGTAATAAGCATGACATATTTTCCACATTAATCAAAAAACAAATAATCAATTAATCAAAACATTAAATGTATCATAATGTACATGCATGAAAAATGTATACATGTATTAGTAAATACAAACAATAAAATAAATATTTCATTTCAAAATATCGCTTGATAACAACAACACTTAAGCAAACTGCAACTTTAATAGACCACTTTCGAGTAATGTCCTTCACTGGAAAAGTTTGTCAATTATGCGCACCTTTATGACGTCATTTACCAGATAGGGGGACCCTCCTGTATCCCTGCACTATTAAAGTTCATCAAGCACCTCCGTGATCGTCAGTATGCAGGATAAACTAGAAATATTGTTCTTTCGTAGGTACTTAATTACAATTCCCTAATAACAGCAGTGCTGATTATCAATTCGACTAAGTATTTAATTTGCTGAATAATTCGTGCAATATAGCATCATATTTTTTTTTAACCGCTCGCTCAACATGGGAAGGAAATGACGATGCCCCTAAATGCACAAATGATGTTCATTAAAGTTTTTGACGGAAAAGCAACGGACTCAAAGAGGTCGATTGGTAGACATGTTATGTCTATTAGATCGGCATCTTCAGGACAAGGCTTACAGATATCAAAGTACATGGTAGTGGTATCAGGTTCATTGTGTCTTTCCAATTGAATGCTTGTTGTTTGCTTAACATATGCTTAAGGTCCAATATATGTATTTACACTTGGATGCAAATTTGTCCGCCATTACTTAAAATCACACAAGTTCCTGTAAAGTTTGACATCACAATTTAAAAAATTTGACATCATACCGTAATTAAAAAGTGATAGTTGCTTGACATCAGAAGGCTATTCGGAGACAGATCTAAGGTCATTCTGAGACAAAATTCAGCTAAATACCAACAGTGTAAATACATTTATGGCAATACGTTTGATCCATATCATTTCCTTTACCAGAAATACTCTTTTATTATGCGCTGATTTCTCAAGTCATTTAAACGTTTTATGGGCTAACTGGATCCCTGCATCTTTGAAGTGATTAAGTAATTGTGACTGCTTGACATTTTTCGAAACACCCGTCTTTATTCTCATGTACATAATCCAACCCTGCCTTATGAAATATATTAATTTTATCTTTTAAAAACAGTTATCGAATCAGCCATATGGAATTTATCCCCATTAGAATATTCATCCCTTAGCTAAAACTACTAACGTAGATTTTATGCCCAACAAACGCATAAATGACTTCAAAAAATAACATCACATAAAACCAAACACCTTGACAGAAAGATAACGATTGGAATCAAGCATATTGTTGAATATACACAAATGTACATAAATTAAAGGCTCAAAGTTGTAAGTACATCTCATCTAAAGAAGGGCTTGCTGTCGTCAGAGACATGTATATGTCTCTGCTGTCGTGAAAGGCACAGATTTAATATCTTTAAGGTGAGGTAGTTTATAAAAAAAAATCTGAATAGAGTAAATAGGGAACTAATGATTGTCTTTTGGTCGTTTTTTCGTTTTTTGACATGGCATTGTCAGTTTGTTTTCGACTTACGTTTAAAATTATATCCCTAATTATGGTGGTATCTTTCGCCTCTCTTTTACTGGTCACTAATTTGATATATTTTTATTTGCTAAAATTGCTGTGATGTATAAACGTATGATTAATTTTAAAGACTATTGCATTGAACATCCAATCAGGGAAATGACACCTAGGAAAGCTAACAAAATCGAAACTGAGAGTGAGAGTATGATCGGTGTTTATGATTTCATTGTTAAAATTATCACGGAATCCAAAATGTTTACCCTGAGACCCTTTTCTTTCTCGTTTTTTAGCTCTGCCTCAAATGTTCTATATGTAGTCGTCAAACCACGATAAATTAAATAATCTTTCACAAGTTCATCAACCCTCCCAGTAGCAGAAGCCATTATTTATTGTTAAATCGTGAGGGCTTCCGAATATTATGGGAGGCTACTCTGGTTATTAATTACGCGGGAAATATAAAGTTGTCCTTCAAATCTTTCTTCATGGCTTAATAAACTAGGCGAAATTAGTGTTGTTAATTGTTCACAATGCAACTGGTATTTAAGAGAATAAACATCAATTTGAAGTAATTTCTAGTTTGAGGCGATATCAAATATCAACATTTTTTTTTGCATTAAAATTCTGTAGTATATATGTCATCTGTATATTTCCTAGGGTTTTACAAGATCATGCCTTCCTGTACTGTTATGACGTTAATGTATGAAATGTTCTGATGTGTGGTAGTGCTTCATTAGAAATCTCTTGGTAAGATAAGGTTCCAATTTTCCTGACCAAATTTCAACGACAGAGGTGTTCACAATCTTTTATTCGCCTTGATATTCCAACACTCACTCTGGTCAGAAACTCTGATAGTTAGACAACCTATTTGTCTGACACCCCAATAGTCCGACAAAGGTCGTAATGGAAAATCTACTTCATAGAATTGGTACTGAATAGGTATTTGAAATACTCTGAAATGGACAATGCCATTTATTTTTTATTTCTACTGCCGCTTACTGCCCATCTGGTAAAATGACTTGACCCTACACATTTATATACAATTGAGAACAAATGCAATATTTTGGTTTACATATACGAAAGTCCATAGGAAAAAATACACACTGTGCTAAAAATGAAAATTCTAAAGAGCCTGTGTTTCTCACCTTGTCAAATCTATGCCCATTTTTAACAATGGCAACTCTCCAACATTAAAGACTTAAGGCTATAATTTATGACTAATATCTCATTTTTGAAGATTTTGTATTGCTTGTAATTTTTTTCTGTTTTCAGTTTCTCCCTATTATTGTTTTTGTATAATATACAAAAATTGGGTGAAAATCATCTTCAAGCGGCATTTATAACTCCTATAAGGGGTCAACTGAAATTTTAGTTATGTTGATCCTAATAATATTTGCAGATTTCGTGTCTTGCTTATATTTAATGTTTTTTTGTTTACAAATTTCCATTTATCTACTATTGTTTTGGTCAAATATGCAAAAATTTGGTAAAATTCATCATTAAAGGGCAATAACTCTTATAAGGGTCAGGAGACAATTTTTGGCCATCTTGAAAATTTCATAGATCTTTGTCCTTTTGATAATTTTGGCTGTTAACACATTGGCTTTTTTTTTACTCCAAAAATGTAACAATTGGTAAAGCCCATCATTTATAGGTAATAAATCATATGGGGAGTCAACCAAACTATTTCGGTCATATCACAAAATCAGTAGATCTTGACTTGCATGATGATTATTTTTGCAATTTGAATTTTCTCTTCATCTATTATATAAATGTTCAAGAAAATAAACCAACACACAAAAAACTGATAAAAATCATCATTTAGGGACTTAACTCTTATAAGGAGTTGACTTAAGATTTCTGCCGTTCTTACAAATTTGTAGATCTTGTCCTGATGATTATTTTTGCCATTTAAAGTTACGCTCTATTATAGGTTTTAAGATAATAGGCAACACAAAAAAATGTTATTTAAGGGCAATAACTCATAAAAGGATCTTTTTGTAAATAGACAGGTGGTAGATCTCAACTTTTCGAACATTTCTGTATTGTCAGATTTTCTCTTTCTATAGCAGTTTTCAAGATACTGGTAAAAAACAAACATTTGCATTTTACTCCTTTGTTCTATATTTACCCATGTTGGCCATGTTGGTTGGAAGGTGGGATCATTGGACAAACATTTTAAACTAGGTAACCTAAGGATGATTGTGGCTATAAGTTTGGTTCTGTTTGGTCCAGTAGTTTCAAAGGAGAAGACTTTTGTAAAAATTAACAGACGACAACGGATGTCAAGTGATGAGAAAAACTCACTTGACTCTTTGGGTTAAGTGAGCTAAAAAGGTATTTTACCCTAACATCAACATCTTTTTGTAATGTAATAATGAAAATAGCTTATCTTAGAATTCAGATATTGAATAATATTCAGTGAGTGACCAAACAAAACATGAATTCATGAATGTGTGTGTAGGTTTTGAGACCATCTTACTCCAAGAGAACAAGAACCTAATTAATCGGCACGTTTATTTCTTTCAAAGGAATTTGATATCATCAATCATCCAACTCCAAAGGTTCAATTTACGCTTCATGTAAAATTTGGAAAAATCATCTTGGTTACAGACACACAAATATAAAAGCTTTGATTTGGATATGAAAACCTCCATTTCAAGTCACCAGACTTTGGTGTCCAAATCCCCAGAATGTAAAACAATACATATGCAAAGTAAATTAAAGTCATGATATTATATTAGCTGTTTTTCATGAAATTAACTAGACTGTTATATACCGTAACCAGTCAGTTTTCATAGCTGTCTATTTATTTGCCTAACCAAGTGTCAAAATAATTTGCAGACATTGTCTTATAATAAGGTGTCATCTCTTAGGTTTGTTGCTGGATACCTTTCAGTAAATATCAAGATAAAGATTAGCAATAAAAGTTCTGTTCCTTTGAAATAATGTTTATCTATGAGGCAACAGATGTTTAAAACAAGCAAATCTATTAGCCAACAGGATTTCCAAACTGGTAAATCCTAAATAAACAAACCAAGGGAAAAAAACTGATGTCATCTGCAAGTATTTCATAGATTTTTGTCTCATGCATTCACGTTTTTTTTTTCAACAGCTCCTTAGACCCTACTTTAAGGTTTGACTAGCTGTTCTTTACCTTGGATAAAATATGTAAAAACTCTGTATGATTGTTCTTGCTTAATCTTTGTTGTTAGGTTGATTTCTTACTGACCTTAACCGTAATCTCGGTTTCTAGTAATTATCTCAGAGTTGTGAATCAAAATACCATTTATTGCGAACCAAATGATACTTTTCGACAGATTCACTTGAAAGTTACCTGTCCATTTAAACTTTTGTAAGTTCTTTTGTCCCATCTAATAAATACAATACCTATTGTTCTCTGTGTTGTTTATTCAATGGGACCTTTAAACTTCTTCAATGAGAAATCTATCACTCACTGACTAATTTACCTGAACAAAAAAATTAACTTTCAATGATGAAAATATATGTACCAATACTAAATAAGGACTCACAAAACTGCATGTGATGTTGTATTTATTCAATAGTACAAATACATTTTCAATTGTTCAATATAAACACCGATTCAAAAATTGAAAGTTGATTTCTGATCAAATTTTCAATATTTTACCTATTAAAATTTGCTTTTTTTGTGTGTTTGACAAACAAAAACTAGAAATGATGATGTTTTAATTAAGGCCTTCATAAATGTATTCTATAACTGAACAACCACAAAAAACATGCAAATTCATTGGAACAATACTAAAAATTTTGTCAGAAATAAACTTTTTATAATTGAATCAGTGTTTATTTTGAACAGATTGAAAATATATTATTGATATTGAATAAATACAACATCACATGCAGTTTTCTGAGTTTTATACATGTATTTCAATCAACAAAGAAGATAATTTTTTGGTCAAGTAAATTAATCAATGAGTGATAGATTTCTCCTAGAAGAAGTTTAAAGGTCCCATTAAATAAACTACACAGAGAACAATAGCTATTGTATTTATTCAATGGGACAATAGAACAGACAAAAGTTTAAATCGACAGGTAACTTTCAAGTGAATCTGTAGAAAAGTATAATTTTGTTCGTAATAATCTCTAAATGTAATTAAGACTTTATTAGGACTTTTAAGTTTTTTTGTTCAAGCGTCACTGATGACTCTTTTGTAGATGAAACACGCGTCTGGCGTACAAAATTATAAGCCTGGTATCTTTGATGAGTTTTTCAGACAGAAATAATCATTCGTCTGTATTTTATTTCATAAAACAATGAATAAACATATTCAACTTGAAATAAATGTATTAAATAAACATGATAGCACTTGTATACATAGAACATGAAAAAAGGTGTCTAAAATGATAGAAAATCTAAAAATGTATAAAAATATAAAATAAATATATGAGCAAACATATGTTCCAACATTTCAACACTTCAATCAGTGAAACAAAAACGACTCCTGGAAAAATTGATAGATTGTAATGTGCTTAATATCCAGTGGCAAATATTTCATGCATATTCAGGATTATCCATCGAAAAAAGAAAGATCCCTAGCTGAATAAATATATTACTATGACACAAATGTTCCCTTCCCCTTTAAGTAAGATATGAAAAAGTGCAATGATTCTTTGAAAAGTATTTCAACCAAATTGAAACAGAAACTTGACATGTACTCATCAATACACAGACAAATACAACTTTTGTTAAATTTAGTCCAACACAATATAAATTCTGTCAAAGCTGGTGACAGAAACAAAACCTAATATTTAATCTATGACAAATCATTAGTAATTATAATAAAAAAAAAGGCCAATGTAGGCCAAATACTTTGTGACAGGAGCATAAAAATCATTTATCAGTGCAAAGAAGATATTTCTTAAAAACACTTTTTGTGAAAATTTTCCAAAAATAATTGTGCCCGATTTCCATTTTTTTTTTCTCTAGGTTGATGCTATTTAAGAAAATAAAACTTCATTAAGGGAATTAAGTTGGTCACAGATTCTTACATTCATTAATCATGAGCAAATGCAATTGTACATGAAAAAAAGGCATAAATGAATCTTTAATACTGCAGCAAAAAAAAATCCCAGATAAAAAAATTAAATAAATTGATATTTTTCTTCTATTGTGCCTCTAAGGTAAATCACAATGCATACTGGTACACGAAAACTTGGTGGAATATAAATGAAACTCTTAAAATGAATAGCACAACCTCACAATGAAAAATTGCACATTAGAAAATCATGGTTTATCATACACATGTTATTATTAATACATGTAATAAGGTGGGGAAAAATCTGCTGCAAATATGGCACAATCTTAATCCTAATTAGGTAGAATATAAGATTCATTTTTATAAGTGTGTGTCCTACTTACCTCAGAAAGTCATTATTGATAACAGAGAATCTTGCGATTAAACCAATTTGGATACATATTGAAAAGTTAATGAATATTTAGTAGCAGTGAAAATTTTTTTTAAACCATTTGATGTTAATACAGAAAGTTTCACCAAAAAAAATACTTTGTACAAATTGTGGAACACACTTAAGTACATGTTGTCTACAATTTGTCAGGTTAATACAGTGTTAAGTTATAAAGTTGACATAATACAATACAAGATATAATAGTAATATGTTAATCAAATTTATATGGTCAAAATCATACTTATTTCAAATCAGTGACCAACAAGGAAAATAAAGCATCTTAACACTTGATTCCATAATAAACAAGAGTGCACACGCTGAAATGTCTCGCCTTCTTTACTAATCATTGATATTATGTTGATAGTCCTAAATATAAAGCTTTATTACAACTGTCACATAAACTTAACATTAACCAAGAAAACTAAACATTGACCAATGAACCATGAAAATGAGGTCAAGGTCAGATGAACCATGCCAGGCAGACATGTACAGTTAACAATTCTTCCATATAACAAATATAGTTGACCTATTGCTTATAGTTTAAGAAAAACAGACCAAAACACAAAAACTTAACACTGAGCAATGAACCATGAAAATGAGGTCAAGGTCATATAAAACCTGCGCGACTGACATATAGATCATAAAATATTTCCATACACCAAATATAGATGACCTATTGCATATAGTATTAGAAAAAAAGACCAAAACTCAAAAACTTAACTTTGACCACTGAAACATGAAAACGAGGTCAAGGTCAGATGACACCTGCCAGCTAGACATGTACACATTACAATCATTACATACACCAAATATAGTAGACCTATTGCATACAGTATAAGAAAAACAGACCAAAACACAAAAACTTAACTATAACCACTGAACCATGAAAATGAGGTCAAGGTCAGATGACACCTGCCAGTTGGACATGTACACCTTACAGTCCTTCCATACACCGAATATACTAGACCTATTGCTTATAGTATCTGAGATATGGACTTGACCACCAAAACTTAACCTTGTTCACTGATCCATGAAATGAGGTCGAGGTCAAGTGAAAACTGTCTGACAGGCATGAGGACCTTGCAAGGTACGCACATACCAATTATAGTTATCGTACTACTTATAATAAGAGAGAATTTAACATTACAAAAAATGTTAACTTTTTTTTCAAGTAGTCACTGAACCATGAAAATGAGGTCAAGGACATTGGACATGTGACTGACGGAAACTTCGTAACATGAGGCATCCATATACAAAGTATGAAGCATCCAGGTCTTCTACCTTCTAAAATATAAAGCTTTTAAGAAGTTAGCTAACGCCGCCGCCGCCGGATCACTATCCCTATGTTGAGCTTTCTGCGACAAAAGTCGCAGGCTCGACAAAAACTGTAAACTTTTATAAAAAAAAAAAAAAATAAAGCATTCTCTCGATACATTTGTATAACTAACCAAGTGAAAGGAAAACTGATGCATGGAAATACTAGTAAAATGAAGTTTTAAAAATCATGTCATGTCCTCATTCAAATAAATTGCATTAAAAACTGACATATTTTCCCTATAATTTTATAATGAAGTTAAATCTATAAACATGTACATTTTTTACAATATGTAAAGTTCTGTAATTAAATGAAAACGAAAATACTTTTTGAAATTATCCATTTACTTACCACAACTTGACAAATCTACCTCCTGAAGTAACAGATAAGTTGTGTCATCAAAACAAAGCAAATATATACATTTTCATAAAGCCACAATTTTGAAAAAATGTTATTAATCAATGTATCATCTAAATTTTTTCATTTTCTAAGAATTTCCAGTGCAAGATAATACTAAATAAATGAGGAATGTGTCCAGGGGACACAGATGATGCCCCCGCTTGCATATCATATTAAGTTATAAAGGGACATAACTGAAAAACAGTAAAAGTGACGCTACCAAAATTTGTACTTGATCTGAGTATTGTAGTAATAAGTATTTTGTATAAGTTTCATAAAATTTGGTTCAGGTAAACTTAAGTTAGAGAATGGAAACGAAAAATTCAGCAATTTTTCCGTTTGTAAAGGGGCATAACTCTAGAATGGTTTAAGTGACACCACCAAAATTCAAACTTGATCTGTATTTTGTGGTAATAAGCATTGTGTATAAGTTTCATTACATTTGGTTGAGGCAAACTAAAGTTAGAAAACGGAAACGAAAAATTCAGCAATTTTTCCATTTGTAAAGGGCATAACTCTAGAACGGTTAAAGTGACACCACCAAAATTCAAACTTGATCTGTATTTTGTGGTAATAAGCATTGTGTATAAGTTTCATAACATTTGGTTGAGGCAAACTTAAGTTAGAGAATGGAAACGAAAAATTCAGCAATTTTTTCCATTTGTAAAGGGGCATAACTCTAGAATGGTTAAAGTGATGCCACCAAAATTCAAACTTAATCTGTGTTTTGTGGTAATAAGCATTGTGTATAAGTTTCATAACATTTGGTTGAGGCAAACTAAAGTTAGAGAACGGAAACCAACTATGGGATGTACGTACGGACGTACAGACGGACAAGGGTAAAACTTAATGCCCCCTCAGCTACAGTGGGGGCATACCTACGGCTGGGGCATAAAAATAGGTCAGTCTCAAATGCCTGGATTGCAATATTTGTGACTAGTCACTAAATTTTCCATCTGAAAATTATGTTAAATATGTATGATCTTTGCTGCCAAGACAAATAAATGAGGTACAAACAATTAATACCGGTACTACACTATCACATTTTTGTTATTATCATTAACAGACACTTAATATGGTATAACACTCATACAAGAATAAAGTCAGATTTCAGAAGTTCATCTACTGTAATGGTTAGTAATGCTGTTTTTTTTTATTACTTCTTTTTTTATGTTATCAAAATTTTTCATGATCAACCCTTACAAGGATAGTCAAATTTTTAGTCAAATCCTCATTGAGTACATAGTAAGCATTGTTCAATTTATCTAAACATACATTTTGTTGTTTATGACTATAATCTTCAATAGAAAGAACATCAAATGGACAATCAATACATCCTGGGTTATCAAATGTGTCTTTTGAAATCACCCCTACTCCTTCTTTTAGATTAACCAACTGAATGTGGGGAGGTCAAATTTCTCCATCTGGTAAAATATCTCCTACTTTTCTCTCACCTTTACTATTAGTTGAATACAAAATGTACAAACCAAAGTTTAACACAATATCCACCTCTTACACTTGAAGCAAACTGTGGACAAATTAAATCTTATATTGATTTTACATCTGTTCCATTTTTAAGTGTAATGTTTGGTAGTTTGAATAATTAAATAATAAATTGAAACATAACTTGCTTATCAACTGAGTTATCAAAACTTCATTAATTTATGAGTCATAAAAAGTTAAGTTATAAGGAATAAATATATAAGCAAAATAGTTCTGCTCAAAATATTTTCTGCTTTATTTAAGTGTAATTTTTATATCAGCATAAAGAGATGAAAAAAGCCATTGGCAGCATGTGTAAATAACCCACTAATATGGCATCTAAGGATCAGAGAATTAACAAAATTACAAAATTCAACTTGTAAAATATATTGCTGACATAAATATTGCCACAATTAAGTTCTTTGCATCAATCTGAACACTATCAGGTACTGCCTTGTTGAGCAAAACTAGATTTTAATTTATATTTCTAAAGTCAGTGGAAACCAGATGCTGCTGCTAGGTCTTCTAGTTCTGCCCTCCCTCTTTCGAGTCTCATACGTGGTTTAAGAGCTCTAGTGCCTAAATTTGTTATGGCTGGATCGTCGCTACGAAGAATAACTCGTGCTCCCCTCCCCTAAAAAAAAACAGTTGAAAAAGTATTGTATCAGTAGCAATAATTCTAGAACAAAAAGTGTAGTTATGTTTACAAAACCCAGATATTTGCATAGCCTGGTTAGTGGCCTTTCAGTTAATTGCATAGAAAAAAATCACCAGTTAGATAAGCTTAGTCATGAAATGTCAGTTAGTAATTGGAAAGTTTTTTTTTTTAAATCTTTCTTGAATGCATTCTTAATCTCGTTTTTATTTCAAATTTACTTTTGTTTTATTTAAATAAAGTTTAAAACAGCTACTTTCATGTTTATATGATGCAATATTAATCAATTTCCCTCAGTATTTACAGGTAAATTTCGTCATTCAATAATAATTAGTTAACTGTGACCTATAGTTCTTAACTTTTACATCATTTGGTCTCTGGTTGAGAGTTGTCTCATTGACAATCATACCATATCTTCTAATTTTTATAGTGAAAAATTTGCATACATCTGAAATAATGTTCATTTATAGTAAAAAAAATTTCATAATGATAAAAAAAAAACAGCAAAAAATAAATTGTAAAAACCAAAAGCAGTGCTTTCATAGAACCTAATAAAAAATTTTAATGAAAGCAAACTTGACTTGTTATCAAATCTGTGATAGAAATACTCATTTTTCAATGTAAACAGTCCTATAACATTTTAAACATACTAGAAATAAATCAAAAAGCTTATGAGCACTGAAGGGTAAAGAACACATTCATTTTGCAGTGGGAACTAAAAGTTAAACATTGCATTGTATTAATTCATACCACATAAGATTCATGCATCATGCACAACTATAAATATGTACTGTTTTGTTGACAAGTATGGTACACTAGGTTTATATACACATACACATCATTTTTAACTTAAATATCTTGAGTATATGTATCACTGATAAATTTTTTGAAAAGAACATGGATAAGATGTATAGAATGTCATGCTCAATGCTTCTACTTTTATGAAATATTTTCAGACAGACACATATAGTGAACTGATAATTGTATACCATAAACATCTTCTTTTCAATAGCTATACAAAAATTCAGTCAGTTTCCTGCGGTTGTTGAAATTTGTTGTTCCAAAAATATTTTTCCTTATTCTATATTTTTTTAATTTTTTTAAAATAAAATCAATGATTAATTGAACTAGAGGCTCTTAAGAGCCTATGTCGCTCACCGGCATCTTCAACAATGGCCACTTTTTAGTAAAAATCATCATTAAAGGGGAATAACTCTATTAAGAGTTAACTGACAATTTCAGTCATATTGACATATTTGTAGATCTTATGTCCTACTGATAATTTTTCCTGTTAAAAGTTTTTATAAATCTATTATAGGTTTCAAGATAGTAGACAAAAAATGCCAAAAAATGTTAAAAATTATCATTTAAGGGCAATAACTCCAATAATGAGTAGACTGAAGATTTCGGCCATACAGCTTATTTGTTGAATTTGTCTTGCTGATCATTTGTGCTATTTAAAATTTCTATCTATCTACATTATAACAGTTTTCAAAATAACAGGCAAAAATGGGAAAAATTTCGGTCATGTTGACTTATTTGTAGATTTTGTCTTGCCGATCATTTTTGCTTTTTAAAGATTCCAAAGTTTTCAAAATAATAGGCAGAACTTACATTTTACCCCTATGTTCTATTGTTAGCCATCATGGTTGGCAGGCAGGGTCATCGGACAAATTTTTAAAACTAGATACCCATGATTGTGGCCATGTTTGATTAAATTTGGATCAGTTGTTTCAGAGGAGAAGATTTTTGTGAAAGTTAACAGACCATTACCCTATGATTCATTAAATCCATACTTTCTTTATCTTCTTCAGATTTCTTTCGATCCTGAAAAAATAATTAAAAATAAGTTTATTTATAAATGCTTTTTACCTCATATTTGAATATATTGTACAGGTAAATAAAATACAGAAAACAATTTTAAATTTCTTCACCCCATTTAAATCTGTTTCAAGCATTTTTTTGAATGCAAGACATCTGCTGACACTTTTGAATGTACATTCAAGGGGAACAATGTCAATTTCTTGTTAGCTCATCCCTACCATATCTCACTATCAATACGATCAGAATATAAGAATAAAATTTGGTTAACTTATCAAAATTACAGAAACCTATATGATAGTGGAGTATTGAAGGCATAAACAGAACAGATATTAGATCTTCTATGGAGTTTGACTGATACCTTAAAGATTTGTTTTTTAAGTTCCTTGCACTGACCTTCATCAATACTCCCATCATCAACCCCTCAAAATTGTTTTCCCATTCACCACAACTACTCTCTTCGTTAGTTTATCAAATCAATTAAATTTAGAAATCTCAAAAAGTAAGCCAGCACTCAAGAATTTTCCTTGACAGTCCTTTCAAACATTAACTTGAACAGTTATTTTAAACTTTCAAACTGTATATCAGTTGCATTGTTAGAATCTTGAGGAGAGTTGTCTCATTGGCAATCATACCACATCTTCTTATTTTTATATTTACTGCAGGGTTTGTTACTCGTGCTGTGTGGATGCAATAAAATGTGTCCCCGTGCCTGTAGTGTATGCCCTTATATTTTACAGTAAGGGTTTTTTGCTTGTGAGAGAGCTGTCTACATATTCCATTATATTAATGTTCTATTTCTTTTACTGTGTCATTTGGTCTCTTGTGGAGAGTTGTCTCATTGGCAATCATACCACATCTTCTTATTTTTATATTTACTTATAAATGTAGGAAAAAGTCAACTTAAATGGTTTCAGAAATGTAGTTTACATGAAGTAGGTCAAAATTATCTTAATTCTTTATATTATGTTATGTAAATGTTGAAATAAACTACATCAATGTAAACAATGCATAAAATGTAGGTCTTAGAGGCCTGAGTGTTTCTAAATTATAAAATGAACATTTAAGGTTTGAAGTTGTAAAATTGTAATTCTCACAATATAAAATAAGGAGATGTGGTAGGATTGCCAATGAGACAATTATCAAACAGTGTCCAAATGAAGCAGATTTAAGCAACTACAGGCCACCAACTGTAAGTGGAATGAAAGAAATATAGACATGGATATATATACTCAAAACAGATGACATGGTTTAGCAAACAAATGGAAAACCAAAAATATGAAATAACTCAAGAATGACACAAGAGATACCTCTTTTACAACACAGTTCTTTACATTGTAGGTACACTTGAAAAAAAAATCAACAAAAATTTTTAATTTGGCTATTTTTCCACATAATCAGGTGATATAACTTAGGAAAAACAATAATGCATAATGTCAAAGTTGAAAGTGACCCATTTTTAACATTACAAACATCATTTTTAAACACCAAATGATGTGATAAAGCCATACTTTATTACCTGAACTAAACTGCAACCAATAATGGTACAGATGGAAGGCTGGACAGACAAAATTCCCATGTTGCTTTGCATAGAAATTTATCAGTTGCCCCACACCTTTGTTTATTGATATGTACATACAGATAGACAGACAGTTATGCCCCTGAATTTTATACTTACATAACGCTCTAAAAGTACAATTGCTATGATCCAAATTATTGCAGAAAATAAAAGTATTGTCCATACCAAATTATTCTTCATAAATATTGCTGAAACATAGAACAGAGATATCAGTACATAGCCACTTCTACCACTAATAAGGATCATGTACTATTGGAGACTATATGGAAAATTGAAAATAATTATTGAATATTAAATGGCTTTCTTCCCACAACAAGGACTAGTTGGAAAATTTAGAACTGGAGAGAACACAAGCTAAAAGTTAAACAGGAGCAATAAATAAGCATTGAGCGTGAGAAGATATTTTTCCTCTTTAGACAGTAAAATTTTCAAATTCAAAACATGAGGCTTTCCGAACATTTTAAATATCTCAAATTTAACTGTTAAGATAGGAGAAATATCATACTGCACAAGATACAGTGGTGGAATATGTTACTCTATTGATTTTAAAACAATATGTTTGCAAATTTTATTTTCATTTCTCAATGTTCTGCAAAAAGATCATGTTTTTTATTGAAAAGTGTATAATATATGATGTTTTATTTGTTTTGCTTCTGATTTTTGTATTTCACAAAAAAGCTAATAGTTTATGCTATGCAATGAGAAACTTTTCTTTTATTCATGTTGACACTGGATTTTAAGCGTCCAACAATCAATCAATCAATTTATTCATACTGTATGAATAACACTCATTTTGAAATTGACTATTTTATACTTTAGGCAACACAATACCAAATGACGTTACATTATGAGTTATGTTGTTTAAAATTTCGTAGTCAAACTTAAAAAAATTGTTGTTTGAATTGTTATACACTGGTCGTTTTGATACCCTTTGGTCGTTATAGAATACTATCTGCGGGGTTAGCCATACGGTAACCTATAGTTAATTACATTAATGACATTTAGCATTGGATAGCGACTTGTCTCATTGGCAATCATATTATGATACTACACCTCTGGTCGTTAGGTTACTGTCTTGTTGATGAGTATCCATCTCTATTACAGACATGACGAACTATATTTAAAAAAATTGTTTTTACAAAAATATTTAATTAGAAAGTTAAAAAGTAGCTTCTATTTCACGCAAGTAAATGACATGGAACGAATTAAATATTTTGACACTTGGTGTATTTTGCCGTTTTCGCTCTCTTTTACGGTATACACCTTCCCCTTACTAACGTCAGTTTCTATGTATACTGACAGAAACATGTTTGTCCCCGCCGACACAGCGCGATCAAAGTTTTGCATTCTGTTATTGTGGATGATTTTTTGGGAAGTAACTCCTATACATACACACTCTTCTAGCACCGACCAAAAATGTTCCGGATTGGGATCATTTGTTTCTTGTCTAGTAAAAAATCTTTATCTGCACAAATATTCTCGTTTACCGGCATTTCCATTTTTGTTGGTACAAACGGCTTGTAGCGTCATAATGCGATTTAACATTGCAAACGTCAATATTTTCGCGAACATACGCACTTTCGCGGAAAAATGCACTTTAGCGTATCGTGGCATCGGACTTTAGCGTGTTCCATTAAATAGCGCAGACCATCACACTTTAGCGTATCAAACCATCGCACTTTAGCGCAGGCCATCGCACTTTAGCGTGACCATCGCGTTTTAGCGTCCCTATCGCACTTTAGAGTCCTACATATATAAATCAGAAATAACCAATTTAAAATGGAAAATTTGAAAGAAAAAAAAAGGAAAAAAAGGAAAAAAAAAAATCCCTCCCCTCAAATTTTTTGAACCCCCTTATGATTCATCATCCCCAAACTCAATCCCAGCCTTCCCTTTGTAGTATGGTACCTTGCAGTACAATTTCAGAGAGATCCATACACTTGAACACAAGTTATTGTCTGGAAACTAGAAAAATGCTTGTTTTTTTGCCCCTTTTTGGCCCCAAATTCCTAAATGTTTAAGGCAATTACCCCCAAACTCAAACCCAGCTTTCTCTTTGTGATATGGAACCTTGTAGTACAATTTCATAAAGATCCATACACTTACACACAAGTTATTGTCCTGAAACTAGAAAAAATGCTTGTTTTTTGCCCCTTTTTGGCCCCTAATTCCTAAAATTTTGAGGCAATTACCCCCAAAATCCCAGCCTTCCCTTTGTGGTATGGTACCTTGCAGTACAATTTCAGAGAGATCCATACACTTGAACACAAGTTATTGTCACGAAACTAGAAAAATGCTTATTTTTGGCCCCTTTTTGGCCCCTTATTCCTAAATGTTTTGGGCAATTACCCCCAAACTCAATTCCAGCTTTCCCTTTGTGATATGGAACCTTGTAGTACAATTTCAGAAAGATCCATACACTTGCACACAAGTTATTGTCCTGAAACTAGAAAAATGCTTGTTTTTTGTCCATTTATTGGCCCCTAATTCCTAAAATTTTGAGGCAATTACCCCCAAAATCAATCCCAGCATTCCCTTTGAGATATAGAACATTGTGGTACAATGTCAGAGAGATCCATACCGTAACACAAGTTATGTCTGGAAGTAACAAAAATGCTTATTTTTGGCCCCTAATTCCTTAATTGTTGGTACCATAACCCCCAAAATCAATCCCAACCTTCCTTTTGTGGTATTGAACCTTATGGTAAAATTTCATAGAGATCCATTCACTTAAACTAAAGTTAGAGTGCGAAAAACAAATGTGTCTTGGACGACGACGACAAGAAGGAAACGCCAACGTCATACCAATATACGACCGAAAAAATATGAAATATTGAATGAAAAATAAACTCAAGAGGTGGATCAAGGAGGAGGGCAGGGTGTCCCCCTTCCACCTTTATGGAGATACATATAAGGTAAATGCATAGACTTTTTAGATTTTCCACTCCAACCGTTGGCTAGTTTGTGGGCCCTGGGCCCCCCTTTTTTACATCCTGGATCTGCATCTGAAACTGAATGATAAGCTGAATGTGACAGCTGGGTCAATATCCCTAATGCGCCTCAAATTGAGGAACACAAAAGTTGTGCGTAAACAAAAAATCTCTGTGTAGTGATATTGGACATGTTTCTATTTTTAACAAGTGACTGAGCTTAACCATTTGTGTTGATTTGAAAAGTAGAGGACCATAGAATAAATGTGTAAAAACTATGCAGTTATTAAATGTATGCAAAGTATTAAATTTTCAAAGAACTTATCGTGTGAAAAAAGGAATTTTTTACCACCAGGATCCGCATCACGAAAGAATTTTCAGGGTGTGCTAATTTACGGAAAAATGAATCACACTTCGTACCCCGAAAATTTAACCACATATGTGAAAATGTCTCAGCTTCGAAATGAGCCATCATGCATATCCAAGTTTACGATATGGACTGTGCTACAGAGGAAAACGTTACCATTTCCGCCTATGTAAAATCAATCACGCATATTGCCCCAGCTACACAAATCTTCCTATGAATCAAAGTCAAAATGTTATCATGCAAAGTGTATTTTTAGTTTGCTAATTAGTGTCCCCAATGACTTGCTAGGCGAAAAATTATAATGGGTTCTGTATTAAACAGATTTGAACAAGTATGTTTTACTATATACATACCAATTTTATCTACAGAGAGGTATTCAAGCACACTAAACAACCTTTTAATCACAGGTGGGTCTGACTTTTCACAATTTCCCTAAAAAACAATTTCAAAGTTAAATACAACATTTATTTACAGCTTTCCTTCATCCTCACACATTTGAAAATAAGAATATATGTCCATATGCCACCCTGCCCTACTCCCTCTATCACATATCCATGTTCAGTATTGTGTGAAATCTTGGTCAAAACCCTAATTTGGTATATATATTAAACAGTCCATTTAATAATGAACATTTATGATACTTCATGTCAAAATTCCAGATTTTGATTGGTTAATACGAGGGTGATAATTTGCTCTGTCACATGGCTTATTTATTTATATAATAACCCTTAAAAGAGATGCTTGATCACCGACCGTGCAAGACCTTCATGGGTAGTAAAGGTCTTTAAACACCCCCTAGTAGTAGTAGCAGAGATGCTTGATCATTTGTGCGCTTTATATAATATGGTTGGTTGTTATAAACAAGACGTCATAGTTTATTGCTTTCAATTAAAGATTTAAAAGAACAATAATAACCAAACATTCAGTATGATAAATTAAATAATACATAAAAGCCTCGGGTGACAATGTTTTTTTTCGAGGGGCAACTATCTGCTCTATCACCCTCTCAGCTAGGTGTTATTTATATAGTGCACTAAGTTTCAAGTTTATGTGACTGCAAACTGCCTTTTAATCCAAAATTAACCTATCATTATTCCACATTCAGTGAATCTTGAAATCTATATCAAAACACTAATTTGGCATATTTATCACAAATCGTTCACTTCATAATGAACAAATGCACCAAGTTTCAAGTTGATGTGACCACAAACTAGTCTAAACAAAAACTTTAACCTGAATCAAGATGGAAGGAAGCAAACTAGAAAACATAATGCCCCTCTACAAATGGGGCATATAAATACTAATTTATTTATCTATGTGAAATATAGATATGATTTAAAGGTAAATAAAATGCTTCGCTGGGGCGCAGCTTGATACGACCGCAGAGGTCGAACCCTGAACAGTTGGGGCAAGTATGGACACAACATTCAAGCTTGATACAGCTCTGAATTTGGATTGTTATTAAATATTTGACACAGCATAGGTTTCTGACACAGAAAGAATGTGGTCTAAGAACTTGAATTTTTTTAATTTACCTATTATGGTCCAATGTCCAAAATCAAAATACATGGTTAGATTCAGCATATCAAAGAACCCCATATATTCAATTTTTGTTAAAATCAAACAAAGTTTAATTTTGGACCCCAACTTGGACAAACTTGAAAACTGGGCCCATAATCAAAAATCTAAACACATGTTTAGATTCAGCATATCAAAGAACCCCAAGAATTCAATTTTTGCTAAAATCAAACTAAGTTTCATTTTGGACCCTTTGGACCTTAATGTAGACCAATTTAAAAAACGGGACTTAAAATTAAAAATCTAAATACACGGTTAGATTTGGAATATCAAAGAACCCCAATAATTCAATTTTTGATGAAATCAAACAAAGTTTAATTTTGGACCCTTTTGACCTCAATATGAACCAATTTGATAGCGGGGCCCACAAATAAAAAATCTAAATTCATGGTTAGATTCAGCATATCAAAGAACCCCATATATTCAATTTTTGTTGAAATAAAAAAAAGTATAATTTTGGACCCCAACTTGGACCAACTTGAAAACTGGGCCCATAATCAAAAATCTAAACACATGTTTAGATTCAGCATATCAAAGAACCCCAAGAATTCAATTTTTGTTAAAATCAAACTAAGTTTAATTTTGGACCCTTTGGACCTCAATGAAGACCAATTTAAAAAACGGGACCCAAATTAAAAATCTAAAAACATGGTTAGATTTGGCATATCAAAGAACCCCAATAATTCAATTTTCGATGAAATCAAACAAAGTTTAATTTTGGACCCTTTTGACCTCAATATGAACCAATTTGATAGCGGGGCCTACAAATAAAAAATCTAAATACATGGTTAGATTCAGCATATCAAAGAACCTCATATATTCAATTTTTGTTGAAATCAAACAAAGTTTAATTTTGGACCCCAATTTGGACCAACTTGAAAACTGGGCCCATAATCAAAAATCTAAATACATGTTTAGATTCAGCATATCAAAGAACCCCATATATTCAATTTTTGTTGAAATCAAACAAAGTTTAAATACTGGACCCTATCTTGGACCAACTTGAAAACTGGGCCCATAATCAAAAATCTAAACACATGTTTAGATTCAGCAAATCAAAGAACCCCAAGAATTCAATTTTTGTTAAAATCAAACTAAGTTTAATTTGGACCCTTTGGACCTCAATGTAGACCAATTTAAAAAACAGGACCCAAAATTAAAAACCTAAATACACGGTTAGATTTGGAATATCAAAGAACCCCAATAATTCAATTTTAGATGAAATCAAACAAAGTTTAATTTTGGACCCTTTTGACCTCAATATGAACCAATTAGATAGCGGGGTCCACAAATAAAAAATCTAAATACATGGTTAGATTCAGCATATCAAAGAACCCCATATATTCAATTTTTGTTGAAATCAAACAAAGTTTTATTTTGGACCCCAATTTGGACCAACTTGAAAACTGGGCCAAAAATCAAAAATCTAAATACATGTTTAGATTCAGCATATCAAAGAACCTCATATATTCAATTTTTGCTAAAATCAAACAAAGTTTAATTTTGGACCCTTTGGACATTAATGTAGACCAATTTGAAAACTGGACCCAAAATTAAAAATCTAAATACACTGTTAGATTCGGCATAACAAATAAATAAATGTGATCAAAGATTTTACAAATCTAATGCGCCATACTGTGCAATTAAAGATTACTTCTTGAAATTTTTCAATATTTGAAATTTGAAAAAAAAATAATATTTGAAGAATAATTCTTTTTAATTTCTGAAATATGAAATGAGAAAAAATTGGCCCCCCACAATTTCTTTTTATCCCCCCCCCCCTTTTTCCCCCAAAAAAATTCTTTCCCTCAAGATATGGTCATAATCTCAATTCAAATTTCCAATGGAGTTGGCAACCATAATTACCCATTTAAATTTACCATAGTGCTAACTTAATCTATTTTATAATAGAATTAATAAAAATATAGTGTCAAATCTTTCATATGGATTTTTTTGTAAAAAAAAAAGATGAAAACATTTGCAGATATTTTTACTGGTCTTCCTTTATAAATATGCATTTCTTTAAACATAATTTAAAAGCAGTGTAAGGGAAGTAACCAAAACGTTGTATTTGGATTACCTCCCTTACACTGTTTTAGATTATCTTTATTGTTCATTAACCATTACTTTATACATAATTTAAAAGCAGTGTAAGGGAGATAATTTCAATGATATATTTGATTTATCTCCCTTACACTGCTTTAAATTATGTTTTGTACTAAAGTATTTGTCCATTAACCAGGACAACCTTGTTTTTCCCCCTTTTTTGCCCCTAATTCCTAAACGGTTTGAGCCATAACCCCCCAAAGCAAATCCTAACCATCCCTTTGTGGTATGGAAACTTGTAGTATAATTTCAGAGAGATCCATACACCATTCCACAGTTATTGTCTGGAAACTAGAAAATTCTCATTTTTGGCCCCTTTTTGGCCCCTAATTCCTTAACTGTTGGTACCATAACCCCCAAAATCAATCCCAACCTTCCTTTTGTGGTATTTAACCTTATGGTCAAATTTCAAAAAGATCCATTCACTTAAACTAAAGTTAGAGTGCGAAAACCAATATGTATTCGGACGACGACGCCGGACGACGACGACGCCGGACGACGACGACGACGACGACGACGACGCCAACGTCATACCAATATACGACCACAAAATTTTTTTGCGGTCGTATAAAAACTGTCAAAGTGCTTTAATGCCTATTTTTATCATTTGTAAAAAGATTGGTGAGGAGCTTTTTGATTGAAATATAGATTACTTAATTAACACTTTGCTTACAAGGATCTGACATTGTACCGTTCTTTGGTTACTTTTGCATTAAAGTGATAAAAAAAAAACCAACTTTTGTGCACTAGTCACGAGGAGGTTAAGACGGTGTCTAAAATCACACTTGCTAACATGTCCAAGTCATTTGCACATGGTCTCTTTTCCATTCTAGTGACTTGTATATTTGTATTATTTATTCCTTCAACTTGCTTTTCTGGATAAGAGACAAGGTGGACCTCTGTTAGCAAACTATATTATAAAATTATTATATTATTTGAATTGGCACTTTGGCATGGCAGTAAAATCAAAGATATGAAACTTTGAAAGAACTATACTAACGGATAAAAAAAAAATTAATAATTATTACAGTCTGTGCCTTTAGCCACTAGCCCTATGTCTGACTCTAGTAAAAATTAAATCAGGCTAGTTAAAATTTAGTGAGATTTTGTTTACTTATGTAGGAAAAAAGTTACAATTTCTGATTTGGGCTAGTAGTTGGAAAAGTTTTTGGTACAAACTGTTATAATAACATGTTTTTATCCTGCAATCAGCCAACTATTGTACAAATAACAGGTACACAAATAAATTTTTGCTTTATTTGTACTTGTACAAATAAAGTCTCCTGTTACTCCTCTTCCATGTTGAGCAAGCGGTAATGTGGATATTTCTTTTTGCGTACCAGTTCATTTTGGGGTCCTCTTCGTGATCCGATATCATACTGTATATACATGAAATACTTGCCACTTGACCTTAAGCAAACAATATTGAATCTAAGCAATTTATTGTATTCTTACAGTTTATTTTCCTCTAAAATAAGAGAGTTACAAAAATATCGTTATCTGAACATTATACTCACACTACCATCACAAAATCCACCTACACAAGGCCTCCCACTTTGATGGTACTGATTCATTCCATTGTTATTGGTTGTAGGAGAACAATCTCCATTTCTTTCTACACAACACTGTTTACAGGAATTTGTACCTTAAAACAATATGAAGATGTACAAATACGTTTACAAAGCACAATTGAGTTGAGATACTCCTTTCAGCGTTATTTCTTCAAGAAAATAATTGAAATGAACGAAAGAAAAAGGTATCAATAATATTTTCAGAATTTTGAAGAATTTGAATGCATAATTAAATCTCACATCTGTGCACATGCGCTCACATGTACTAGTTCAAAAAACCTTGTTCTGTACATTTTTCACTTAAAACCTTTTTTACTACCTTTTTAAATTTATCATAAAATCATATTTTAATACATATTTCTGATAAGCTAAATCATTTTTACTAAATTGTATTACAGAATTCCATAACCTAATCTTATTTTTGTTTTGTTTTAATAATGTTGTGATAGATCTTTAAAGGAGTAGGAGTGATATTAAAGCCAATTTTTCCCAAAAAGTTAAGTGCAAATTTAAGAGTTGCCATACATGATCTTAAATTTTCCCTTACATGACTAAGGAAAAGGGTGTGCAGAAATAAAAAAAAAAATCACAACTGAACAGTTACCATGGCAACTAATCACGACGTAATAATTAGTTTATCTTTTTACAATCTCCTAATTTTCCTTGTTTTGTATCAACTTTTTAGTATATTTTGGATTTGAAAAGATTAGGCACTTTATTTTTGGTGGGATTATGTATATATATAAAAGAGCTTCTCAAAAAATATATTTTGTAGATATTTTAAATTGCATAAAATCATAAATTTCATCATTTTCCACAAAATACACTAATTTTATGACATAATTATTATGTCCTAACATTGTTAATCTTGCGAAATTCATTTATAATGGTTTATTTTTTTTTGTGTATTTCCCCATTTTGTGACAAAATTCTCTAACAAACCTTAATTTTCTTAAAGCCAAAAATAGGCCTTCTCCTTTGTACTGACTACCAAATTAAAAAATAATGCAACATACTTCAAATTTGAACTGCATTTAGCAACTGAATTGATTTTAATTGGTTTATTTTATTTTATGTTTTCTTGCTTCAATAAATATATATTAATACTTGTATGTTTTTTTCCTCAATTTCAGTGGCAGCAAAGCTAGGTTTTCTCAATCCAAAATACATGTAAATGCCGTTCAATGTGTTCATTGAATTGAATAATTGTGTCTATTTCATAATATATCAGTCTTTTGTTTATTATATTTAATTCTGACATCAATGTCGATAGCACTTGTGGGTAACAACTCTAAAAGTTCATGTCCCTTACATCATTGCAATTAAAAAACATCAACATCAAAAAAAATTATGAGTGTTTTGAAAATTTTACGATTAATTGTTCTTTTAGCTGCATTTATGAATGTGTAAAGAGATGGATGTTATGCTTTCAAACTAAATGAAATTCATTAATCAGAAGCTTACATAAATTAATCATAAGAAGAAAAGAATGCTGAATACTACAGTAAACAAGCATTCTGAGAGTATTGCATGGCAATACACAGTCCCCTACCGGTTAAAAATATTATACTGGAACGAAATGCTAACTTGATCTATAACTTGTCATGGTGTAAACTATATAAGAAATATCAAGTCAATATCTTCAAGCATGAAGAAAAAAAGTATGGAAAACTGATTATTTGAGTGAATTTTCAAAGTCCAAGGACCATAACTCTGCACAAAATCATCAGACCGGAACAAAATTCAAACTTGATCTGTCACTTGTCATGATAAAACTATATACCAATTATCAAATCAATATCTTCAAGCATGACAAAAAAAAGTGTGGAAAACTGATTATTTGAGTGAATTTTCAAAGTTCAAGGACCATAACTCTGCACAAAATCATCAGACAGGAACAAAATTCGAACTTGATCTATAACTTGTCACGATAAAACTATATACCAACAAGCATTCTGAGAGTATTGCATGGCAATACATAGTCCCCTACCGGGTAAAAATTCATTTTACAGGAACAAAATGCTAATTTGTTCTATAACTTGTCATGGTGTAAACAAAAAGTAAATATCATGTCAATATCTTCAAGCATGACTAAAAACAGTGTGGAAAACTGATTATGTGAGTGAAAAAAAACATTAGATATGTTTAATAGTTCTCTAAAATTAGATATGATGTAATACAGTGTATATCTATTTTCAAATTATAATCAAATATAATTAATAGTTCCAAATATTTATTCTTTCATTTGTCATAAACTAATATAGATTTGTAACTTATCTATAAAATGTCAACAACATTTATCTACACAATGTAATGTATTGAAATATATACATTAATAAAAATAGATTATTATCTAATTAAAGGATTTCTCTTCATACATTTTTCTTTATATATATAAAGATTCAGAAAATTAGTTTATACTAAATAACAAACAAACCTGCTAAAAAATTCTTCAAATAATTTAACAATGAATGTCTTTTAAAAAATGAGTTATCTCCCTTTGTACAGAAATACGGTTTAACATAGTACTCTAACATTAGATATGGTCCAGAGTTATGGTCCATAACTCTGGACTAAATTATCAGACCGGAACAAAATTCGAACTTGATCTGTAACTTGTCATGATAAAACAATATACCAAATATCAAATCAATATCTTCAAGCATGAAGAAAAAAAGTGTGGAAAGCTGATTTGCCGGACTGACAGAAGGACGGACAGACAGATGGACGGACAGACAGACAGACGGACTTCGTCGGTAGGGGACTAATTATCAAATCAACATCTTCAAGCATGACGAAAAATATTGCGGAAAACTGATTATTTGAGTGAATTTTCTAAGTCCAAGGACCATAACTCTGCACAATATCATCATACCAGAACGAAATTCGATCTTGATCTATAACTTGTCATGATAAAACAATATACCAAAAATCAAATCAATATCTTCAAGCACGCAGAAAAAAAGTGTGGAAAACTGATTTGCCGGACTGACGGACAGACAGACAGACAGACAGACAGAGTGCAAACCTAAAGTCCCCAGACAGACAGACAGACAGACAGACAGAGTGCAAACCTAAAGTCCCAAGACAGACAGACAGACAGACAGAGTGCAAACCTAAAGTCCCCAGACAGACAGACAGACAGACAGACAGAGTGCAAACCTAAAGTCCCCTTTGACTTCGTCGGTAGGGGACTAAAAAAGATTTAACAACCTTGTCAGGGGCATGTAATATGCATGTACCCATCCATCATAAATATGACATCTGGTATCAATTCAAATAACCTGATAAAACTTTACTAGGATTTTGAATAGTTTTTCATCATTTCAAGTAAATCAACAGCTGACTTTAAAAGTATTTCAAATATTGCACTAAAATATCTCATTTGATGTAATATTTGAAATACTTTATAGGTCAATAATTTCTGAAACTGGTCAAGGTCAAATGAAACCTGTCTGATATGCATGTACTTCTGTTAATATATTCACATACAAATATTGATATTTATGACTAAACATGACCATTATGGAGTAAAATTAAGGTCAAGGCTATATGACATATGTCAGACAACATATACTTTTCATAATGAAATCCCTTTCAAATATGCTTGACATTGTCTTATAAAAGTTCACAGAAAGACATTATCCCCCCAAAAAAGAAAACCAACCTGACCACTGGAGTTTGGAAATGAGGTGAAGGCTATATGACATGTTAGTAATTTACACAGGTATTCACTAGTTTAATCTAACCTAACAACATCGTTGACTTATTATGCATGCCTATTACTTACTAAGGTACAGACCTAATCTCAAAAACTAAATCTGGCCATTAAACCCACTTAAAATATGTTGCTGACTTGTCCTTAATCACTTAGAGCAGAACTAATAAATAAAATAATCTGACTACAGGAACCTTAAAATTAGATAATTGTCAGGTAAAAACCATTGACTTGGAGAAATTTTTTGAATGAAAAACCTAATTGTCAAGTTTGACCTAGATATATAGGTGACAATGGGGATATGATATAAAGTATACCTTTGTCATATATGACATAAAGATAAATAAAGTTGGTATAATCTTTCATTTTCTTAGTGTTAATTTTGTTTACCTGAGCAAATACAGCCAATTTTGCCTTTTACATGGCATATATCAAGACATACTCCATCCTGACAGGTCCCACTGAAAAAAAAATCAGAATAAAGTGTTTCAAATAAAGTTTATTTTATTATTATTTTTCTATATCAGTGATATAGATTTTACCATCTAGTGTTAGTTGGATTTTTTTCTCAATTAAATAATGATATGTATATGTAATAAGTGAACATTAATATTGCTTTGACCTGGAAAAGGCTGGAAAAAAATGATCATGTCAATATGAAATCTCACTATATAGTACATAATTTAAGAAGGAAAAAGATCTTTGATAACAAGAGTGCACATGCTGGAATGTCTTGTCTGTTAACTTATGATTGAATTTACGTTGAAAGTCTGTAGTATTAAGGTTTTACTACAAGTATCACATAAACTTTACATTATCAATGATCCATGAAAATGAGGTCAAGGTCAAATGAACATACCAGACAGACATGTACACCTTACAATCATTCCATACACCACATATAGTGGTCCTATTGCTTATAATACCTGGAAAGCAGAACAAACCACCAAGAAATTAACATTGACCATGAACCAAGAAAATGAGGTCAAGGTCATATGAACTCTGCCAGACAGACATGTACACCTTATAATCAGTCCATACACCAAATATAGCTGACCTATTGCTTACAATATCTGATAAACTGACAAAACAATGAAAAATTAAATTTGACCAATGAACCATGAAAATGAGGTCAAGGTCATATGAACCCTGCCAGACATACATGTACACCTTACAATCAATCCATACACCAAATAAAATTGACCTATTGCTAAAAGTATCTGATAAGCTGATAAAATCAGGCCCTTTTGCTTATAATATCTGAGAAATAGACCAAACCACAAAAACTAAACATTATCTACTGAACAATGAAAATGAAATCATTCCATGCACCGAATATAGTTGACCTATTGAGATACAGACTTGACCACAGACATGTTGATCACTGATCCATGAAATGATGTCAAGGTCAGGTGAACCCTGCCTGACAGATATGTACCGGTAGATCTTGCGAGGAATCCAAATATACTTATTCTATTTCTCACAATAAGTGATAATTTCAAATGGTTTGCCATATAATTTTTAATTAAATATAATTTTTTTTCAAACAATCACTGAACCATGAAAATGAGGTCAAGGACATAGGACATGTGACAGATTCGTTATATAAGGTATCTGCATACAAGGTACGAAGCATTCTACCTACTGAAATATAAAGCTTTGCACAAATAGTTTATGCCGCCGCTGTCCAATTGTAATCCCTTTGTCTCGCATGCTCCAACCTTTGCCTCAAGCAAGACAAAAATTTACAACCAATGCTAAAATCTATGATTTGTTTACGAACTATGATGTAGGACATTATAAACACAAAGTTCCTTTTTCATAACATCACAAGACAGGATGCAATAACAGCAATATTTGTTAAATTTTCACTTACATTTCTACTATTAATTTGAGATTTCTGTTTTGTTTATTTCAAAGTTAGGATAATACTAGATTAAAACTAAAAGAAGAATGTGTCTGAGGTTACTAATACCCCCGCTCAAGCTTTGCAATTTTCCAAGTAAAAAAGAAAGGTAAATGACTCACAGCCCAAATTCGAACTCTGTCGGTGACGTTTTGGTCTTAGCATTATGTATGAGTTTCATAAAATTTGGATGAAGCAAACTTAAGTAAAAAGTGTGGAAACGAAAAAATTGTTATTCTACAAGTTATAAAGGAGCATAACTGTAGAACAGTAAGTGACTCACTGCCCAAATTTGAACTCTATCTGGGACGTTAAGCAACCAATAATCAATCAATCAATCAATCGAACTCTATCTGCAAGTTTTGGTTCTCAGCATTGTGTATGAGTATCACAAAATTTGGATGAAAAAAACTTAAGAGTGTTGAAACTAAAATGGAACCGACAGACGGAAAGATGGGCGGAAGGACAAACGGACTGTCAAGGGTAACACTTAATGCCCCCATTGCCTACAGTGGGGCCATAAAAACCCAGCTAATTCAGTATATCAATAGTGTCATATGATAAAGAGGCCATTTTTAAGCATTTTTGTGAAAACATACAGATTTTTGTCATTTCAAATGGTTATTGGATCTGCAAAATAAAAAAAAAATCATTTTGAAACAAACAAAAGACACAAAATAAATTTCCTGCTTTATGATTTGTTGCTTTAATAATTACTTTAGCATAAATGTGGCTTATTTGCTTTTTTATCTATAAGGCATACTTCAATGTATGATTTTGAAGAATGAAATTTTATCATTATTTTTGCATTGTCAATTTGGATTCAGAATTTCATTTATTATATTCAACATGTACTGCAAAGTGGTTTTAATCAAGTTTAAAAAAACATACATTTATGTACCCTTACTAGAAAAAAATTTAAATGGCTAAGAAATATTATATAATGTAATGAATATAAGTTGCCTATAGAACTACACTACATGTGATATAAATACTTACCCATCCTGACAATTCTTGTTTGACAGTTTAATTGGTGCTGGACATATCAAGTCAACTCCTCTAAGATAGTCAAGGAACTATATATTAAGCAAGATATTTTCTTAAAATGGCCCCTTCTGCATTTCTCTTTTTATTTGGGTGTACCAATTTAAGCCTTTTTTTTTTGCATTTCATAAAAGGGAGATAACACAGATTATGTAACTTTTATAAAGTGTTATGTATTTTCCTATTTTGTTTGTAACAAGAAAATGATTCCCATGACCCAAAATTCATTTCTATTTTATGAAAGCATATTATAAGAGATGTCTGCTCATACTTTATTTCAAAAGCATATTTTTAGCTGTAGCTTAAAAAAAAAGCTCTGTGACACATACTTTATTTTTGAAAAAGCATGATATAAACTACAATTTTGCAAATTATTAATTTTTTTTTATTGATTTTAATTTAGATGCCATAAGTTAACTGACAAAATTTGTTGATTGATTATTTCTTAACATATTCAATTAAAGCCACATTTTTAATCTGAAAAAAATCTAAGCTTATTTCTCAAAATTCAAGATATTTGACAAAAAAAACAGATTTCATCAGATATGCTCTAACCATCTGAGTTCTCCCAAGTTCTTTTAGTTTAATTCCTCACATTTCAATATTTGCAAACAAGCAACTTAAGTATTAACATTCCATCACATTATAAACTAGAGGCTCTAAAGAGCCTGTGCTGCTCACCTAGGTCTATGGGCATTTTAAACCATGTTGACTTATTTGTAGATCTTTTCTTGCTGATCATTTTTGTTATTTAAAGTGTCTATCTATTATAGTTTTCAGGATAATATGCAATATATATATTCAAATTTACCTGTGTACGTTATTTTATTTAACGCCATTTTGTCCCAGGTTAGAGTTGTCTTTTTGACATTGTTCCTACATCTTTCTTATTAATATTGTATCTATATTGTGTTATAGATCAAACTTATTCATTCAGTGAATGTTTACTTATTTTTGTTTATGTCTTTTTGATCGAGTTAAGCCATTTCAATTGATATTTTATAGTGTGTCTTTTATGTTGTAATGTTACACTACTGTTTCAGGTTAGGGTGAAGGTTGGCACCTGTTAAAACATTTAAACCCGCTGCATTTGTATGCACCTGTCCTAAGTCAGGAGCCTGTTGTTCAGTGGTTGTCGTTTGTTGGTGTGGTTCATAAGTGTTTCTCGTTTTTTATATAGATTAGACCGTTGGATTTCCTGTTTGAATTGTTAAACACTAGTCATTTTGGGGCCCTTTATAGCTTGCTGTTCGGTGTGAGCCAAGGCTCTATGTTGAAGGCCGTACTTTGACCTATAATTGTTCACTTTTTATACATTGTGACTTGGATGGAGAGTTGTCTCATTGGCACTCATACCACATCTTCTTATTCATAAGAACACTAAAAATTAGGTAAAAATCATCATTAAAGAGCACTAACTCCAATAATGAGTCGACTGACGATTTCAGTCCTGTTGACTTAGTTGATGATCTTGTCTTGCTGATCATTTTTGCTATTAAAATTGTCTTCTTTTCTATAACAGTTTTCAAGATAATAGGCAAAAAACACTAAATATTGGTAAAAATCATCATTATAGAGCAATAACTCCAAAAACAAGTTGACTGTAAAAGTTGGCCATAAACTTAATTGTAGATCTTGTCTTGCTGATCATTTTTGCTGTTTATAGTTTCTATCTATCTACTACATTTTTCAAGATAATAGGCAAAATTGAAAAAAAATGGTGAAATTCATCATTTAAGGGCAATAACTCCAATAACAAGTCATTTGACAGTATTGACTTGAATGGACAATAGGTAGTGCTCAACATTCTGAACATTTCTGTTCTTGTCTGATTTTCTCTTTTTATAGCGGTTTTCAAGATAATAGACAAAACTTGCATTTTATTCCTATGTTCTATTTTTAACAATGTCTGCCATCTTGGTTGGCAGGTAGAGCCATCTGACACAGTTTTTAAACTAGATACCCTAATGATGATTGTGGTAAAGTTTGGTTAAATTTGGCCCAGTAGTTTCAGAGGAGATTAACAGACGACAACGAGGGACGACAATGAGGGAGGACAGAAGTAAAGTGATGAAAACTGCTCACTCGGCCCTTTCGGACAGGTGAGCTAAAAATAAAACTTTGAGATTGAGAAGAAAGGCAAAACCTGTGTTAACTTAATTGTAAACTTGAATCAACACCTTCCTCAAAAGAAAGTAACTTTTCACATAAATGTAGCAGTTTTCTTTTTTATGGAAAGCAAACTGCTCAAAAGGAGAATGTCATATTCTGCAGGGAGTTAGATTCTGATAAGCTAACTATTATCTGATATATGAAATCTGACTATCTATTGTTCTTTTGTAATATGAATAATAGGTGGATATGTTCATTATACATATTTTATGACACATGCATGCAATTCCAGTATGGACGTAAGATCTTACACATATCATTTAAAAAAAACATTGCTTTCAAACTGCTCATTACAGGATCCCCCGTTTTTCTCTTTGTTATGGTGGTAATCTTGGTCATCAGACATGATTTTGAAAGAGAACAATCTAAGAAGCTTTAAGAATCCACTTTTCTGGTGTGGTACAAAATAAAAAAAAGCAATATTTTGGTATTTTCAACGAAGAACAAATACCGGTACCAGAATATGTCATAAATCTCAAATTATTTCCTAAAAAGGATACGAGCAGTTGGAAGGTCCTAAACAGGCTAAATCATCAACTTCTAAAGAATGGCATCTATGTCCTGCTGGAGCAACATTACAGGTTTTGCAACAAGCATAGTTCATTTCACTGAAAAATACAACAAATTCTGTATCATCCTAAAAAGACAACAGATCAGAAAGAGAAATCATAATTATACTTAGACTACAAGTGTGCTAAAGGATTTTGTATGCTGACATTCATAATAATAACATTTTTATAAACCAAGTTAGTTTTAAAAGATAAGCTATCTTTTGGGTGGAAAGAAATGTCTCTGTGTTTCTCCTATGAAATATATGAGAAGAAATGAACATTAAAGTGTATGAAAAATATTTTAACAAGGAATTGCAAAATATTTTATTAGAAGTGTCTTTGAGAAGTAAGTTTTAAAATATTTAGGTTTGTAAACAAAAACTTTCAATGCAAAGCCTATCGAAATAACCTGGTGCCCCACATTCCATTAGAAATATTTATACAGTTTTTTTTTTACACTTGTCCTATTGTAATAACCTTTGTACAAATCAATAATGGAAAAATTGAGATATATTTTAGGGTTATGCTCAATTGTCTTAGCACTGTAAATAAGTTGTTTTGGAAGAAAAATTCCTATCACCTCTGGCTATCATCAGAAAGGGACAATAGGAATTAAATTTAATTTTATTGGAAATGATATGAACCCTTTCATAAATTAAATCAATTGTGAGCCACTGTCCCTTTGCTCCATAAGTTGATATACAAGTAAGTGTTTCCAGAATTTGTTGAAAATTAGATTTTAATTTCAACTTTTCCTCAATATATTTTAATGACTTGCTAGCCTTGTCACTATATATTAAAGCCAAGCATGTTTATGATAGATACAATACTCAGTATGGTGTACATATGTAATTCAGCAATTTTCCATTCAATAATGATTTCAGCTTATACAATTTGTGTCAATATTTTCCTAGTGAATTTTTTTTTTTTTTTATTTTGTATTTATTATGTTGTAATAAAAAGAATACTGTTAATTTATCATTACTAAGAATCAGTTCATTCAGCACATATATATATATATATATAGCTAGCATCTATTGTCTAGGCAATAATCTACAGAAAGCAGCCTGTTTATTAAATACCGGTACTCATTTACGTCAAAATCTAGTTATTTACTCATCTTCCAAGTCATGAAGATGTTATTTGAACTAGTTCAAAAGAGTATAACACAAAAGTGTTTGAGATTTACATACCTGCAAACAGCTCCTGATCTGAGTTCACATTGTGCATCACAACAAAAGTCCCCTTCATATCCTGCATCACACTCCTCCCCTATATCAATACGACCATTTCCACACAGTCCTCTTCCTCCTAAAGATTTTGCTAATAAAAAAATTTGAAAGAAAATTATTTTTGAAGGCTGTACAAATGACTGGAATTTTTGTTATAAATGAAGCTTTTGACTTTTGCATTTGAATGATATTGATGAATGTAAGGTAGACATGGTATTTTTATAAATATGTTCAAAGTTTATTACAAGTTATCTGCGTTCATATCCGTAGATATGGGTATTTTAAAACCCTTTCTACGAATATAAACGTAGATAAAGAATTTATCCCCTGTCTTAGTTCAAATCGGGCGATTTTTAGGGAAATTCGGGTACAAAGTGTAACGTGAAAGCAACGTTTTTTTTTCATTATCTAAAAAAGTTTTATTGAAAACTGGATATTTGACATATTTTTTATGGGGTGTAGAACCCTACAGGTAGTCAAATATAAGATGTTTTTAATCCAGAGACAGAGAAACTAAATTAATTAAAATTTGGCGCTCTATGTCGCGAGCGTTATGTCATAGACCGCATGACGTCAACATGGGTCATTTGCATAACTAGGTCAATTGTGCCTTTCATTGATGATGTGGTGACAAAGTGATGCATTTACTAAAATCAATGTCAATGAATACTGGCATTTGTGGAACAGTATCAAAGTTGCTGAACAACTCATTAAAGTTTATACCAGAGAGTTGATTTCTAAACTCTGTCATTTGCGTTACTTGTAAAGTGGACGACATTGTTGAGGATCTAGCCAGAGTGGGAAGTGCCAACAGTTGAACAGGTGAAGGTAATGTTAGTTGTTGATTTGGAGCAGGCAAGGCATTTGCATCAACCATTCATTGCAGCATCAATCATTTGTCCCATTTGAAATTTTGCCTTGTCAAGATGTTCTTTGATAGATTGCCAAACTCGAGACACTTTTGTGGCCAGTGACAGACATGATTTGAGCATCGGCAAAGTACCTGCTTTCTGTGAGAATAGTTGCACCAGTCGCTTGGAATGATTGGTTAGCGTAAACTTGTGATTAGCAACAAAGTTTACTTAACTAATTCATAAATTGAGCCAAAGTGTCACTATCAATGGGAGAATTACAATCCCAAGTAGCAGAATCTTCATAAAAGGATCCCAGTGGCCTTTGCCATAATCTGTTGCATTGAGCATTCAGTTTAGAAATGTACCTCTAAAAGCTGCCAAGGGACAAGACAGACTATCAGGTTGCTCTGGCATAATTGCAGTGAAATTTTCCTTATCATTGTAGCTGTGATTTTTGGTAAGTTCGTCAATTTGTTTTGTCACGTACATGTACTTTGTTTTAGTTCTGGGTCTGTTTTGACGATAAAAGCGTCTTTTGTCATCTTATCCATATTTTCAGCCCCACGTCTGAAGAAGCAGAGGCAGATTTAGGGCGGGGGGAGGGGAAAGGGGGGGGGGGGGGTTGTCGGGGCCCAGGGACCCAGGGCCCCCTTTTGTGGGAAAAATTTGGATGATTATTTAGTGAATCACTATGGTATGACTAGAGCGGGCCCCCTCTTATGCAGTCAGTGGGCCCCCTTATGAAAATTTCTGGATCTGCCACTGAGAAGTACATTTTCATATCAAATTGGAATTTATTTAATAAACCAGTAGGGGAGCTTGGTTGCATAAAAGCTGACGAAAACAATTTTGTCCTGTCAATTTCAGAAATTATTGGAAAATGCTGTGTAGCTCCTTTTCCATTGGCTTTTAATTCTGTTAGGTGGGTTTTAAATACTTGATTTGATTCATTAAACTCTTCATGCTTCATAATGTCAAATTCCTTTAAAAAGTGGGGAGCCTTAAGGTATCTATTCAGATAGTACCGGAATGAATCAAGTGAGTTTACTTTATATATTTCCCCATCAGGTTAACGGATTTAACATAGATAAAATCAAACAAACATCTCTACCTCCCTGCAATGATCTTTATTAAGGATTGTGAAATCATTCTGATATGAAGTTAACAAGACCCCAAATCTAGAGCATGACCAATCCTGTCAGCAAGGTCTAGAATTTTATTTTATTTAATATCAACATAGCAAAATACAAAACAAACAAACAAAAATAACATTACTAAACAAAGACAGTTCAATGCACATTTAATTTATTGCTTTGGACAGGAACATTTAAAAGTGGAATGGTTAATTAGTTTATGAGCTATGAGCTTTACAGTCAATCTCCCACCATCAGAAATGGGATGGGCAAAAGTTTGAAAAGTCAAAAATATAAAGAGCTGGTGAGCTGAAAAATCAAAAAGAGTCCAAACAGAACAGACAAATTGGTTAAATGTCAACTATGACTGAGGAAGTTGTTAAGTTAGATTAAGCACAACAAATGGAAATTTTCTTCAGGACATCAGTCATATCAGTGGTTTAAACCACAAGTTGTTCTTTTTTTATATGAGTAAAGACCTATGGAGACTTCCTAATATTTGCCCTGTCTTCCCATTTCTCAACAGTCTTGTTATAAAACTTCAGTTTAATAACATTTAGAAAAAAATTATAGTGACCAGAAGTTTTCCTCTCCACAAGATGACCTTCATCTATCAGTATATCTTCAAGTAAATAGTTACTCTTTTGACTAAATGTTATTGAATTGGGTTCTCTATAACACTGCTTTGATTGCAAAAATGTATAAATCACATGTATTACCATCAAAACAGCTGAAGCCTTTTTTCGACACCACTTTGAAGATAAACCTTTTACTACATGGAGAAAATATCTACAAAATAAAAACAAATGTTGCACAATATTATAAAATTGAACTTTTTTTTTAATAAATAGTTTTGTGCCAATGTAAAGATATATTTTTATGTAGGCTCAACTAACTTCATTTTAATTTTTCACCTAAACTAAAATCAAACATGTGGCAGCATGCGATTTTGGTTGAACTGAAGGTCAATCTTCCCAATCTGACCTTGACCTTATCACATGTATGTAAAAGTACTAGTACATCAAGCCAACTAACCTTGATTTCATAGTAGTAATTCATCCTACTGTAAATGACTGACTCTTTATTTCTACTGTAAGCTTCTGATTTGTTTTTCTTCTTAAGCGGCAGTATGCAACCAACAGCTAGCTTCTTGTAATAAGAAGCACATTTTGACCCTACTTTCCAAATAATGTTAATTAAATCTTTATTCCTTGATCAAGTGGTCATCCTGTTTGTAGCTAGACTGTGCACTTTTTTATCGTGTGTTTTACTGTTACGACAAATGGTCTAGATAGGTCAAGTATGGAGGTTTGTTGGCACAATAAAACTGGTTTAACCCTACCACATTATGTGCCTGTATACAAGTAAGGTTATTCGGATCATGTGTTGTTCATTATTTGTACAAATTTTTTCTCATGAAAATCATTCATTTGTGTGGTCTGTTGTGCTGGCTAATAGTTTTCTTGTTATTCCTGTTTTCTGTTTTATGTAATACACTTATTGCGTGTCTAATGATCTATTAAGCGATACAAGGCATACAACAAGACATTGTGTTTAGTTATCAACGTTTTAAGAATTCCTCAAATAGCATGACACTTTTTTATTTTGGTGATGGAATAATGAAATTATGCCTCATTCTTAAGATTCTGCAACATTGCATTAAGATTTTCTTCATTGGGTTACATATAGATTTTGTTCAATATTCTCTTATTGCATTCAAGATTGAAAAGAAAATTATCCATATCTCTTCCCCTAGCACAACTTTCCTTCTAAAAATGTGAACACTTTAATTTTACAAAAGAAAATGTTATTACTATAAAGTGGAACTGAAGGTTTGTCCATCTTCTATACTTGCCATTTTTTCCATTTTGAAAAAAAAAAACAAAAGTAATTTTTACTTATTGAACGTTTAAGGGGGTAACTTACTAACTTTACCATTCTAAAAATATGTCTTTATTTTAGATGCTTTTAAAATGGAAAAGGGATTCTTCTACATATGGAGTTTTGTTCCTTTATATTTAGTCTACTTTCATTTTTCAACAGAGATATATTCCAAAGTTCTAAATAAAAAGTCACAATTTAATCTGTACCACATCTTTGAAATATGTAATTAAAAGGAAGATTTTACATTTATTTCTTAAAATTTTACATGTATTTATTGTGCCCTTTCTCTGAGAAAAAACACAACAAAAAACATCAACAAAAAAACATCAACAAACAAGCATTCTGAGAGTATTGCATGGCAATACATAGTCCCCTACTGGTTAAGAATTCATTGTACTGGAACAAAATGCTAACTTGATCTATAACGTGTCATGATGTAAACTATATAACAAATATCAAGTCAATATCTTCAAGCTTGACGTAAAAAAGTGTGGAAAACTGATTATTTGAGTGAATTTTCTAAGTCCAAGGACCATAACTCTGCACAAAATCATCAAACCAGAACAAAATTCGAAATTGATCTGTAACTTGTCATGATAAAACTATATGCCGATTATTAAATCAATATCTTCAAGCATGACAAAAAAAAGTGTGGAAAACTGAGTATTTGAGTGAATTTTCTAAGTCCAAGGACCATAACTCTGCACAAAATCATCAAACCAGAACAAAATTCGAAATTGATCTGTAACTTGTCATGATAAAACTATATACCAATTATTAAATCAATATCTTCATAATGACAAAAAAAAGTGCATAAAACTGATTATTTGAGTGAATTTTCTATGTCCAAGGACCATTACTCTGCACAAAATCATCAGACCAGAACAAAATTCGAACTTGATCTGTAACTTGTCATGATAAAACTATGGGTATTGACCCCCCCCCCCCCCCCCCTTTTTTTGCATTTGAAGAAATTTTCTTTTTAATTTCTGAAATCTGAAAGGAAAAAAAAAATTGCCCCCCCTTTCCAAAAAAAAAATTCTTTCCCTCAAGATATGGTCATAATCTCAATTCAAATTTCCAATGGAGTTTGCAACCATAATTACCAATTTAAATACATCATAAAAGTCTTAAATAGATAATTTAAAAGCAGTGTAAGGGAGGTAATCCAACATTGTACAATTTTGTTTTTGGATTACCACCCTTACACTGCTTTTAAATTGCCCATTAACCAGGAAACCCTTGTTTTTTCCCCTTTTTTGCCCCTAATTCCTAAACGGTTTGAGCCATAACCCCCCAAACCAATCCTAACCATCCCTTTGTGGTATGGAAACTTGTGGTATAATTTCAGAGAGATCCATACACTAACACACAAGTTATTGTCTGGAAGTTACAAAAATGCTTATTTTTGGCCCCTTTTTGGCCCCTAATTCCTTAACTGTTGGTACCATAACCCCCAAAATCAATCCCAACCTTCCTTTTCTGATATTGAACCTTATGGTAAAATTTCATAGAGATCCATTCACTTAAACTAAAGTTATTATGTGAAAACCAATGTGTCTTACGATGACGACAATGACGACACCAACGTCATACCAATATATGATTTTGGGGTCATTTAAAAAGTGTGGAAAACTGATTTGCCGGACTGACGAATGGACAGACAGACAGACAGACAGAGTGCAAACCTAAAGTCCCCTTCGACTTGGTCAGTAGGGGACTAAAAAGAATTATAGTACCTTCTGATAAAAAAAAAATACCGTATCTAAAAATAAGAAATAACACTATTGACTTTTTGAGGTCAAAATTATAAATGCATATTTGATATCCTAAAAAGTAATGGTTAACCCATTAAAATGAATATCAGGATAGGTAAGGAAGTTATATTTTTGTACATGGGTCATTGGTCATTTATAGTTGTATGTCTGTTTGATGAATGCAAAATTACTCAAAGAAAGTAAGTTGGTTTTGAGGGATTTTTCTAAGTATTTTCCAACCCTCCAATTTCATTGGAACAGCCCTGACCTGATTATTGGCATCATATCCTGTAGTAGCCATGTAGTACATGATATATTTTCCATTACTGCTCACATCTGGTGCACATTCATTAGAATCTGGATCATGTTCACTGCCCCAGTTATGTCCTGTAAAATGCCAGGTAACATGTGAATTAAGAAAATGTATGCATATGGCATATGTGAGTCAGCTTTAATGTTTGCATATGACATATGTGAGTCAGCTTTAATGTATGCATATGACATATGTGAGTCAGCTTTAATGTATGCATATGACATATGTGAGTCAGCTTTAATGAGTCAGCAACAAAACTACAAATTAATAACTAATATGAGATCACTATATGGCAAGTTGTAAATTCATGCTCTTTTTTTTTTCTTTTTTTTTTTGGGGGGGGGGGGGGGGATATATTACAAAAAGTATCAACTCTCATCATATCAGCCAAGAAAAGGTGCTTTTAAGCAGATCAATCAACTGAATCACTCAAGTATAGGGTTTTAAGTACAAACACTAAGTATAAATAAAAGAAGACAATTTAGATAGTACAAATGGATAAAACCAGCAACAATCAATCTCTACATCATTCTTTTTACTTTTCTTTTCTTTTACTATTAGGTATATATGAACCAACTTTTTGGATTACTTTTGTATTTCATAATGTTTTGAAATAAATTTGTCATCCAAAATATTGGTGTTGGTATTACTTCCCAGTGGCAATATTGGTAAAAATAACACAAAGTGACATACCTAGCTCTGTTTTTCCATCAATACAGCATCAACGAGGTCAATGATATGAAATAAAAGGCATCAAATATTAACACATGAATCAATGATTTTTTTAGCATGCTAAAATATTGTATAAAACAGTACTGAAGAGGAAAATTTAAACTTTTTAATATGCAATAAGACCTTAAGATTTCTCAATACGAAAAGGAGCATCATTTTTTTTTTCAGCTAGTGTATCACAGACCTGGAGTCAATTACATGCTTAAATAATTAATAACATTTCAATGACATACTGACATTTTCATTTAAATTACAATTACTATAACATCTATTCTAAAATTACATTAATAACAGTACAATTATATTGTCAATGTAATTAATAAAATTTGAATTACTTTTATGCTTAGAACTTTATCATACAGTTATATTTTTCAATTACCCCAGGTCTGGTGTTGGAGTTATTGAGCGTTCTACATTATTACTTTCACAATACAGAATTTACACTTAAGGGACACAAAAAGTGTCTTAAAATCCAGGAGTAATTGGTGTTTTAAAATTTCTTATTCTCTTTCAAGGGGACTTTAAAATATGAGTTTCCATTAAGCATGCTCAACTTATCAATGGAAAAAAATCTATCGTTAGTTAAGATTTTTTGCAACAACTGACAAACTGCCTTGAATTAAAGAGTTTTGTGAGACAACTTAACAAAGTTTTGGTTGTTATTAATCAAAACCTGTTAATCTCAGATTCAAAAGATTAACCTGCAAATGTACTGATTTCAAATTATCAAATATCCATGTTCAGTCAACCATGGAATCAGGGTTCAAACCATAATTTGGCAAATAATTAAAAAGTTCCTGTCATAGTGAACACATGTACTAAGTTTCAAATTGATGTCACCACAACTTCATGTTAAACTACCTCACCAAAAATCTGATATGGGACAAACAAACAGACTGATGCACAGACCAGAAAACATAATGCCCCATACCATTGTAGGCAGGGCATGAAAAGACTAATGTCTTATGTAAAATAATATCGCTTCCCAATCTTTTAGTATTGAGTTTACCTAATGAATATAAAAAAAATTCGTAAGGGTTCCGCGGAACCCAGTGTCTCGCCTACTTTTTCTGTTAATCGCAGGCTCAACAAAAATGAGGAAGTAAATCAATAAAATATTCCTCTTGATACTATCTTTTGATTGTAAGAACTTTCTGTCCAAGTTTGGTAAAAATCCAGGATAGTTTATGAATCTAATAAATGTTTAAAAACTTTATCTGCAGACTGAATGTAATGTTAACTTGAAGAAAACAAAATTTCCTTCTAGATACTAGCATTTGATCATAAACAAGCTTCTGTTAAAGTTTGGTGCAAATCCAAAATAGTATAAGAAAGTTATTAAAACTTAAAAAACTTTAACCACAGAGTGAATGTGTTGTTTCCTGACAGGAAATCTAAGTCCATTTAAAAGTAAAATACAGAAAAAATGGATTTATTATTTTACAAAATTTCCTTCTAGATACTAGCTTTTGATCATAAACAAGCTTCTGTCCAAGTTTGGTACAAATCCAAAATAGTTTAAGAAAGTTATTAAAATTTCAAAAACTTTAACCACAGAGTGAATATTTGTGGACGCCGCCGACGACGACGACGCCGACGGAATGTAGGATCGCTATGTCTCGCTTTTTCGACTAAAGTCGAAGGCTCGACAATAAGGAGTTAAGGTATGATTGCCAATGAGACAACTATCTACCAAATTTCGAATAAAGTGCAAGACCATTTCAAGATATTTGAGGATTTCTATACTAACCGTGTGATACAGTAATTAAAGCCTGAGCAGCCAAAGCTCTAGACCCTCCAGGATTCTGGAAACTACTAACACCAGTATTGACTGCAATTTTCTGTCCAGTTCCAATATATGCAGCTGTCAATATAAGTATTTATACAAGGTTTATTCTAATACAGTAACTAATATTCATGGTGTATCATTTTTGTTGATTTCATATAATAGGCAAACAAAGACTCTTCTAAATTATTATGTCTAAATATAAAAACTTATCAACATACAGTTCAACCAATATACAATAATTTGTTTCCTCAATAAAACCTTGCTTAAATCAAAATAAATTAAAAACAAAAAATCCTTTGTATGATCAAATGAAAGTCATAAGAGCAATATTTGGCATAAACAAAATCAAATGAAAGTACCTGAAAAAATATGCCATTAGATAACATCGACATATGCTTTATGACATGAAAAACTTTCATTGCACTGCAATACATTTTTGAAGCACAAATGAAATGATGTACTGCAGGGTACTGGTTAATCATTATCAAGATTTCATCTGAAGCCTAGTATGGACTATTGGTACAGTGTTTTGGATATTATCAAACTTTAACCAAGTTATGTTAATGAAGATGCATATATTTCAGTAAATCTAGGATTGTATGGAAGCTAATTTTCTAACTTAAATACCATTGCATGCAAGATTTATACATTAATCTGGACAAAAACATTAAATATTTTTACAAAGTCAATAACGCATGGACTGTAGGTCAAAATGAAATGGTAAGACTGAAACTTAACCCAATTTATATACATCAGATCACAGTTATGATCAATTTCAGCAATAAATAATTTTCTCTAAAATGTAATTCAAAAAGAAATCAAAACATCTAACAATATCTGTGAACCTTGAAAAAATAATATACCTGACCTTCCTTTTTTAATTTAACTTAATATAGCTCTTCACATGTTTAGGAAGTTTATTATACATCCATGGCTTTCAATTTTTTGGGTATAAGCATTCCGGATAAAGGTAAACGTAGAAAACACTATGGACGCAACAAACTTATAAAGTATTATTTTCATTCTTTTACTGCTTATCACCAAAGATATTTAGATATCTATACATTCATTATATTATTCTTACACCTTCTGGTAAATGTCTAGTAATGACCTCTAAACTGCAATTGTTTAAGTGGGTTTTTTTTTCACTCAAAGATGTTGTTATTGTATCAGATGTTTGCAGATAGTTTATCATTTAATTATTAAACAAGGACAGTCAGAAGGCCCTGATCAGATGCTCTCCGTGTTTGCTTATTTTAACTGTATTGAATACACAAAGACAGATTTGACAAAAGGGTAAGATAAACTATTTAATTGTTGTTGAAGTTTCTGGTTGACTTTTTTTTTTTTTTTTTTTTATTATAATAGTTAAATCATTTGGGAAATGTCAAACAAGCTATATTTTTAAGATAAATCATCCATTTTTTTTTAACCAAATGGCATAAAACATTTCCTGCCAATATGGATCAACTCAATTTTCTGTATATATTCCAGATTTTAAAAATGTAGAGCACTATTTTATGACTCCTTTCAAATATTGTAACGTCCCTGATCTTCTATGATGATATACATGGCATTTCTGTCTTCTGATTAAATTCTGTTTGCTTAAAACAAGCTTAAATTGCATTCTATTTCTCTACTAGGAGTTCCAATGGGATAAGGTATAGAAACAATGATCTACTGCAATTGAAAGAGTTCAAGCCAGATAAAACATTCCAGCATAAATCATCTGCCAGGCATATGAAATGAAGCTTCAATACAAAATATATTCTTATAATGTGTTACAGCAAAAATTATACAAAACATTGACAAAAATTCCCTTCTAACAAATCATGCAAAAACAAAACATTAAAAAACAAAAACTGTTATATACATATATATGATAAACATGACTAATACATGCTTTATATTTATCATATAATAGAAATACATTTTCTTTAATTTTGCTTGAAACAGACCATAAAATAAGCTAATACAAAAATCGTCTAAAAAATATATATCTATGAACTTACATCTTGCCGCTGAAAAATACACAGCAGCAAATATTACATGCATATTCAAAACAATAAATGTCTACCATGTAGTTTAGAAGAATAACAAAGAAACTGAAGAAGGCCAGTGGCCGAAACGTCCTAATAAATGATTTAATTACTACAATAATAAAACAAAAAGTCTAACAATAAGTCTACTCATAGGATCAAAAACAGTCAAACTCAGAAACAGGTTTGGAATTAATACTGCCAATAGTAATAAAAAAACGTTTTGAAGACTTATAAAGTGTAATTTACAACAAATATCAGCATCTTGAATTTAACATTACCAGTGCAAATAGATATTACTTCTAGATATCTAACAGATCGTCTTGTTAAAATCAATATTTCATTTTCCTCTTATTTAAAAAAAACTCACTGTAGCATGAGGAAACAGAGGAATATAACTCTTCTGTGTCTGAGAACAAGGGCAGAAAATGGTGCCATTTCCACCTTCTATGAAGCTACTTTTATTGTTAATTCTTATTGAAAAAAATATTTTCACATTTTCGAATTTCAATAAAAATTTACAACTTTTAATTACAGCATGTCTTGAATAACCAGTGCTGAACTTGGTGAACAAATGTTGTTATGCAATAATCATGCCAAATTCCTTACCCAACAGTAGGGGGGCTTTAAAGTAAGAGCGCTTAAATTTTTATAAAAAAATAACACACTGTGGTGACAGTTGAAGTAAGTTTTTGGTTAGATTTTCTTACTTGTATATGACACGCCAGCTAGTCCAGGTGAATAATCATGTCAAGTTTCATACCCAGTTCCAAGAGATTTTCAAGATAAAGAGCAGAAACAATTTGTAATGGAGGGATGCACAGATGGAACAGCTCATTGCAATAGTCTTTTTGACAAATAACTGACAGGGCCCTAATTAATTTAATGAGCTATCATAATACATAGTCCAATTGCAAAACAAAATTTTGTGATTAAATAAATGGAAAATGTGTCCATGGGACACAGATGATGCCCCCACTTGCATATAACGTTATAAAGGGACATAACTCAAGAGCGGTAAAATTGACGCTACCCAAATTTGAACTTGATCGGTATTTTGTTGTAATAAGCATTGAGTATAAGTTTCATAACATTTTGTTGAGGCAAACTTAGTAACGGAAACTAATTTTGGAACGTACGGACAGACAAGGGTAACACTTAATGCCCCTCCGCTGTGGCGGGGGCATAAAAATCATGAAAGCAATTTGCTAGAAAGCATGATAATGTAAAAAGAGACACAAGAAAACTTAAACTGTGTAGGTTTTTTTTTTTTTAAATAAATGTAGATGCTCTATCCACTGTGTTCTTTCTAGTTATATGAAAGCATGTTGGCCAGTGCTAAGAACTTAGTAGTTACTTTAAAGACTGGGAATGGAAAACAAGAAAAGTTCTCTCTCATTGGTTGGTGCATTTATACAATGTTCAACCAGGTAGATAATACTTTGAACCACATATATTTGCTTTAAAATTTCTTGCACAATAAACAGGTAATTTCAGGTGCTATATCAAACTGGTAGCTTATTCATTATAATGTTTATTCATTAGCAGATTCACTGATGTTGTCCTATCTGATTATTGGTTTAAATGCAAGAAAAGCTGAACACATTAATGCATTCTCCCTCTGTTGACTATGATATATGATAAATATTTCTTCAGTTTCACTAGTTAAATTTTAGATTTTACCATTCTCCCTATAAAAGGCTGACATGCTAAAAATCTATAACTTAATTTTCTCGAGTAAAGAAGTTTTTAACTCATTCACAAAAGAAGGAGATATTTGAATATTATGTAAATAAGTCTAACATTTGTAAATTAAGCAGCAAATTGACAAAGATATTTGCTCTTGTATCTGATCTTTTTAATTGTAATCAATGTTAAGGTGCATATTTATTTTTATATCCTATCATCAAAACTTTTTAGTCAATAAGACAAAAAATAAGAACATAAATGAGGGTAAATGAACATAAAGCCAGATCACATTACAATCCAACAACAAAATATTCAATAGATAGGTCAATAAATACAATTCATTTCAGTAAGGTGTTAATAGTAACATTTTCTTTAATTCCTTGGTAAATATTTAAAACTTGGACAAGTGTGATGACTCATTTTGAAGCTGAGACATTTTCCAATATATGGTTTTGATTTTTGGAAGATCATAATAGATAAAATTTTCTGCAATTCAGGGGGTACCTGAATGAACACATTCTTGAAGTGTAAATAAAATTTTCATACGATGAAATTCTCTGGAAATTTATATCTTTGCTAACATTTATAAAATCTGTAGTTTTTGCACCTTTATTGTATGGGCCTCTGCACTTTAAAACAGCAAGAATTGTTTAATCTATTTTTTTTAATTTAGCAGCATGTCCGAATACCAATATTGAAAGCTTTTTTGTTACCAAATCAAAATTGTATTCCTTACTCATAGGCTGTTTGGGATATTGATAAAGATGATTTATTTTTCCCTAACAGAAATGAATTTACATGTAATATGTAGCTTTACAGTAACTGTATTCTGACCACTCTTACCAAAAGAACATATTCCACCTGGATCTGTATTTCTCCAAGAACCAATGTAAGCTAAACCTAATTTTCCTCTAAACTGTTGGTATGTAAATAAGTGTCCAAGACAAAATTTTGTCATTTTTTTATGATCTACTCCAAACCACTGTAAAAAAAAAAAAAGATAATACATGTATAATAATATGAAAACATAATAGTTGTTCCTACAATTTCACTGCATTCAATTTTATTGAAAAATTATTGAAAAATAAACCAGTAGATTTTTGAAAACTATCTGTCTGACTTTCAAACACTTTATACATGTATACGGTAAATTCAGAAATTATTGCATGCATTTATTATTGCGATTTTCTTATAGAATGGACAAAGATGTGAGATTAATTATTGCGATTTCAGGAAAATCTGCATACAGATATATGTATCATGATATATCAGAATGCAAGTTTTTATTAATGCGAAACTATTGCGAAACTCATCAAGTTACATTATTAACATTATAAAAAACTTCGCAATAATTTCTGAATTAACAATAGTTGTGACAATCTGACACAAATACAGGTAGATGGCAACGAGTATCCTGGACTACTTGGTCAAGAAGGCTTTTTCATTAAGCTGTCCTGACACATTAAGTGAAATCTTTTTCTCACAAAAACAGTTTACTTGTTTCCATGGAGATACCCTTGGGGAGGAAACCTCCACCAGCAGTGGCATTGACACAGTGGTTGTAAATAAACCCATCATAGATACCAGGAATAAAATTTTGTATGCCAGACAAGTGTTTAAGCTATAAAAGATTCATCAGTGACTCTCAAATCAAAAAAGTTAAAAAGGCCAAATAAAGTGTGAAGTTGAAGAGCATTGAGGACCCAAAATTTCGAAATGAATAAAATATAGTAGCATTCAAATAAAAAACACATACATCTAACACAGCATCCATATCTCTGGGTCTATTTGGCATGTTGTAGTGGTCTCCTACTGATGGATCTTCTAAAGTGTCATGGACCTTCATCTATAATGAAATAATTATGTAACTCAATCTGCTCTTGTGGTTTGTTTTATACTGTTTATTGAGTTAATACACTCTTTTCTGACAAATTTTTACAATGAAGTTTCATATTTACAATTGATGCTTTTTTGTTGATAATAGCATGTGTCCAAAAGTGAAATTATAATCAGTAGAATGATACAAAAGAACTCGTGCACCTGCGAAAATAACCCGCTATACGGTATATTTGCAAACAGTAGTAGGTGAAACAATGATATATAACAAAAGTTAGCACATTCACTCAGGCCAACATGTATCATTTATAATGCTTAACTTCCTTGTATTAGACTTATTTGAAAATAAAGCCAACATGAAAATAACTTCATATACAGTAAATGAAAACAATTACCAAAACCATGTCATTTTTCAATCTAACTAATTTCCATGGTTTAGTTTATCATACTATATTTGTGCAAGTTATTTTTATGTGTGTATATAAAAGTGTATATATATCTGTATATATCTTCTAATGTTAACACTACTTTCCAGTTGGTTTTCATGTATCTCTTTCCATTTTGTAACTATTATAAAGACGGCAAAACTCTTTTTTCTACAGAAGGATAATTTTTTGAAGTACCTCTTTGATCTGAAATCCTAAATTAGTCACTCCCTCACCCCAGACTGTTTTCTGATATATGTTATTCACTCTCCCTATCATTCCAATCTATAATACAGAAAAATAATACAAAACACATTTTCAAAAAAGGAAAGTGAAATAATTACAGAATAAAATTTACAAAAAAAGGGGAATTGTTTAAAAAAAAAATCAGATTAACTAAGCTGTTTGTTCATGTATGAATAAATGATCTGGGTTGAAAACTGTAGGAGTTGATTACACAAAAGTGATATTCTTTTGTATCTTTTTTTCTATAAAATGAGTTGATATGTCTGGAAAATAAGAAAACTTCCAAAAAATCCATTATAGCAGATGCACAACTTTCTATGTGTGCAAAGTTTTGTGAAGTTAAGGGATCTGGATTGAAACCTGTGGGAGTTGATTACACCTTAAAGGTACCCACTTTCCCTGTTTACATGCCTGATCAACATCATCATACTATGAGTGTGTGTTGTGCCCGTCTCCTGTGATGAACATAAAAATCTGTCAGATATTCAATTTTTCTAGGATTCAAGCAGTATCCAAGGATTATTTTACAACTTTCTATGTGTGCAAAGTTTTGTGAAGTTAAGGGATCTGGATTGAAACCTGTAGGAGTTGATTACACCTTAAAGGTACCCACTTTCCCTGTTTACATGCCTGATCAACATCACCATACTATGAGTGTTTGTTGTGCCTGTCTCCTGTGATGAACATAAAAATCTGTCAGATATTCAATTTTTCTAGGATTCAAGCTGTATCCAAGGATCATTTTACAGAAATCAAGGACTATTTCATTGTAATTTCATTAATTGACAGGAAGACAGCAGCCTAAGTCTACGGACTGACATAAATCTGAAAAATTAAAACTGACTCAATATTTGCATGACAATGCATATTTCAACATTAAGATCAATACATACAAGATATTCTCCAGTAACTCTCTTATCACTACGTCCAATCTCTTTGAAGAAGTAATAGTCAGCTACTGCAAGCAGTCCACACATGGTGTGTGATCCAACATGTGGATAAGTTTGTCTTTTCTTTCTTACATGACCTGGAAAAAATAAAACTTTAGTGTGAGATTTACTACAACTTCAAAAATGTAAACCGGTTTTAATTGATTGATTGGTGGTTGCTTTACGCCATTTCAGCACAAAAAGGCTATACTGCAGCAAGATCAGGGATTGGACCTTTGCATTCATATATTAGTCTCAGTGAACAATTTGTGATCTTACAAATGCTCATTGCATACCACATTATCACAACACACTAAAGTTAAAGTATCTATACAGCTGGATACACAAACTGCACAACAACATGGAAACTAAACTACCCTTAGTTTATTTATTTTGTATTTACATTGTATCATAGGTCAAATTTATTTGTTCAGTGTATGTTCAATGGTGTTAATATGTCCTTTGATTGAGTTAAGCTATTTCAGTTGATATTTTATAGTGTGTCTTTCTATGTTGTGATGTTACACTATTGTTTCAGAAAAAGGGTGAAGGTTTGGTACCATTAAAACGTTTAAACCCGCTGCATTTGTTTGCACCTGTCCTAAGTCAGGAATCTGATGTTCAGTAGTTGTCGTTTGTTGATGTGGTTCATAAGTGTTTCTCGTTTCTTATATAGATTAGACCGTTGGTTTTCCCGTTTGAATGGTTTAACACTAGTAATTTTTGGGGCCCTTTATAGCTTACTGTTCGGTTTGAGCCAAGGCTCTGTGTTGAAGACCGTACTGTGACCTATAATGGTTTACTTTTATAAATTTTGACTTGGATGGAGAGTTGTCTCATTGGCACTCATACCACATCTTCTTACATCTATATCTAACTTTTGTAATACTGCTAAATAATGACAAACTAAAATAAACTGCTTCGCTGAGCGCAGCTGGATACGCCCGCAGAGGTCCAACCCTGAACAGTTGGGGCAAAAATGGACACAATATTCAAGCTTGATACAGGTCTGAATTTGGATTGATATTAAATATTTGACATATTATAGGTTTCTGAATAAATGTAGTCAAAAATAAAAGATTTCTTGCTGTTGTGCAATACACTGTGCTGTTGCGCAATACTTAGTAAATCTGTTGTCAGACTATAAACAAATAAAGTTCAATTAATTCTCAATGTCATATTAGAAATTTATGAAAATGTAAAGGGAACTTACATCAATAGATATAAACAATTCACCAAAGTTTCATGAGAATTGCTGACAGCATTTTTGAGTTATTGTCCGAAAACTGGAAAATCCCCCCTTTTTTAATGAATAAAACCCCATAACTCAGAAATGTAAGATGTAAAATTCAAAAAAATTCTAAAGGGAGCTTACATCAATAGATATAAACAATTCACCAAAGTTTCATAAGAACTGTTGAAAGCATTTTTGAGTTTTTGTCTGAAAACTGGAAAATCCCCCTTTTTTATGAATAAAACCCTGTAACTGGGAAACGTAAAATCTAAAATTTATAAAAATCAACAGGGAGCTCATGTCAATAGATATAAACAATTCACCACAATTTCTTGCAAGTTGGTGAAAGCATTCTTGAGTTATTGTCCGAAAACTGGACATTCCCCCTTTTTTTAATGAATAAAACCCCATAACTCGGAAACGTAAAATCTAAAATTTATAAAAAACGAAAGGTAGCTCACGTCAATGGATATAAACAATTCACCAAAGTTTTATGCAAATTGGTTAAAGCGTTTTTGAGTAAATGTCCGACATGTTGACGACGGACGGACAGACGGACGGACGGACAGACGGACAGACGGACAGCGGTATACCATAATACGTCCCGTAAACGGGCGTATAAAAAATTATGAAATAACAAAATGACTACTGTTTCAAAGCAAATGATATTCAACATGTTCAAATTTATGGTATTCTAAATCATATAAATAATGACTTTCTTTATCAACATGCATTCACTTTAAGGAAATAACCTCTTGTGATATATGTAAAAATACAGGATCTCAACTAAGGAACACTCAAGAAACGACATACATTTACAATATAAACTGGTCAATACTTGTTTTCAGAATTCCTTATAAAATTTCAAAAACTTTATATTGTGGATGCTTGTTTTTATTCAAAATGCACTCTCATACTCACACGTTAAAATTCTTTAACATCCCTAACTTGCCAAAAAAATCTATTTAAAGTATATACATACTTTTCCAGTGTGGCAAGGTCACATTGGATACATACTGTCAGACAGTTATTATTAAACCATACCTTTATCATCATTGTAAAACAATTTGATATCATCTTCCAGGTCTTCAGTTTGATCCTCTCTCAGATCCATAAGGTCAGACATTTATTATTAAACCATACCTTTATCATTATTGTAAAACAATTTGATATCATCTTCCAGTTCTTCAGTTTGATCCTCTCTCAGATCCATAAGGTCAGACATTTATTATTAAACCATACCTTAATCATTATTGTAAAACAATTTGATATCATATTCCAGTTCTTCAGTTTGATCCTCTCTCAGATCCATAAGGTCAGACATTTATTATTAAACCATACCTTTATCATCATTGTAAAACAATTTGATATCATCTTCCAGGTCTTCAGTTTGATCCTCTCTCAGATCCATAAGGTCAGACATTTATTATTAAACCATACCTTTATCATTATTGTAAAACAATTTGATATCATCTTCCAGTTCTTCAGTTTGATCCTCTCTCAGATCCATAAGGTCAGACAGTTATTATTAAACCATACCTTTATCATTATTGTAAAACAATTTGATATCATCTATCAGTTCTTCAGTTTGATCCTCTCTCAGATCCATAAGGTCAGACAGTTATTATTAAACCATACCTTTATCATCATTGTAAAACAATTTGATATCATCTTCCAGTTCTTCAGTTTGATCCTCTCTCAGATCCTTCATCTCACAAAAACTTTCTCTAAAAACAAAGACAAATATATAACAATAAATCATATCTTGGGAATCTCTGTTGAAATATTAATGAATTATACCTATAACATTTAAATAATTTTATTTATACAAAAATGATTGATTCTATTTTAATACAATTAAAAAAATAACTTGAATAAGGTAAACATGTTTTTTCTGTCTACACAGCAAAAATGGTTTGAAAAAAATACAATTAGCAAAGCACTATGACAGTTTATGAGTAAGATTTCAAAATCTGGAATTTTTTTATAGAATCATGATACAGTATAATAGTATATATTGTCTTTAAGAGGACACATTATAATCTTGAAAGTCTTGATACCTTTTTCCAGCAGTATAGTCCTCTGGCTTCCATTTAAGGTCTGTATGTCTGTAGACAATCATTGAATGATTATCAGACTCTGGAATATGTCTCCATGATGGCTGAAAAAAATATAATTATATAAATCCTTCCTGTTAAAAAAAAACTTATAAAAACCAAATTTATCCCTAGGACAATTCTAAAGACTTTCATGCATTCAACAAATGACTATAAAACTTTGGTTCACAACTGCTCAAACTCTTTATTATTCTCTATTTTTTATGTATCCCACATATATCAGGATCTCTTAATTGGTTTTTCAATCATAAATGGTGACATTGTGTCTTCCACATTTTCCAGTTTAAGTCTATTACCTCTATGTAAATGGTTAAGTCTATTACCTCTATGTAAATGGTTAAGTCTATTACCGCTATGTAAATGGTTAAGTCTATTACCTCTATGTAAATGGTATCATCAGGACTTCTTATGGTTGCATGTAAATCATTCCTCTCCCAATGTAACTGAACTTCTGACTGTGAATCACCTGAAAAATCAGTTATCAGATCGGCACAAAGCTTGATAAAAAACCTAACAAAAAGACAATTAACGCAAAGCATATAGCTTGTTATAATTATCCCTTCCTAATAGGACACTGTGCAGAACACTGTGCACAAGTACATTCAGAAGTTTGACCTTTTTCTGAGTCAAAACAATTTTTAGAAATCAGAAAAGCAATATAGTTATTGTTCAATTTATTTTTGTCCTTGTTTCTCATAAAATATTTGCTGACAAAATTTATTCCTCTTCAGAAATAGATGAATAGAAAAGATTACAAGGAACATTTTTAATGCCACTGGATACGATGGATATGCACTATACATTGTACCTCTTATGTCATACACAGGTAACAGTTCTAAACTGCAGTCAACTTAATTTCAATTTTGAAATTTCTTTTTATTTCATTTTATCAGTCGACATATTTTGAGAAAATACTAGTCTAAGATTGATTAAAAATATATTGTTTCTAGACAATATCTACCACAAGAATTACACAAGTTATCCCTAATGTAAGCTAATCCATGCTTGTTTTCTTTTAGGAAAACAAGTCAAAAGTCAATAAAATGCTCCGCTGGGCGCAGCTTGATACGACTGCAGAGGTCGAACCCTGAATAGTTGGGGCAAGTATGGACACAACATTCAAGCTTGATACAGCACTGAATTTGGATTGTGATTAAATATTTGACACAGCATAGATTTCTGACACAGAATGAATGTGGTCTAAGAACTTAAAAAATTTTAATTTACCTATTCAAACCTATCATTATTATTTGCTTTTATATATAAATCAGAAATAACAAATTTAAATTGGAAATATTAAAGAAAAAAATTTTTTGAACCCCCTTATGATTCATCACTCCCAAACTCAATCCCAGCCTTCCCTTTGTGGTATGGTACCTTGCAGTACAATTTCAGAGAGATCCGTACACTTGAACACAAGTTATTGTCTGGAAACTAGAAAAATGCTTCTTTTTGGCCCCTTTTTGGCCCCAAATTCCTAAACGTTTAGGGCAATTACCCCCAAACTCAAACTCAGCTTTCCCTTTGTGATATGGAACCTTGTAGTACAATTTCAGAAAGATCCATACACTTACACACAAGTTATTGTCCTGAAACTAGAAAAATGCTTGTTTTTTTGCCCCTTTTGGCCCCTAATTCCTACAATTTTGAGGCAATTACCCCCAAAATCAATCTCAGCCTTCCCTTTGTGGTATGGTACCTTGCAGTACAATTTCAGAGAGATCAGTACACTTGAACACAAGTTTTTGTCTGGAAACTAGAAAAATGCTTATTTTTGGCCCCTTTTTCCTAAACGTTTTGGGCAATTACCCCCAAACTCATATCCAGCTTTCCCTTTGTGATATGGAACCTTGTAGTACAATTTCAGAAAGATCCATACACTTACACACAAGTTATTGTCATGAAACTAGAAAAATGCTTGTTTTTTGCCCCTTTTTTGGCCCCTAATTCCTAAATTTTTAGGCAATTACCCCCAAAATCAATCCCAGCATTCCCTTTGTGATATGGAACCTTGTTGTACAATGTCAGAGAGATCCATACACTAACACACAAGTTATGTCTGGAAGTTACAAAAATGCTTATTTTTGGCCCCCAATTCCTTAACTGTTGGTACCATAACCCCCAAAATCAATCCCAACCTTCCTTTTGTGGTATTGAACCTTATGATAAAATTTCATAGAGATCCATTCACTTAAACTTAAGTTAGAGGGCGAAAACCAATGTGTCTTCGGAAGACGACGCCAATGTCATACCAATATACGACCGCAAAAATAAAAATTGAACTGTTTTCATTGGGCATGTTGGGTACCAGCATGACATCTTTAACTCACCCTTCAAGGTACCAGTATAAAAATTTCCAGTATCAATATCAAATGGTCTCTCCACTCCATGACTGCCTACCACAGTTGCCTTGAAATCATCAGACACAACTTTAGTTTGCTTCACATACAAATGAAAATTTCTGAAAAAAAAACCACCTGGTTTCACAATAGGGATAAATATGTTCATCATTTGAACACAGTACAATCAAATTTACAAAATAACTATGTTTGATTTCATTCCCTTTTTGAACTTTTTGTAAAGTTGCAGAGTGTTTGGGTATTACTTTATATGTTTATAGCTTTATGATTTAAAAATTTTGAATAAGGTATGTTGACTATAATCATGATAATGAAGCACCTCACTGTAACTCTAATATATTATTTCTCATTTTGTCCTGTCAGGCCTTTTATAGCTGACTATTAAGTAATGGGTCTTTGTTGAAGGCTATAAGGTGACCTTAAGATGCTTGCATTCATGTTATTTGGATTCTATCGAAAGTTATCTCATTGACAATCATACAATATCTCCTTATTTTCATGTATAATTCTTATGTGTAAGTATATCAAAGTTGAACTTTCCATCTAATGTCAGTGTTATTTTAATACAGATAGGATATAATTGTTTTAACCACTTTTGATTCAAATTAGCCCTTAATTGGCCTATTGAATTTCAATATTTTTCATCACATTTGTCAGATACCACTTTCCTCTGTATAATTTTCTACAACTGTGAAAACATTAATACAAAATGTTTTTTTTTAGTAAATGAGAAAAAAATGTTCACATATTTTAGATTCATTAATAAAGTGTATATTAATGGACACCATTTATTGTGGATTGAGAAAAAAAATGCACTTTCATAGATACTTAATTCAAAGGATTAGATGAATCTGCATACTAGTCCAGAGTAAATTTTATTCTATTGAACCAAGGATTTATCTTGATTAAACTCATAAATTGGTGGTTCAGGTTAACCATACACTAAAATAACAAATCCTCAGAATGTATAACATATGTACAAAACCATATGTTTGTTGACATCTTATACGCTCAGGTATTTCACATCCAAACTTTTATAGTAATATTCTTTACAAAGCACAACAATGTCAGCATTCACCTCAAAAGCTAACCAAACCTTTAAACAGACTTATTCAGAAGGGATATAGTTACAATACTGTTGTCAGGCCATTAAAGATGGCATATTTTGGTATTAATATTGATTCACTCATAGGGTCTTTGCATCGGAAATAAACACATTTATTCTTAAACCAGTTGTTGGCATGATACGGGTTATGTTCTTCTCATATATTTTATGATGGCATGATACTAAACCCTAACGGGAGGGATTGTACTTGATTTTCATATGATGAAGACATAATCTTTCAATAAGTTTAATTGAGGTTTGGAGCTGGTATGTCAGTAACTCAACTGCTAGTAGTCCTTTGTTAATTTATGTATCATTGCCATTTTGCTTAATTTCTTTTGTTACCTATTCATACATCGGACTCAGACTTCTTTTAAACTGAGTCTTACTGTGCGTATTGCTGTGTGTTTGTTTTTTCTACATTGGCTAGAGGTATAGGGGAAGGGTTGAGATCTCACTAAACATGTTTAACCCGGTTGCATTTTTGCATCTGTCCCAAGTCAGGAGCCTCTGGCCATTGTTAGACTTGTATGATTTTTAATTTTAATTCATTTATATGTTTTGGAGTTAAGTATGAAGTCCATTTTCACTGAACTAGTACTCATTTTTGTTTAGGGGCCAGCTGAAGCCCGCCTCTGGGTGCGGGATTTTCTCGCTGTGTTGAAGACCCATTGGTGGCCTTCGGCTGTTTTCTGCTCTTTGGTTGGGTTGTTGTCTCTTTGACACACTTCCCATTTCCATTCTCAATTTTATTGTACCTTCCTAAAGATGAGAACCAAATTTCATGCAGGTGAGAACTTGGATGTGGATCCACACTTCGTCTTACACGCCTGTTTATATCAACTGTCTTCAGGGTCTCAAAATAGTCCAAATTACTTGATATATCAGCTGAAAAATTATTCAAATATACTATTATCATGATAATTGGTAACTGCACGAATTTTGATTTGTAGTAATGTCCTGTGATTTCATAAGTATTTTTGTTAATATATATATTTTGTTTTAAACTTTTTCTTCAACAGCAAGTAAAATTTGACCTTAATTATAATTCTTTATTACAAAACACTTAAAAAGTCATATCATTTACTGAAAATTATTTGATTTTGCATGAATTGGTAGCTTCTTAATATACAAGATTTGAAGTAAATGTTCATGGACTTTTTTACAATTTTGATACATGATGCAAATCTCTAAATATAATATTGGTGGTTGAAATTCATTAATCATAAAGTTTCTTTGCCAGTAACTTATTTTACAATTGTCAGTGCAAGACTGTAAGATTTCTATGAGAAAAAAGCAGAGATCATATTTGGTGAACTTGTTCAAAAGATTTATTCTTCTAAATAAACAATTAGGGAAAGTCCCTAATCCCAATTTGAAAATAAATACTTTTGGTATGATATTTTCCAATAAAATGCCATGAATATTATATATATTCCAATTTACAAATTCCAAATAACATGAAATTCTTCTGTATATATATAATTCTGAGTCACATGTTTTATATTATATACCAGTACTTCACTATTTAACTTAAACTGGACTATTCAGAATTTGGCTGGAGTTACTTTTCCGCACAATTTTGAATATTGAAAAGGACATGCTGTGATGATATGTGGGTTACATTAAATAACAGTCAGGAGATTGAAAATATCATGATAAATTGATAATTATTTTTACACCATTATTAGCATACTGCTTTTGTAATTGTTTGTTAAATTATGACAAAAATGAGATTTTTTTCAAATTCTTAATGATTCTGTTGAGAAAAACATTTGGGAAAGTATTAAGCAGTTTCTGATCTTTTATCACACAAAAAATAGTATCAAGGGTCAATTTTTTATACCACCCCTATGAGCCGAATTGACTATACTGGGTGACGATTTGACCAAATGCTAATTTAACCAGGTGCCAAAGTGACTAGAATTTATTTATGTTATTACATATAACACTGTGTACATGTACATGTACATGTATAGTAAGTATAAAATAACACAGAAATTGGTGCTATGGTAAATCTTCTACCAAAACCAAGAAAGAACATGTACAGATGTCTATGGCCAATCTTTCTTTCCAAGGACCATCAGGGATTGGAACAATTTACCAATATCAATATCATTGGCCAACACATCAGAGGGATTCAGGGCTGCCCTAAAGCATGTTCTGAAATGAATTAGACAACACCAAGTTGTACATAATAATAATTGTTAAATATTGTGAACATTTTTAAATATTACATATAAGTTGCCAAGAGAGAACTTTCAGTGTTGGCCAACACTGCGCAAAGTTTTCACATGGAACAAATCACGTTTAGTTTGAAACCGGTTCCTTACCAAATTCTAGTCACTTCAGCACCGGGTTAAATTGGCACTCGGAATAGTCAATTCAGCATGTAGTAAAATCGGCACCCATGTTAAGTATATTAAATATTTATATATATATTCAGTATTTTATGCAAAAAGATGAAAGGTAAATAGGGAATGAATTGCCAGAATTATTGTTTATTATCAAGTTCTTTTTGTTTCTGTATGCAGGTATGTATTTTTATCGGTCAACTTTATGTGCATTCGATATTTGTGCATGTTATAACCAGTTGATATTAATGAAAGGGACTCATAGTTTGCCCTTGATCATGTTTATTGCTTCTAATTTTTTCATGATTTAACAATGGCTTGAATTATGGCTTTACTGTTTTTTATTTAAGTTTTTGAAGAAAAAACATCAAAAACTATCTGTATAGAGTTAAAACAACAAACATATTAATCATTTAATTGATATAGGTTATTAATTAATTAAAGAAAACAAAACAAATCAAAACATCAGTCTCAGAATGTTAAAAAACCATCAAACAATATCAATTATTTACCTATGACTATGTATTCTAACTGCTTGTTAACATAAGATGATTTTTAACAATGTACTGAACAAAATAAAATCCAACCCCTAATTTTTTTATTTTTTTTTGTGCCGCATTGACAAACTTAATGCCAAAATGACTTTAAATATAGGTGCCAAATGGTGCTGATATATAATATAACCAGGTGCTGATTTGACTTGTACCCTTCCTTTCCAGGAAGAAGAAGGAAACATTTGTGAAAGCAAGGAATTGTATAGTACTACTTGGTTGTGGGGGAAAGGGGGGATCTCCTCCCCCTTTGCCTTTGGAGATTTGGAAAGTTGACATACAATGTACATGCAATATAAGATAAGATAAGATAAGATATTTTATTTCCAATTATGGGCCCCAAAGGGCATAAACATTACAACATCAATAATTTTTTTCATAATACAATACAAACAATGAGATAAAAAAAAAAAAAAAGTTAAACGAGAACTATTTAAGTTCTTAAAGAATATATATATGCCATAATAATTTAATGGTCATGGAACTATTTTTCTGAAAAACCTTGTCTAAGAGTTGGAAATTACAATTATGCAATTTTTATATATTCAATAATTACCTCCAATTGAAAAAATACAAAAAGAAGAAATAAGGATAACCGAAAGTAGTTTTTCCATCATTGCCTATTTATCTGGTACCTTGTACACACATTTATTAGTGTAAATAAACCAGCTCCTAATCTGGATCGGCCATGCGGTTTTAAATTAGGGTTTTATCGTCAGCGTCCAAAACGTTACATTAATTATTTTTGCACGTGGTGGGACCGAAAATACAAAACAAACTCTAAAAAACACTCTCTGAAATGGGAAAATCAAGCAAAGAAAAACGTAGATCTGAGGTGGAAGATGAAGCAGGAGACGGAGGTGACAGTAAAGAAATATGGCAAGAGAAAATTAAGTACCAGAGTTCTATTTCCCAGCCGTTAGCACCAAGGAAGTTGACCAAAAGACTGTACAAAGCTGTTAAGAAAGGTAATCTAATGGTTTAAGATTCACCGTGAATAACAAATGGACAAAAAATACTGTGTTTTAATGTTCACTTCAAAAACTACTCTGACCACAGACTAACCTGTGCAATTGGAAAAAACTTTTAAAGCTAAGCATCCACTGGATATATTGAAGATAAAGTTAAATGCATTTTGTCACACAAATTGTGTTTCATTAAGATGAAATCTTTATTGGATTTTGATGAGCATATTATTTTGTTTCTGCTATTAAAACAAAACAGACTTGTAAAAATTTTGTAAATGAAAAAAAAATATCTAAATTTTAACCCTGCAAAATTTGACTTGGCTGGATTTATAGGGTTGGTCAGGTTTTGGCAAACAAACAATATTTTTACTTTGGCCTCAGATCCTATTCTTGCCATTGTCAAGCAATTCATTTATAATATTATGTATAGACTTAAAAATTCAGGTTACAAAATGATGTTTGTGAATATCCATACAGTGTACCTGGCCAAGAAAACTATGTTAATAAAAATTTAATACATGTATTAAACTTCAATTCAAAATACCACTTTGGTTTGTTCCTATGTTTAATACAGTGCAGTTCACAACTTCACAGTACAAAATAAAAACAATGTTTACCCTTCAGTGTGCTCACAAGCAGTTTGATATTTTTTTGCATGTTTTGTCTGTCAAATCCATACCAAAAGACAGAATCTTTATTGATGATTGCACAGCATCCACTGCATGACAATTCCTACCTATTTCAGTAAGGATTTTGGGAAAGCAGCAGCTTTGAATTGAAATGATTTTTAAAAGATAATGAATTATGATTGAAAATAACCTGAGGAATCAACATGCTACTTTTCATTCTGAGATGATTTTAACACATGAAAACAGGAAGTTTCAACTAAATAATAGATTACAAATTAAAAGAATCAGGATTTACAGTACAGGGTTTCTTTAGGGACACACTTGCACTCATGACTCTGCATTGCATAGTATATCTAAGTGCATAACTTCTGTGAAGAAAAGCAATTTCTACATGATCAAATTAAAATTTTTAAATCTAATTGTTGATTATTTTTTAGGGAAAAGTTATCAAATAATAAAGCGAATAATTTCAAGCATTAACACAGGTGAAAGTGATTAAAGATCATTAGCCTGATATCTCCCAGTGGCTTTAAAATCTTAACTTGGAAAAGCCCTGTGGATTATAGTGCATAATCAAATTCAAGTGATAATTTTATTAATGGAAATGCATTGAACATGTTGAAGCATTTAAAAGTGACTGATAACAACAACAAAAAAACAATTCCTGAAACAGAGTGTTGAAAATGTCTAATCTTGATAAATTTTCAAATCCTATCTTACCAAATTTTAGAACTTGATTTTTTTTATTCTATTCAAATCTGGTCCTGAATGGCAAATTATAATGTTTCTAGACCCTAGTTATCTCCCCTTTATACATTTGTACTGGTTCATACTTTCATATCTATGAATTAAGTTTTCAACAGTTTAGTTATTATGGAGTAATCTTATTCATTTTGATTAATCCTAATATCTTTATGTACATAAGTTCAGCCTTTTACAATGTAAATATGACAATTTTTCATTTTTATATTTTGCTGGAATAAAACTTCTGCAGTAAAAGTTTACGCCTTGAAATAGTTAAAATATCCAGTAAGGATAGTTTTGCATGAACAAAATGTTGCTGTTACATAGCAGTTTGCTGTGACCTGTATCATTTTTTACTTGTATGTTTTCAGCTTCAAAACAGAAACAATTAAGAAAAGGTGTGAGAGAAGTTCAAAAATTTATCAGAAAAGGAGAGAAGGGGTAAGTACATGTATGCAGATTATGTTCAATGTTGGAATCTTGTTGGCTCAGAAATTGATGAAATCACTCCTGCTTTAATGCTTATCTTACTTCACAAAAGTACATATAGGAAGTTTTATACCACTGCTAACAAAATCTTGATATTTATTTAACTGAGAGCACCCCACATGAGACTACATTATTATGTATTTTGATGAAACAAGAGCATTTATGTATTTACATGTACCATCAGGTCATACCCTCAGGACCACTTATACTTATCATTCATTCTATTTATGGCTGTTTAGTACAACAGTTTGCATCGTTTTATTGTAATAAACAATTTTTATTTATATTTTTGTTAAAACAAGGCATCTGTACCTAACAGACATTACTTAATTTAGATTAATTTTGTAGAAATATATAGGCGAGGATATTATCAGAACATTGCTTATCTGCAAAAAGTAAAAAATATTGAGAGTTAGAACCAAAATTTAGGCACAATGGGGCAACAGGATGTTCATACTTTTAGTACATGTAATAAGGCCTAAGAATAAGATGAAAAAAAAATTTTAATGACTGATCAGAATTTGTTATTTACTTTTTTGTACTCTTACGTGTACATCCCTTTGACACATTGGACAACACGTATAAATGAGATTTTCTTTTTACTAGGATTGTTGTATTAGCTGGTGATGTAAGCCCAGTTGATGTTATTTGTCACATGCCTTTGGTCTGTGAAGAGGAGGGACTACCATACTGTTACACACCATCAAAAGAGGTATGACTGAAATAATTATCATTGGTATATGTAAATTCTCTAAAAAGTTTGAATAATATAAAAATATTAAGAGTTCTTTCAGACAAAGGATAGACAAGAACATCACAAATGGAAACAATACAACCATTGAAAAAATTGATAGCATAGAAAACTAAGCAAATAAACCCAACCCCTATTGGGAGGAAATCAGATTCTCCTGATGGTAAGCATTTTCTGATCCACTTGTTACCCTCTAATGTTAAAAGCTGATAATTAGTCCCCTACTGATGAAGTCAAAGGGGACTTTAGGTTTGCACTCTGTCTGTCCGTCAAATCAGTTTTCCACACTTTTTTTTTCGTGCTTGAAGATATTGATTTGATATATGGTGTATTGTTTTATCATGACAACTTACAGATCAAGTTCGAATTTTGTTCTGGTCTGACGATTTTGTGCAGAGTTATGGTCCTTGAACTTAGAAAATTCACTCAAAAAATCAGTTTTCCTTACTTTTTTCGTCATGCTTGAAGATTTTGATTGGATAATTGGTAAATAGTATTATCATGACAAGTTACAGATCAAGGTCGAATTTTGTTCTGGTCTGATAATTTTGTGCAGAGTTATGGTCCTTGGACATAGAAAATTCACTCAAATATTCAATTTGCCACACTTTTTTTCGTCATGCTTCAAGATATTGAATTGATATTTTTTATATAGTTAACACCATGACAAGTTATAAATTAAGTTAGCATTTTGATCCAGTACTAATGTACAATGAATTTTTAACCGGTAGGGGACTATGTATTGCCAGGCAATACTCACAGAATGCATGTTAATTTCATTGTGTAAATTTGTGAGCATTTGTTCAAGCAATAATCGTCTAGAAAATTATATTATGTATTGTATTAGTAACTGTAAAATGCAGGTTTAAAAATTAAAACTTTGATGTGATGAGTATTACCTTTCAAAGACTGTACCCCTAAAAATGTGTAAACAAGTTTCCTAAAGGTACAAAAATTTGCTTTAGGCAACAGTCTTTATATTGGGAAAGATGTGCAAAAAATATGCATTAGTTAGCATAAAGATGCCAGAATTAAAAGAATATAAATTTAAGCTGCATGAAAAAAACTTAGGTAAATAGTGTAGTTAGCAGGTCACCTTTTAGCTTTAATTCAATAATTATGCAATGCATATTTGATTTACCAGTCCCTTTGTCCATACAGAATATTTGATTTACCAGTCCCTTTGTCCATACAGAATATTTGATTTTCTAGTCCCTTTGTGCATACAGAATATTTGATCTCCTTGTCCCTTTGTGCATGCAGAATATTTTATTTACTTGTCCCTTTGTGCATACAGAATATTTGTGAGTGCTTAATTATCTCAGTTTTAAAAAATAAGTGAAACTGAATACAATTTTTAAAAATGAGATGAAACCTGATATGCTTTCTTTCATGATTAGAAGTGCATATTATTTCAATGAATACATAGATGGATATTGCAATTTGCCAAAATTTTGACTTGTAAGTTAAGAATTTTTTTTCTAACTTTTATGAGAATAAAAATATTTTATAGTTCTATTCTTGTAATGCTTTTCAGTAGGGCTCTTGTTGTCATAGCAGTTATCTAATTGATGACAACTAAGGCAATATTTGAAAAGAATAATGAACAACCTGATGAGATTTTGTTAAAAAAAATATTTTAAGGTTTAGAACAGTCAACAAAACTGCTCAGCCTGTATTACTTTTTTGATTACAAGAAATATTCAATAAACTTCTTCTTAATTAAAAGTAAACCCATTGTAAAAAATGAATTTATTTTAAATACATTTGATAGATAACCAATATGTTTGCTATTGATTTTGGATCAACAATTATTGTCAGTTTGAATTATTTCCCTTGAATTAGCTGGTTTTTGATAAATATTTAATAATTTATTACCTCTAAACTCGTTTAAAAAAAAATTAAAAGAAAATAAATGTTAGCATTTTATTGTAATTTAATCAAATATATTAATGAATTCTGAAATCAAATTTAAATGAAATTGTAGATTACAATGTACAAATATAGTCATGTTATACATGTTTTAAAATTATCATTTGTTACATTAAAACA